CTTGCTGCTGCCAGTGCCGGTGAGAGTGTAGTCGGAGACGCCGAGCTCAAGAGCCTTGCGAGGAGTATGAACAACACGGGCGATGTTGGACTTGGGGGAGTCGCGGTGAGAGGATGTGGTAGATCGAGCGAGGTGTGCCATGAGGTTACCGCCGTAAGTAGAACGGCCGGATGGCCTGAAGTCATTGCTTGACTGTCTCTCGGGGGTGAAAGGAGAAGAGTTCAGGTTGATAGGCACGTTGGTGGTCGATGCCTGCTGACGGGGAGAAGGGGTCAGAGGCATCCGTCCGCCAGCGGTACGGGCTGTGAAAAGTCCCTTGTGGGACTTGACAGGAGTTGACAATGTCACTGAAGCCATTGTGATATACTCGAAATGATACCTGTATAGACAAGTGGGGTAGGTGTGACGTGCGTGTAAGTGGGACTCTGAACGGGTAACCGAAAGCTGGGCCAAGGTACCGAGCCTCGATAGAATCGAACGAGTTCCAGAACACTTGGTAAAGGGTACCTAACGATTGGTATTCCTTTATTTTGATGAATGTTCGATAAAAATCGAAATTGCCGTGATCAAGATATAACGAAGCGGGAAGGGCGATCAAATGGCCTTAGCGATAGGATCTAGCGAACTTTGGATATTTCTTGAAAGAAGGGATGGAACAGGAGTCTACGATAAAACATAAGACTCTAGTGGATCAAGAAGGTTGCTTGAGGAAAAGAGGTTTGGAGACGAACGGTGATTGTGAGGAGAGAAGCAGTCGCAGAATGAAGCCCATAACGGATACCTTTTATTTACTTTGTTCTCGCCGTGCATCTGGCCGGGCAACCACTATGGAGTGGTCGGAGCTGAGTTGCTCCCGTTCCGCGGCCGGGCCAACGCAGACGAACCAATTAGAATATTGAAATGAAGCCGCTCATCAGACTATCCTTGTCTGGTTAGGAGCTGCAGAAAGTTTGAGATCTTAACGTCAGGGTACAGAAAGTAGAAGACAGGCTGCTGCTTTGTTGCCCAAGATAGCGGTCAACTTATTATGTCGCCCCAGACATGGAGTTATATTTTCTGTAATCCCAATGTCTGGGTCAAGCCTGAGTGCCACTGAACAAATTTCCTCCTAACTTGGACGCGGCTCCTCACCAACAGGGGGCCCTTCTCACTTGATCGACCATCACCAACTGCATCTAACATTTATCGCATTTCCATCCACCCTCATATTCACGTCTCCAAGGGTTAAGAAAAAAGAACTTCCGAGGCAGCGAGAGTGTACGAGACGAATATATAGTAGGTAAGTTTATGCCATCTGAGCCCACATCCTTAGATTATTTATTTTTTGTAGCCTAAAGCTCAGAGGCTAGTCATTCTGTTGCCCCCCTAACCAAAGTCCCCTTCCATTGCACTTTTCCCCCCTTCCATCTCAACGGCAATTCACACAACGTCGTGACATGCGCAGATAACGCCACAGATCGTTTACAACCCAAGAAAGCCATGGCCCAACCTTCGACCCCCGGACAGTCCATCTTTGGCGGGCCTGTCGTCGCAACAACGCAGACTTTTGGCGCCGGCAACCAGGCGTTAACGGCCACGACTTCGCTGCAACCAACGCCGCCTTCGGCAGCGTCCTCCAACAATACATACATCATGCCAAACTCCCCTGCAAAAGGCCGCAGCGTCGCTGATGGATACCGCCCCAAAGTCACCCGCACGCTAGGCCAGAGACCCGCTTGTCTAGTCAATGCTTCAGTGACGTATTGCGGAAACAATCAGATATACGCTTTTGGTGGATTCGACCAGTACACCGATGAAGTGTACAATCACGTACTACGGCTGGACCTCGTCAGCCATCAGTGGAGCCTCGTCGACAATTATGGCGACATTCCCGGGGTGCGAATGGGTGAGTTGTGCGATGCGACAACAGAAATCACAATCACTAACACACAACGTACAGGACATACTGCGACCTTGTATCAAGGAAACAAACTCCTAGTCTTCGGCGGCGAGAACGAACATCGAACCTATCTATCAGACCTCATCGTATTCGACCTCAAAACTGCGCACTGGACGCAACCACTCGTCTCGGGCCCCATACCCAAAGGCAGAGCAAGACATGCCGCTGTCTTGCACGAAGACAAGCTTTTCGTTATTGGTGGCATAACAGGTCAGAACAACTACGTGTTGGACGATATTTGCTACCTTGACTTGAAAACATTCACCTGGTCCAAGTCATGGCGCTTCGTTGGAAGATTCGATCACTCGGCATACATCTGGAGCGATCGCGTTTGGGTGTTTGGAGGTCTGAGTGAGGACATGGACAAGATTAGCGATCTGTGGTGGTTAGATTTGAAGGGAAGCCCGCAGTTTGACTCTCGGCCTCCAATGGGCCTCTTCGACCGGGATTCTATGTCAACCCGAGCTAGCAACTCTCCACGACCTCCATACACCATGCCACAGGCTCCTGTTGTTGGCGCCTCAGGGTATGCCGCCAACTCCCGAACCGCCCAGGTCAACCCACCTTCGCACCAGTTAAAGACGTATGCGCCCTTGGCCCCAGGATCCATATCTGCGCTTAAGTTCATGTCTGGGCCGTCGGTTCCATCGCAGGGCTCTGGTCTTCACTACCACGCCTACTCATCTGGTACTCTTATTGATTTCGTGACACCTGCCGCCACTCTCACATCGAGAGAATGTTCCCTGTCTGCATTAGACTTGAGTACTCTTCGTTGGGCGAAGCTGGCTGGGGGACGAGAGATCTTCAAAACGGGCTACAGGTGGCATTACTGCTGTATGAACGAGAATGGGACCAAATCTTGGCTACTGGGATGTCCAACAGACCCTGCTGCGACTGACATAGGACCCAATGGTTACGAAGAGTATCTCAGGTAAGTTTCAACACAATTTGAAACCGCACAGTGCCTGACTTTATTGAACAGTGATATCATGGAAATTGATCTCCGACGTTACGGCTTTCTTGGCGACAACTTGACACCAGAGCCACGGTCAGAGTCAAGACCATCTGCCACAACCAGACCCATGGATCAACCTTCCAAGGGGTTGGGTCCAGATCTTGCGAAACTCTTCAACCAGCCGCCCGAGACAGGCAGTGGAACTGATTTTATTATTACGGCACTGGCTGGTGATTATGAAGATGATGATACTCTTACTTCCAGCATGACTCGGAAGGACAAAACATCACAGAACCAGGGCTGGCTCTCAGCAGACGCACCAACCTCGCAGCCCATCCATGTCCATAAGCTCATATTGCAGGCTCGTTGGCCTCACTTTGCGCGCCTTTACAACGCTCAAATGGCTGAATTCCACACCAAGAAGATGCATATCCCAGAGCCTTATAGTGTAGTAAAGGCCTTCCTCTACTACCTCTATACGGATAGTATTCGTGGCACCTCAGAGACTGAAGGTGACGCTACCACCGCCCTATCTGACGTGGCGGGCCTTTTGGTCATGTCCAATATCTACAACATCCCTCACCTCCGCTTACTGTGCGTAAATCGTCTAGCCAAAGAGCTCGACGTCGACCATGCTTGCATAATATGGTACTGCGCGGGACTCGCTAACGAAGAGTGGTTGCGCAAACGAGCCGCAGGACTCTGCATGATCCATTGGGGTCGAGTTGTCCGTACTCAAGGCTTCATCCGCCTGCCACGTAGCGCACTTGTCGAGCTTTCCCAAGAGGTCGACATGGAGGGACGTGTTATTGGCGGAGAAGATCTCGAGTGGGATGGCATGGACGATAGTATGGGGCATGATGCTCGTAAGGAAAGTATTAGCAGTAACCAAACGCAGACAATTGAGGATGACGCCGACGATGACGAAGGCATGGAGATGAACTGAAGTTGAGTCACACAGGTACTTGTCAGCCATGATTAGGTAGAAATAGTAGATAGATATGCTCAAATAGATACCCTTTGCTGTCTCATCCGCCCTCACTTCTCAAGTTTGCTGTTCCTAAGAGAGGTAACATCTCCGATAGCACGGGTGCGTAATCTGGACCGGTCATTGTCGATCACAAAGGCTTAGTTACGCAGATCTCTCCACCACAACCCAGTCCACTGCAGCTGGAATAGACAAGTAGATCGGCGGCTCTCTTCGTATCACACAACTCCTGGTAGAAGATTTCTAGCCAAGAATCAAAGGCACAAGTTACTGGAAACTCAGACTGAAACAGAGTTATTCGCTATGACTGCATAACCCTCCATATGGCTGATAACTTCGAAACAATAATCCTGTTCATTGGAGGACGGGCCAAGCCGTCCAGTCTATGACTTCGCTTTTCGTTGTCCGACCGACTCCATATCATCCCCGTTTTCAGTGTGAGAAGCAGTGGTTGGAGATGGCAACTCCGATCAACAAGCCACGAACACTGAACAAAAGTAGCAATCAAAAACGTTAAAAACAATGCAATAACCTGCCCCAATTCCCAAGGGCCCATGTATGCATGAAACCAATTTTCCCAACCAAGTATCTAATAACCGTTCACAAGCTTTTTAAATAACAGAAAAAAGGCAAGAAATAACAAGAAAGAGTTCTGATCACAATGCACCGGCCAACAAGCAAGCTTGCACGAGCACCCGACTCGACCAGGGTCATCCAGCAACAACATAACTAAACAATCAACGCAGATATGTTAGGACACCCGGCTTCTTCAGGGATACTTTGTCAATGGAATTGGATACGGAACTCTTGGGTTTGGCTTTGAATACCCAAAGAGACGAGTTTGTTGCCCTCGATTTCGAATCATTCGAGTCCACCTTGATTCAAGTCTCCAAAGCCACCATGAGACGCTATAAATTCTAGGCAAAAGGCTGAATGCAGATGCCTAGACAGGGTATCGGCAGGGGAAAAGACGCAGATAATGAAGACAGAATCGATATCGCGGTCCGGCACGAGTCGAATTGAGACCAGCATCATGCTGAAACTGGCTGCTGAAATTCAGAACGCCGCCGCTAATATGGAGAAAGAGCTTGCAACGTTTTGGTAGTGTTGCCGGCAACCTATTGCATCATCTGATCTTCTCCTATTCCTTGCAGGTTCATGCCCGCTGCAAGAGCCTGGAGCTTGAAATCCGGATTGCACGGAAGAGAATGCGCCTTGTGCTGTTCAAGACAATTAGTACACGAAAGAAGAGGAATCTCTGAGGGGCTTACATATTTCAACCCATTTAAGTTCTTATAGCGCTTTCCGCATGTCTCGCAGCTGAACGGCTTCTCTTTTTCCATACCCAGGGTTCCTGGATAAGGCGCACTTGTTTCGGGGTTAACAATGGAGAAAGTGCCATCACCGTTTTCGTGGAGCTGTTGAGTTTGATGACCGTGCGTCTTGTGGTACCTAGAGCTCTATTAGTTGACTTTTTCACGACAGTTATTGATTTAAGGGTAAAGGCTATGACGTACTTGAGGCCGTTCTGGTTTTTGTAGGCCTTTTCACAGCCGATAACGGGGCACTTGAATGGCTTGTGCTCTTCAGGCATCATCATACTTTGTAGACGCTGCATGATGGCCTTGTTGGTCTGGGGATCGTTGAGTTGAGACTGGTTAATACCCAGCTGTTGCAACTGCGCCTGGATAGAACGGTTTGGAGGGAAGCCGTTCGAGCTGAAAAGGTGCTTTCCAGGGTCGTTTATGCAAAAGTTAGAATCATTATTGGTCTGGTTTCCGCCAAATCCCATATCGCCAATATCGTTCGTGTTACCACCCATAGGCATACCTGGAAGGTCCTCATCCATGTCCACTTGCTGGCCTTGTGGCGTTTGTCCCTGTGTAGTAAGCGTAGGTGTGTTGACTGAAGACACTGTGGGATTGTTCTGCAGTCCAAAGCTTGCAGCAGCGGGCGTCGGTGGTTGGGAAGTTCGTAGGCCTTGAGTAAGACCAGAAGTGTTCATGTTGAGCTCGGGTCTCTGTTGGCCGAAGAGCTGTCTTGTCTGAGACATTCGCTGGCTGTCGTCCATTTCCATAGTGCCCACAGCATCGTCCATTTCCATATCTGCAACGGCATCCATCTCGTCATTCATATTCGATGGCATGCCGGAGTTTCCATGCAGGTCATGCGGGGACTGTTGACCACGGCTATGTTGCCCCAATTGACCTGATGACTGTGAATTATTTCCAGGTGCTGCTGAATCAGCTCGTGAAATGGACATTCGAGGGGCGCTGGACATGCCCAACTGAGAGAATTGGGAGAATGCATTATTCCGCGCTGTGTTGGGGCTGGGTTGTGTGTGGGCTTCTTCGTAATGTTGAAGCAAATCGTGCAGGTTAGGGAGGATCTTGCCGCAGCAGGTGAAATCTCGCATGAAGTTGGCCTCCAACTTAGGAAGATACGAAGAAGAATGGAAAGAAGGTGACTGATGGGCTCCACCGAATGGCGATGGCGATGTTGCCATCATAATACTGCAGAGCGATTTTGTCAGCATATATCTACTTGAAACATACAATCGCACATTGGGCGGAGGGCGCATTGATTTTCTGCCGCATTGCATGTATGTGGGCTGTCGCAGGGCTGTGATGGAGCCTGAAACTCAAAACGGCTCGCCACAAGATATTGTCTGTTGACTCCATAAACGGCGGTAACGGCAGCAAATAGCTGAGCATGCATATACTCAAGCCGGTTCGTTGTAGGAGGTGGCAGATAGTCTCAAGTGTAGCGTAGCGTGACCAGGAAAGAGGCTGGTCGGAGTAGGACAGTGATCCTTCTGACAAGCGAAGCGAAACAATGATGGCGGGACAAAATGATTGATGATGGAAAAGGTGGGCGGGCTGGTATATCGACTTACTCATCTCTAACAAAACTGCCAAAGGACATGCCTCCCCAGCTCATACCGCCGCCCATGAGGCTGCCAGCAAGAGATTCTCTTCTGTTGCGGTTCGCGTTGTCACCACGATTGGGATTGTTCATCGATATGGGCTTGGGGCCGGCGCTGACAAAGGAATCCCGGCGGCCCATAGTAGGGTCGAGGGATGGTCCGGTAGTCATGTTGTGGTCGTAGGGTTGCTGCTCAAGACCTGAAGGGTCAGGAATCTGAATGCAAACGTCGCTGTCTGCAGTGGGGGAGTCGCGAAAGTTGTTCAAGTAGGAATCGAAGTCTTCGACGGAGGTGTTTGAGAGAATAGCAGGATCAAAGTCACCGATAGAGAGTTGGGGGGCGGCAGCTTTAGCGGTAGTAATACTACGTGACAGCACCGAGGCAGCGGCAGGAGCAGCGGGTGTAGAAGCAGTGTTAGCGTGCGCGCCAGGCAGGAAATGGCCCGTGGTAGGGGTCCCGGGCTGGGGCGACGGCGACTGCGACTGCGTCAGCGAGCTTGAGCCCGAGTTGATGAGCGACCCTGGAGAGTCAGGGTCATAAGCAGCAGCAGCGGCGGCGAAGTGGGTTCTCGAGTCACAGGCACAGGCGCTGGGATTGGAACTGGCACAGTCACAGCTGGCATTGGCGGTGGCGGCGGGGACTATGTCCGAGGGGGCGAGTCCTTGTGGACGAATAATATTTGTGTAATCCCACACCCCGGTACAGTTGGTGGAGGTAGACGCACGCGGCTCCTGGGTTCCCACAGTATCGCTGGGCTTCTGGAACATCTGGTCGAAGAATGTCTCCATATTGACGGAAAGATATGAAGATATATGTGGATTTTGGGGTATATCAGGGTAGAGGTGGTATTGTAGGGATATGTAAGATGGAAGTGAAATGGAAAATGCCTGACCTAAGCTTTCGCAAAGAGCAGCAATAACAAATGGTGACGCGATGCTCGCCGATAGCAGTGAGAAAGTACCTGAAGTGAGGAGGAGGTAGGTACTAAGGTAGAATAAGGTGCCGAATCACACTAAGGCAAGGTCAGTAAGGTACACTAACTGCCAGGAAGGAAAGGTGCTGATTGAAGGTACGTACCTGCCCTCTAAGTTTAGTAGGTGTTGTACACACGGTTTCGTCCAAGACGGTATGGGTTAGACTACTGGCAGGTGAACTTCCTAGCCTTGGCGCGATGTCGTCCAGGGACCCTAGTCACTCGAATCTGGTGTAGCAGCAATTGCAGTGATAATATGCCTGTTCACTGATTCTCGTTGTGGACGGTTATTGCACGAGACTTTTTGGTTGTTTGAAGAAAGCTTTTCCCTCTTTTTTCCCCGATAAAATGAGGGGAAGAAATGGACGATACTAGATGAACCACTCGGATCGATAAAGTAAAGGCGGCTTTCAGTCGATCCGCTGGCTTTATAGGTGGAAACAGGTCGCGTGGTGAATGAGGGTGCAGGCCTTCTTTTTGGTATTGGATGAGTCTCTCCAAAGCTTCAGCGGTCAAGGTGCAGCCAAATGAGCACTCGATGACTGTTTTGCTGCTGGTGCTAAGCTTCTCAGCTCGTAATCTAATACAGCCGATACACAGAGAAAAGCTACCAAAGTCAATTTCTTTGGTTCTCGCAGCCAACTCTATCGTTGATGGATGGGTTGCGCCGCCGTCACAGCAACCTTTCGTGCACACGGTTGCTGATTGGGTGGATGAGATGACGGAGTACTTTGATGCTTGGGATTCGTTTTGCTGCTGGTCATCCAGAGGATTTGCTGGAACGGGCGTTGCGTGGTGTAGTGTAGTGTAGGGCCAGGCCAAATTGCGCTGATGCTGATGTAAAAAGACCTTTCTTGGGTTCGAGGGCTCAATGGGTGTGAGGTAAAAGGGACATCAACTTGGCTGCCGGACTGGATTTATTCGAGGTTCGGTGCAGCAGTTTTAGAAGGTTTTATTGTAGATTGAAGAGGTTGGTCGCCATGAACTGGTTGATATAATATACCATCGACCGAGATACAGACTCAAGATATGACAACATACGACAGGGCACCTCTTGGACACCCACACAACCACTACGTCTCTAGCGGAGGTGGCTTTATTACCACGTCTTGTTACTCTACCTACCTCCGACCCAGTCAAGATAGGATCGGAGTCCGTGATAGTCATTCATCAGTTCCCTGGTTGGCACCGACAGTAAACACTTCTCCCAGTCTTTTGAATGCATATGACAACGTACAATGCACCACCAAAGCTTGTCGATGAGGCTATTAATTCAACGGTGTGTCTTTTTGGACTGTATCATTATTTCCACTAATTATCCATAAATACTCTCCCCCATGTCCAGCATAACTCATTTCGCATTAAACAACAATAAGGGTCCAAAGCTCCAGCACCCACGGCGCCTTAGGAAATGATGCAAGGTTCAAGGGTCGCCCTTGAGAAGCGCACAACACAACAACCAATCGATGCATCAGGGGTTAAGGTAAGTTAAAAAGGGAAAAAAAGAGGGTGAGTTGCCAACAATGGACAAAGAGTATGTATCTCTTGACTGAGGTGGGGGTTCCAGTCCAGATGCTGCTTTGCTTTGTCCATAATGGTATGCTGACGACTGGTACCAGACATCATGCCTGCCATTCACCTATGCTAAATAAACGCTACGTACTCTGTACTATCTATGTGTTTCACACATAGCCAGAGTCGACGCCGTATTCTCTCCAGCACATTCATTAAAAGTCATTAGTGTTATTGGTTTCCTCCAAAATTGTCGAGGCCGAGAATTTCGATCCAGCAGCAGCACGCGAAGTACCGTTCTTAGTAATGCAGCCTATGAGTGTTGCGGGCAGGCATTGTTGATACAAAAGCTACTAACTTACTTCAAAGTTCACACTAAGTGCCTGACTTGTCACTATATGCCAAGAGTATCCAAGATAACCTTTCGCCTCCTAGCCAAGCCAGGTTTCTTCCAAGTAGACTACATCCTCCAAACGTCTCCAAGTTGAGGCTCAACTCCCAGGGCATGATGACATACTATGTAGCCACTCGGCCGAGGTGGGGTTTGGTTGTGAGACCCTTCTTAGTCCCAGTCTCATACAGTGTTCCGGCTGAGTTGCGTTCTCCAACACTGATGCTCATGTCATGAGCTAGACTGCGGATTCTTTGACAAGCCTCCTGCTATAGATGCATCGTATTTACCTACCGTGGAGTTTCTAATAGTCTGAGACAACTCGCATTTGTTCACTAGATTAAGTTAGGCGCACAGTTCTCCCTTTGTTTGTAAAGACACGCCGCAACAGCTAGTTAATCTTCATGCCCCGTCTAGACACGGCAAAGGGTAATACTAGGTGCCATGCCTGTGTGTGTATGTGCAGAGTAAAGGTTCCATGCAGACCACCATTATAGTAGGAATGTGGCACGATAGTGTATCTCGTTGTCCATCAAGTATTATTATGGCGCTGGCTTGCGCTGACTAGGACTTTGTTGAAATGCCGAGCACGACCTCGGCATGCTAAGCCGACAATAGATGATAGCAGTGGAGTGGATCGCCTAAAATAACTACCAAATATAATGTTATTGCGAAAGTGATCAATTGTATGTATCGTGTAGTAGTACGCCCGCTCAAAAGAGTTTCAGTTTGCATAGGTAGACATAGTGCGGATATGGACATATGTATGTGGTAAACTCTAACCGATCAAGATGTTGACTTGCAGAGTGCAGTAAGCGCTCAGTAGCAGGTTTCCGAATTCCATCCTGATGATCAACAGTTTATTGGTCTACAGTACGGCCAGCGGCAACATCTCGATTCGCTGCAGTGGCCCCGGTAGGGATTACAAGGCTGAAGTAAGACATTGGACTAACAGCGGACCAATATCTCCTTGATCAGGAATGCCTACCGGTCCGCCACAATATATTTAAGCCATTACTAGTTCGCTAGAAAAGGATGCGGTTGTCTCGCGAGGACATGGCAAAGTGTGTTGATGCCAAAAAGTCCATGTTGTAAGTGGGTCTAAAGCCGTTAAAGTGAATCTCTGGTGAACTATCCCACGATTATGGTCAAAAATAGGAGACGGCCGCGTTAGTTTGAGGAACTTAGTTTATTAGCCATTGGTTAAGGATGCATCAAAAGGTTTCCCCCTGTTTGGTAGAGCTGTTGAGCTCCTATGTCACCTTCTCCCGGGCCAACGGATAGCTCTCTCGAGTCAGGTCTGAAGATCGTGATCAAGACAGGACGTAAGTAAAGGAGGATGGTGCTACTCCACAGATAGGAGTTAGAACCGTAGGAACAGGAACTATTGACGTATTCGTTCAACGCATCCATAGCCTATAGGAACTCCTTTGATCGAGTTACCTAGTTAGATCTCCACAGATCAACCCTAGAGTCGGCCGCTAGAGGCACGTTTTCAGCCTTCTTTAAGATAAAAGGCTTACTAGATAGATGCAAGCTCCTAAGCTAATAACCCAGTTCCCAGCTAGATGTGTGAGTGTATATTGATTCTTGGTGATGAATGATCGCAGTACCTGGGGTACCGATTGCGGAGCCATGGCAATAGGCAAGATTGGAGGGTAGCAATGACATTTAATGCCTCGCCTGTTGGTTACTGTTAGATGAAGCTATCTTGAAATTCGTTGAAGAGGCGCCAAAAATTACCAGATAGATTTTAGTACAGAGCGCATACATTGATGGTCTGTACTTATTGGCTTCTCTGCGAAGACAGCGAACATCATTCCTGCTTTGGATCATGAAGTCACGACTCGCACGAGAATCGCTGGACCGTGCTCTGATCCTTACGTCAGAGCTTGCTGGGATATGTATTAGACTGAACTCTGAATCTGATATCCCGGCCGAAATTAGCGGATGAGATGTGAAGATGCAAGTTTGTAGGTACGGAGTAATAGGTAGTACGGATGCAGGTTTGTATTATACAGAGTATCCTAAGATGTAATTGCAATGCGGCCCAACGATCAAATTTCCGCTTTCACACAAGACGCTTGCTGCACGTCTTCATGCCTTGTGTCAAAGCTCCTTGTTCATGACTCGGCTTGACACCTACACCACAAAGCTTTGACGTTGACCACAACGTGGCAGATAGAGACTAAGCGCCAGACGTGTTGCAATGCTAGGGCTAGGCACCTACAGAGGATACTAACACTGACTACTACCTATGTGGTTCTTGCTCATGGTCAATGCTTTAGCGAAACAGGGGGAACACATTACACCCACTAGATCTCGTTACCGTTACATCGTCAAGTCCCCTGTAAACAAGATGGTGTTTCTGCCGGGAATTCGTTGACTTCAGTAAGATCCTAAAACTGGCTCCAGAGTCCAACGTCAACTCAACCCCCCAACTAGAACTACTATTAGAACTAGGATCTGTGGTTGGAGAAAGAGCATTGACGGCGGTTGCAACTTCCTTCAGGGGCAGATCGGTTCTCTTGTTTCTTTCCTTGTTGGAATTAATTGTTAGTGTCAACTTCTGTCAGTTTCATCTCGACCTGAGGAAGAAGTAAAGAGGGTTTTCTTACTCCGTGTTTACGGAGTACGCCAGCACAAATCGTTACCGCTCTTCAGAGTTACACTAATTTCTCGATCGATCCTTGAACTTCCACTCCAGCTGAACCACTACATAGGTTTATCATTCATTGACTAATAACAGTCGTCTTGAACCCTGCCGTATGTACATTTTTGTCCCGCAACACTACGGAGCTCCACTATAACTTGCAAGCTACTTGCCCACCTACCCACTCACGTACATTACCGTTGTCGCAATGGAGGTTTCCATGGACACCAAACCAAGGAACAAGGCTCAACAACTCACGAACGAGGTATCCATGCCCAGCTACTCAATTGAATCGCCTTGATTATGGCTAGCCAGTCGATGGCAGCCCAGTCAAAACGTATCCCAAACATGCTGAGCGGCTAAGTTCTTAACCATTGGTCTCTGCCGCAAAATATTGAAGCTTTGGAACTGCTTCTCAAGAACCTGACATCCAGGAAAGTTCGCTACCTGGGTACCGTGCCAGGCGGGCGACCAGTGGCTGTGGCACTCTACCACTCCAAGTCCTGTGAGATATGTGCCAATAGGGCATCTAGCCGCCAAATCTTAGCCAGACCCAGCACTGGCCCAGAGAACTGGTGCCGCTATCAATCTTGGAAGTTGTCAAGTCCCGGCCGATCAGGCTCAACCCGGTAGCATGCGCGGTATACATAACCGGGGTGGCTGTTTGCCCAGGGCAATAACTAGCCGCGAGAAGCTCTCGTCTCATAACGACATGACACAACGACAGCATCGATGGTCCTGATCTCCAACCAAAATGGTGATTCGGACTTAAATGGTCTGACCTTCCAAGGAATAACAGCCTGTACCAAGATCTGGTCCTTGTTTTGGTCAAGACTCCTTATATCCGTCACAAACGGTATGCAACGTCTTTCAAGTCAGGTCTAGCCAGTCAGTGTACGATTTACAACCGCCTTGGGGCCCTTTTCCGATTGCATCGACCAGACAGCAAACCCGCGACCTGGACCTGTACACCGTCGACGGCATAATGAATGTCTCGACATACAAAATGGATAGGACCACATTTCTTTGTGACCGATCGGGCATTTGGGTTAGCTCATGAATATTCTCCATGCTGTATTGCAAGTCTTATTTGCAACCTATGGGGTTTGAGAAAACACGAAGCCCGCATTCTCGCCAAAACTCCCTATTCAATCGCATGTTCACGTCTCATGGTTTATGTCTAGTAGTTAACAAGTTGCAGCACTTACAGCCATCGTTGCTGCGATACAGATCCCAACGCGCCACCACACTGCCCTTTTGGCTAGAGGATCCTGATGATATCGTCTAAGTGGGCTGGCTACCTACTTGCAAACGGCAATGGATCAGGCGTCTTGGCGCTTTCCACCCAGAGCCTCCTATTGTCAGCCGTGCGGTAATCATCTTCGCTCTGATTCCTTCGGCATGGGCGGCGCCGCTTTTTGTGTGGATTGAACTATGTGATAGTTTGACGCTTTCTAATTAACGGCGTTGCACTTGTCCCTTGCCAATGAATACCTAAACACATTCATTGACTGAAAAAGTATAGGCTGTTCAGTGGCTGGTTTCATGTAAGTGTTTTGTTAGGAATGCTGGCTCGATCTGCAACAGTTTCGGTATGTACAGCCTTTAATCGCACGGCGAAACAAGTCATGTTCAAATGGAGCAAAGAAAAAACACACTTACTGATACATATGTACAGTCCGAATTCATTGCGGTGAGGGTCTAGTTAGCGGGCAGCGCTTATCGTCTTGGCTCTTAAGTTCTTCAGTGATACAGACCTTGCTTTTGTCCATGACTGGAGTCAATCCCCACGGATCAACAAGAACGTTTCGTTGGCTATCAATCAAGATATCGAATCTACCGAGCTCGGCGTTGAACATTCTCTTGGTGCAACAATATCATCTTTATCTTGTGATCTCTACATCACAGCTTCGCGCCGCCTTCCTACTATCAAAGATCAGCACGTTAGTGTTGCATGTCATAGGAATTGGACTAGGCCTATACGAGTGTATGGGTTGTGAATAGTCTCCAGTGCCGTTGATGTCATCACGATCGTCGCTAATATATCGTTGTTGATCCTTGCTTTACAATTTAGACTATTGGTGGAGGATCTATTCATTTGCGTCTTTACGCCGCGACTGACAATCATGACATGGAAATGTGAGATCTCGATGTTCATAGAACCAATTGGGTTGCATCATGGGTTACAGTTATTCATTATAACTTTCCAAAAATGAGCTGCATCGTGCAGGTGCTTACACAGAGATCAACATCTCGAAGCTATTTCAAGCAGTTCGGTGCGAGCTTGCAATGTCGTTTAACTACTACTGGTAGGTCGTCTCGAGGATATTACTCCGGTTGAACGGACAACAATTCCACGAGTCGGGAATTCGTTCGCATTGGGGTAATACGACGAAATTACTGGAGCTACCTAGTGAAGCTATGCAGGAAGTCCTGAAGATCTACTGACGACGGGTGAACGTGACTCCTTGCATGCAGGCGGGGTTGTGAAGGAAGGATTTTGCTGTGTTGGTGTTTTTCAACAATAGACTCCTAATACATGCAGGACGCATCAGTTTCATCAGTGCAGATCTTTCCAGAGCAAGGCAGCCGAGGTCATGAGAAGGGGTGAGCCGAAGTAGCCTGAGTTAGAAAGCTTAGTTCGAGGCTATAATAACTTTATACTTCTTGTAGTACTATCTGAGACACGGCGTATATGCAGTCAAGGTGAGTTTCTAATTGTTTCCACGTGGTCCGATGGCGTGAGAATGCGCTTTGCCTAGTATCTTGCCTCTTTGCCTTTACTTCCTTTCGTTAGTGATAATTGAATTATCATGCTAGTCTTATCGTTGATGCAACTCGTGGTTTTGCCACCGGTTGCGGAAGGCTTGCGTAAGTCCTGCGTCTAGAGACACCCGCGGATTGGTATCTTGGCGCTTGAAAGAAGATACAGGGAGAAGCGCTTACTGAAAGCTTAGTCCTAACTAACTATTGTTGAATTGACTCGAGACTTTCGATACCCAGTGGGAGGGTAGTCTATCTGGGGATGTCCTGCTGGTCTGTGGGTGATCTAGTAATGTCAAGAATCGCATCCCCGCTTGGATTCCGGCCACGAGGCTTAGGTTGATTCATAGCCTCAGGAGGATGTGAATATCAACAACAGCTACGGCTCGGGAGATGGAGCTGCTGCGGAGCGATCTTGGTGAAGAACCGAGTTGACACGGATCAGTCTATTCCAGACCGCTCAAGAGCTTTTATAGTGGGTTCAAATTATCCACGTTCTTAGAGTCGAAACCGGCGATGATGATCCCACTTAGGGGATATAGAGGGCTGAGTTCAATGCCCAAAGTGTTGTACAACAAAGCTTAAGTGAGGGATGGAACTGAACTATCATAAATCACAGGGCTGAAGTTAGCTGACATTCAGGGGAGGGAGAAGTAAGCGGATGTTGTTTGTGTTTGTTCGCTTTCTTGATTACCAATTTGTCAAATATTGTCCCACAAGTTTCTCTCACAGTTTTGGTTACGATCAAATTACCAAGTATGAATGGCATAACACAACACAAGAGAAGTGTTTGATTTGCACAAGAGACTCTTCATCTTCTCATAGTAGTATTATTTTGTCAAAGGATAGAAACCACCTCGCTCGCTTGTTGTCCAGAGTTACACGCAAGTCCCGGGTAGGTTGAACAAGGATACGGAGACTTTTCTTACCAGAAATAGCCACCAATCACGCCTGTTAACTGTTTCTTATCCTTGGGTAGGTGATCGAAGCAAGGGTCCAATCCGTTCCCCGGAACATTCCCCTTGTCATCATGCCATGAGGTGTTCCTCGGAGCGCCCCGATCTCACACATTCTTTTTCAAGGAACAGGCACGTAGCATTACCGATACAACGTAACTAGATGGCTTACGATTACAAACAACTGTGCGCATTTGCGGCTTCTGCAACGGAGCGGCTACCTCACGTAAACATGCCGACACATGGGCGCTCGCTGGTGGATCGCGAGCCGTTTAAAGCCGACGCCCCGAGAATGAATGGCCAAAAGAAGGTTGGGTTCACCCAGTCTGCTTATAATTCGGGATATCGAGATTTCAGTGTCATTGTCAACGGTGATTCCGAGAGACGAGCCGCTAGTTTATCGATTTATTCTAGAATAACACCCCTGGAACCTGAATCATGCATCCGTACTAAGGCCGGGCACGAGCAATCAAGTGACATATTGGTGGATAAGGCTGTATGCCGTCTTGACCGCAAGATGCCGCAACCACTGCCGCTCCCAGGGACATGATACGGCCTTCTGCGGCGTGACTGGTATTGTTTAAATATGCCATCATCCTTTATTAGCGGCCCAGAATGTTCGAATTGGATTGGCGTAAAGTACAGGAATTCAATGTTGAAACCAGAATACAGGGTAAGTAACTATCTGCTAGTGTCCAGTGTCTGTTTGTAGCAGACTATATGAAAGACATGATGGTATTGCTAAGGGCAATTGCATTCGCTTCCACAGCGAATTGCCCGGATAAGCCGACAGGGCTGCTGCTACTTACTCTCCAGTATTAACAATCAGAACATATCAGTACATTTGCATGCAAATGTAAACACAATGATACCCAAAAACCTCTCAAAACGAAGCATGGTTCGAACTGTCAACCATTCGGCGATTCGGTCATAGTTCGGTGACTGCTTGCGCCGGACGACTTCGGAAGAATCTGACATCATGGATTGGCCGAAAGCCGTCATGCAAGAAAAAAAAAGAGGTACATACAATTGCTATATCCCAAGTCAGGATAGAGTAGAAAGGGCTTCATAAGACTTATTTACAGCAGAAAATACCACACAATTCATGATCTTGGGCGCAATCGAGCATCACGCCTTCAACATCATCAGGTTTACATCACTCTTACGCAGTTCCTCACGCTTCGAGATAGCAAGTACCTTATTACATACTACATCGAATCCCGACTGGAATCGACCCACACTAGGTTTAAACCGCGCGTGCTGCAACCCACCTCTATAGTTCCGTCGTCATACGACTTTGATCTTGGAAACCCAAGCTCTCGCGACTTTGGAATAAACACCTCTCTCTTCAACTCGCGACCTGTTCTCACCTCTCAATCCAGCCCGCTCTCGTCAATAATCGCATTGCAACCATGAAGATTCTCACAAAGGAAGAAGAGGAGGCGCATTATTCGGCCGTCGTCAAGGGTGGCTTCATCGGAGGCAGTCTTGGTCTTGCAATCGGCCTTGGAGGCGTTGCCCTTGCTTCAAGGCGATACCCTGCTTTCCGCGGCCTCACTCTTCCCTTCAGGACCTTCCTCGTCACATCTGCCGGTACATTCGGTGCCATCATCAACGCCGATCGCTGGTCCATGGATTATCAAAAGAAGCAGAACCCTATGAACTTTTACGAGGACGAGACTCAGCGCGCGCAGCAAATCGTTCGCGAGAACCAGACTGCAATGGAGCGTTTTATGGACTACGGAAAGGAGAACCGATACTCTATCGTTTTCGTCTCATGGCTTGCTTCCATGGGTGTTGCTTTTGCCATGGTCAGCCGCTCGCCCATGAACACAGCCAACAAGGTCGTCCAGGCTCGTGTATACGCCCAGGGCCTTACTCTTGCGGTTCTCATCATCTCTGCAATCTTTGAGGTGAACGACGCCAAGAAGGGTGAGGGTCGCTGGCAGACTGTCATGGTTGTTGACCCCAACGACCCCGAACACAAGCGTCTCATCGAGAAGAAGATTCACAAGGAGGAGTACGAGGGTCAGGACCTCTGGAAGGGTAAGTTGTACATATGATCCTTCGAGAAAGAATAAGACGCTAATTTGTATGTAAGATATGGTTGCTGCTGAGGAGCGACGATTGGCTGAAAAGAAGCAAGGCCAAGCGAGCAAGGCCTAAATGAGCCTCTGTCTCTCAAGCGAGAATCCTAACTTATTCAAAATCATTCCGCATCACACAGCCATCCTGAGCCGTTTATCTTTTAATACTGCGTTGAACCGAATCAATTGAGCTTATCTGGCGAACGTGAGAAAATTGTACATATATGGTGCAAGAGAAGGAGTTTTATGAAGCGCCGAGCCAAGGAGCAAATGGAGGCCATTGTTATATGACAGTTACTAGAGCAAAAATGTTCGTTTGTGTTTTTCTACTCGAGTTCTTGTAGATTGGGTGGAAGTCATGATGACCTCATAGTTAGCAATGCATGCAAAATATCACAGGTTTTATACAACTTGTGCATACCAAATTCAGAAACTCAGAATAGATGACCCAGATTCCTCTATACTATGTAAACAAAAGACCTGCACCGTCGACTCCCTGCTAGCTCCCTTGTCAAGGATCCAGTTACCGTCCCATAACAGCAAATCAATTAGTAAAACACACTGATATATCCAGAGAGAGCTGTAATAGCTTATGATATTACACCTCGATGGTAAAATGACTGATCTGCGAGTAGTACGCATGGACAGCCAGCTCTAGCAGCATAACGTCGCCAAACACCTCGCTTCCATCGAACCCTCCAATAATAATGAGCCGGCTATCATACAGCACCGTCCCATGATAGCCACGACCCGAAGGTGCTTTTCCATATACCTTGCGTCTGTCCCATGTCATCGTAACCAAGTTCAGGAGTAAGACATCGTTGGAATACTCGCTCCCATCGTGTCCACCGATAACGAAGAGATATGAGCCAACTATTGTGGCCGTATGTGACAGGCGACGAAAAGCAACAGGTATGGCCACTGCTTTCCACACTTGCGCGTCAACATCGTATACCCATACGTCGTCAAAACATTCACCGCCATCAGAACCACCAAAAATGATAAGTTTGCTGCCCACCATATTGGCCGTGTGATAACCTCTTGCTTTGGGACGGTAGTCTTTGGTCCCAGGACTCGCCTTATCGGAACTTGAAACCAGTCGCCATGACATTTTGTTGACATCGGCAACATCTAACCGCCATATATCGTTCAAGGCCCGGACACCATCACCGCCACCAAAAACGTAAAGACCGTTCTTATAAAGACAAGCAGTGTGCGCTCTTCGCTTTGAGGGCATCTTGTCTCCTATAATCTTCGGCTTTGTCCACCGAAAGTTTGTTGTATCCAAAACATAAACATCGTTGTAGTACTCCGGACCGTCACCTCCGCCAAACACGATGAGCTTCTTGCCTACAGCAGTACACGTCATGGCCCTCAAAGGAACGGGTATATCACCAACGACATAAGGTATAGTCCAATGGAAGGAATCCGCATCCAGCACATAAAGATCGTTAAAGCATGTTCTTGAATCGCAGCCACCAAAGACATATACGTTTGAACCAATGATGGTTGTTGTATGTGCTCGCAAGGAGGTGTGAGAAGCGCCCGACACGGGTGCCCTTGACCAGTACATACCCGATGCTGGAGCCACGTCGACTTTGGGAGATGTTTTTGGATCTGGAAGTAGGGGGTACGGCGTGTATTCCTCATGGAATATGCGGGATCTATGTGGCCCGTATCGTGCGGCTGCTTGTGCAGTTGTTCGACTGGTTATGGCGGATGTTGACCGTGAAGCGGTAGGCCGCCGAGTACGTCTATCTCCTTCGCTTGACGCATCCCCGGCGATGTTTGAGAAACCAGACGGTGGTTTGTAGGTCGCTGTTTTTGAGGTCGTGGAGGCTCCCTGCGAGGCGGGCTGTGACGGAGGTTGGGATGCGGATTGGGATGCGGTTTGTGATGCGGATTGGGAGCGTTGTCGGATGGAAAGATCCGAAGGTTTTCGGCGATTCGCTTGTATGCTTTTGCTGGCGAGATGACCTGGTGTATGACTCCTGGGCAAGGGCATCTGATCGCTTGACTCGTCATCGTCGTCCGAATCGTCGTCGACAAAGCTCTGCCCTCGCATTGGGGCTGCCGGAGCTGGCGATATCTGCTGTGGTTGAGCACCTCTGGTCTTGAGAAGCGACTTATCGGGAGACCTCCGCGGATCCGCCATGGCTTCGTAGGCTCTTCTTCATTGCCCGTAGACGAGACCTTGCGCTTGTGACTTGGACCAGACGAGGTGGGGGAAGAGATGAGCTGAAGTGGGAGGTAAAGACCACTTTATACGTGTACAAGTGGACAGAGTAGATGAAAGAAAAAGCAATCAATTAGGAACAGTACCCATTTGGTGATGTGCCAGAACCGTAAAGCGAGGAGAGGGCAGATGAGCTGTAGACGGTGACAGTGACAGCAGAGGAATGATCCATATGTCAAAGCCCAGGTATGATCATTCATGCAACGTTAGAGCTGTCCAGGGTCGGCTTTGACAGTTGGTCTTCCTCCTGTCGAGTCCAAGGGCCTACCTCTTAGCGATTGTAGCCCTGAACCTAGAGCGTTCTTAGTGAGACCTGGCCCCTATGGATGACTACTAAGCTGTGGAGGCGTCAGGGCCTCATAGTGGAGGTGTCGCGAGGGTGGAACAGGTACCGATTTGTGTGTGTCTGACCTCATAGCCCAGAACGGAAAGAGACCCCCGATAGTTTGTTAGTGCATCTGAGGTAACATCTCTTTTAGACGACCCAATCGAGGAATTTTTTCAATGTACACTCGAAAGAATCGATCTTATTTTGACGATTGACCTATAACTGTAGCAGGCAGCTACAAACATTGACAAATTCACATTTTCATTCACTGCCTGGTGGTAGTGTGAACGGTAAGGCAACACCGCAAACAAATGCAGGAGGAGAAACTTTTCTCGTACAACCTCACCTGCTTCCTTCCTTCCTTCACCTGCAACTCACCTCCTACACTCACTTACTCGCTTCACAAAACACACACTCATTTTAATAGTTGATATTCTCTCAGAAATTTGACATCTCATCACCCCTATTTGAGGAGTAAAAGCCTCTCAGAAAAACATCACTCATCCAAAAAGATCAACGCCATGAGTGAGCAACCCGACGCTCCGATGGGTCATGTCTCCTCTGGCCATGAGCATGCCGAGCTCATGGCTGATGCAAGCAACGTTGCTATTTCCACCGATGACGGAGAGCGGGCTTCGAAGCGAGTTAAGATGAATGACTCGATCCCCTCTGGCTCTGTGCCTGGAGAAGGCCTGTATGATGCGCCTGCAAGTAAGGAAAGCGGAAACGTGACAAGTGGTGACAAGGAGAACGGGGCCGAGGAGCAAAATTCAGACTCTAAGCCGGAACATGTCGACGGGCGTACCAAGGGAATTGCACCCATTAAGAAAGAGTGAGTTCATCCAAGCTGTGATGCATGTGAGATAGACTGACATCTCCTGTAAAGGTATCTCGTCGACACGTCAAAGTTCAAGGATACATCGACTGATGCTGTGAACGATGATGATGCAGCCGAGGCGCGTGGTACTGCCGACAATGAGGGCCAGGATGACACCCGCAAGGGAGGTAAGGGAAAGAAGGACAAAAAGGACAAGAAGAAGAAGGGCCAGAACACAGAGCGTGACTTTGGCAAGTTCGACGACGCCTTTCGCCTTTGCAACAGCCGAGCCTTCTACCCCGAGTTTTCTCCCAGAGAATGTAGGTTCGGTGATCGTTGCAACCTTTCCCACGATATTCGCAAGTATCTCGAGGAGGGACGCCGAGGTGACGTTGAGACCTTTGGGGGCAAATGTCCTGTGTTTGAGGCCCACGGCCATTGCCCTGCAGGCTGGAAGTGCCGCTTTGTTAAGAGCCACATGAAGGAGATCGAGCATGAGGATGGAAGAAAGGAGTTGGTGCTTATCAACACTTCTGCTAACGGTGGCAACAACGGCGAGCCCGTGGATGAGGGATCCGAGGAGAAGCGACCCGCCATCTACAACGTTGTCGGCATTGACAAAAAAATCGCCCTCAACCGCAAGCGAACAGATTTCACGCAGTCTGAACAGTACATCGGTTGGCTTAATAAGGAGGCTAAACTGAGCGAGGAGTTCATGAACCGTCGTAAGAACCAGTCCAATGAGGGAATTGAGGATCTTCGTGCCCGCTTTATCGATCCTCCCTTCAAGCCTTCTGAGAAGCGTCGACTTTATTTCGGTGCTGAGACCCCCACTCTGGCACCTCTCACTACACAGGGAAACCTTCCCTTCCGTCGACTTTGTGTTGAACTTGGCGCCCAGCTCACCTACTCTGAGATGGCCCTGAGTATGCCCCTGATCCAAGGAACAAAGGCCGACTGGACGCTCCTCAAGGCCCACGAGTCCGAGATCACTCCTCCCAAGTTCAACCCAGGCTCTGTTCCCATCTTCGACGACTACAACCACTCCAAGGACATCAAGTTTGGTGCTCAGATTTCTGGAAACAATCACTGGGTTGTCACGAAGGCTGCGGATGTTCTAAACCGCTTTTGCCCCCACCTTCGTCTCATCGACCTCAACTGCGGTTGCCCCATCGACATGGTCTTCAAATCTGGTGGTGGGTCAGCACTTCTTGAGAACTCTGGCAAACTGGAGCGCATGATTCGAGGCATGAACGCTGTGTCAGGAGAGGTTCCTATCACTGCCAAGATTCGCACGGGTATTCGAAACTCTCGCCCTACGGCCACCCAGCTCATCGGTAAGCTGGCGTTCGGTGCACGAGAACACAGAGAGCGCCTTGGTGCTCCTGGATGTGCCGCCCTCACTCTTCACGGTCGCAGTCGTGAGCAGCGATACACCAAAAAGGCCGACTGGGGCTACATCAGCGAATGTGCTGCTCTCATCAAGACTTACAACAAGGAGAAGGATGCCCTGACCGACACCATTGCTGAGCCCGACGCCAGCACCCTCGCGAACGCCAAGGATGGCCGCATGTACTTCCTCGGTAATGGTGACTGCTACTCTCACGTCGAGTATTACGAGCATATCGAGAAGGCTCGTGTTGACACCGTCATGATTGGTCGTGGTGCTCTCATCAAGCCCTGGCTGTTTGAAGAGATTGAGAAGGGCCAGTATCTCGACAAATCGTCCAGTGAGCGCCTCCGCTACATTGAAAAATTCGTGCGCTACGGTCTCGATGCCTGGGGTTCTGATGAACTTGGCATCGGCTTCACTCGCCGTTTCCTCCTTGAGTGGCTTAGCTTTGCCCACCGCTACATTCCTATTGGTTTGCTCGAGCATCTTCCTCCAGACCTCAACGACCGTCCTCCCGCGTACGAGGGCCGAGACGAGATGGAGACCCTGATGGCGTCGAACAACTTCAGGGACTGGATCAAGATCAGGTAAGTTGCAGTCCATCACTGTATTAGGTGGGCTAGAGTGCTAACAACATGTGTTTACAGTGAGATGTTCCTCGGTCCTGTCCACCCAACATTCAAGTTCCAACCCAAGCACAAGTCCAACTCGTACGAGGCTGAGGGTTGATGGAAGAAGAAAGACAGTGGGCGGTGTACAAAAATCCGAAAGAAAAGGGTGGAGGTGATTTGTAGTTCATTTTGGTTGACATCTTTCCATGTGGGGGAGCTGGTCTAGTCAGGGGATGACATGGCCAACGGTACATATGCATTTGAATGTCCGGATTCCAATTGAGGAGGACTTCTCAGTGGACAAGGAGTTATAACTCCGAGAACTACTCACATAAATGGGCGTGGCCAGTGTCTAGTCGATACTGTATGTAAATATCAAGCTAACAGCAATGAAGAGATTCTTGCACATACTGTCAGATGACTCCCAACTGCAGTGCTGTTTCGTTTGTACTTACTCAGAGGTTTTATCCAAAGCCTTTGTCTTTATTGATACTCTCAGAGGATTGTGCATAGGCGTGCAGCGTTGTTCAAGTCCGTACAGGAGGCATATCGGCATATATCGCGTGCCATCATGGAAAGCTCGAGCAATTGTCACTTCGGGACATGTCAAAGTAAACGCAGTCTGAGGAAGTAATCCATACACTGGCCTAGTCAGTGTGATAATCTACTATAGCTCTCGGTTGGGTTCCGGAGTGACTATGAGGCTATACCACCAAACTGACTGGACCTTTGAAGCTCGAAACTTGAAGTTTTGGGACACAAGATCCATTTATATCATTATTGTTTCAGTATGATCATTGAAGTCGTGGGATGCTTTAAAGCTCCAGCTTTTCTTGGGTTACAGGTATACTTCCCAGGCATCTAGTTTAAATTCACACGTCACGTCACATCACATCACAAATCAGAACATGTGCAGATAAGTAAATGTACAAATAACGAAACGCTGATCAAGCGCTATAGCATGGCTTGACAAGTGAATGTATATAATTTATATCTTTCCGGGATTGTACCTCCCTGAATGTCGCAAGACATAATGAACCCAAACGCTAGGAATTAATGCGTAAGAAAACCCAACCACAACTCCGTGATGACTTTTATAATCCAATCACCAAATGCAACCCGCCCTATCAAAGACAGAATCGTACAGACTTTCGTCCTCACATGTTATTATCGACGTTTCCAATGCGTTGCAAGCAAGTTTTATGAGTAGAAGTGGCTCCTCTGCATGCCGTTGGCTGAAGCATACTCCTTGCCATCTTCAGGGCGCATGGTTGAACTTGTCAATGAGTTTGTGCGGCTACTCTCGCTAGGGGCGGCCTTGAGTTTCTTGGGCTCTTGCGCAGGACGCTTGATGACCTCGAGATAGGTAGAGGGTAGATAACCTTGGCGGCCATCGCGAGCCCTGCATTGCCACCACTCGCTGGGGTTACCGGATGGGTCATTCTTGTTGAGAACAGCGACGAGGTCGCCCTTGCGAGCCTCAAGTTCCATGCCGGTGTTGGGCTGAGGCAGGAAGTCGAAGGTAAGTCGGCAGAACTCGAGCTTGGAGGGGTCGACGGGCTGCTGTGATTCAATGGCCTGTGCTTGGAGACGCCTCTGCTCCTGTTCTTGTGAAGCAGCAAGTGATCTAATCATCTTGGACATGAGATAAGGAATACCGAACGCGGCCAGAACAAAGAAAATGAGAGGCTTCCTGCTGGCCTTGGCAGGAAGAGGGTTACCATCGGGACCAATACTGCGGCCTTCGAAACGAGCAAAGGCAGCCGGTGTGAGAGCAGTCGCATCGGCAGGCGGCGGGCGACCAGTGATCTTAGCGATCAAAGTTCGGATCCATCGCATCAAAGTGAAGATGCCCAATACTGAACCCAAAGTATCTCTCAAGTTACCAAATTGTTCAGCAACAGAGACCATAGCTAGCAGATGTTAGTAAAACGGCGTTTTGACCAACGGGCCGGTAATAACTTACCAAAAAAGCTAGAGTGAGTGGCCATGTAAGTGCTTTCGAGCATCTGCGCAAAACCACCAAAGGCCGTGACAATGCCCTCAAGCATCTGGAAAGTAGCTTGTGTACTGTTGTTGAACGAGTTTGTCAAGCTGTTTTGGTCGCCAGGCATTCCCATGCCACCACCATACATGCCACCACCCATGCCGCCGCCGTACATGCCTCCTCCATAACCACCATATCCTCCTCCGTACATGCTACCATAGCCGCCGCCCATGCCGCCCATTCCGCTCATCCCAAATCGCGAGTAGGGGCTGGAATAGGGCGACGAGTAAGCGCCGCCCATGGAGCCGCCCATGGAGCCGTATGGTGAGGAATTCATTCGGCTGTAGTTGGCAGCGTTCTGATTGACGGTTGAGGTGAGAGAAGCAGGACGGTTAGGGACTGGAGGGGCGTCGGATGAATCGACGGTCGATGCGACTGAGGGAGAGATGGAAGGGACTGAATGTCACTACTTAGCAGGCGAGCGCTTGGAGGCGATGGATCAGGCGCAGGCGATTGACATGGAACGTGATAGGGAAGGAATGAAGAAGGAATTTGATCGCGACTTACCAGCAGCAGTCGCAGCCGCGCCAGGTTGCTCCCAGGGCTTAGGTGGAGAAGCCATTGGATAGTGATGTGATGATGGGTGTTGTCGTAGGGAGGAAGGGGATTGAGGCCGGGGCCGGACAATGAATTACCGAACAGCGGTATCGTAATGCCAGGAGTCCTTTCGTCTAATCTGTTGAGCCTCTTTGAGGTGTTGACTCTGCTTGGTTGTCTGGCACTCCTCGTGACACTGAGTGGTGGACCTCGGGAAGTGTACCGGACACAAGATCGGAGACTGACTCCGTGGTTATATGCAACCCCCAGTTTAGCGTTCAAACGGCGCGCGGGGGCAACGGAGTTGCCTCGGAATACGGGCAAAAGTGCCGCCGTGAGCGATGATAAGATTAAAAGGTCAAGTCGTCGCAGCGCTGAGAATGATTGTGATCGCGACAGGCGTGGGCACGAAAGGATGAGATGGAAGAGCAAGGAGAGGGATGTCGCAAGAGAAAAGCCGAGAAAGATTGAGTTGATTAGAGACAAAAATAGTGGACCCTGGACCTGTGAACTGGAGGTAGGCGCGTCCAAGTTTAAGGAAGAAAAATCCGGGGGCGACACGAGATGGGGACGGAAAAGCAGGAGCCAGACCTCGGCAGGTTAGAGTCTGGGCCCCGCCTGCCGCCTTCCTACCTAGGTACATTCGTTATTTTTACCCTTTGAGGAAGTAAGAGTGCAGACAGAGTGCTTGCCGCAAACTGGGGATTTATCATGATTGTTTAAAGTCTAAACATTATTCCTATTCTCTTGGGCTAACATGCTATGATGGTATTGGCACTTCGGTCATGCTGGTTGTTAATTGCAGCCACATTTCTCTCACTTCTTCAGAAACCGGTTGGTTTTGTCCGTTGGGTCAACCGGCTGAAAACTTTCCATGTGACGCTGAGGCTTTCTCGTTTCGCCACAAGCTTTCGGCACCTCCATTGACTGTTGGTGATCTTATCGGTTTTACGTCAATACAATGCATCTTTCCATGCACCTCGTCATAATTCAAAACGATATAATGGTTGTGTGCCTGAAAACCATGGTTTAATGTATGCTTCTGCAAATACTTAGAACCTATGGAATGAAGATTTTATCGATAGGGTCTACGACTTATACAACTTTACACAGAGTCACTACGCTATATGAGAAGGCCCACGTATAAAGTCCAATTATATCAGTGTTGTAACATTCATGAGAGGCTGACAATGATAACAACCTATAAAAAGCAAAGATGATAGCTCTATAGCCAATCATCGTCTAATAACCCAATATCAACACAGCAACAACAACAAAAACAATAACACTATGACAGGAAAACGACCACCAAGCCCAGGTCTAATACCAAACCCGTTCATCAAGAAACGAAACCTTGAATGGTCCCTAGGCTCAATATCGCCTTCAAAATCAAAATCACCAGCAACCGCGGATATAGAGTCTGGCTCAGTTACTGTAGATGATCACCTTTCTCATTTTAAGAACCATCTCGCCAACAGCAGTGTCAATATCTGAATATGCGTCACTGTACACCGCCAATGCTGGGAGTCTTCAGGGTGCTCATTTTGTCATCCATCAGCATAACCATCCTGTTGCAGGTACGCACTATGATCTCCGCCTTCAAATCAACGGAACGAGTAGTGTTAGTTGGGCCATCATGTATGGACTTCCAGGTGACCCAAACTCTACGCGGTTGAATAGGAACGCAACCGAGACACGAATACACTGCCTATGAGTATGCGAACAACTCCCCTTCTTGACATGCATGCTAATCCCCATGCTTAGAACCATCCCATAGAAACCGCCTCAAGTTCAACTGGTTCTCTTCTCATATGGGACACGGGAACTTATAGTATCCTGCAGCGAAAAAGCAAAAACTCACCATCTGAAGATCCATCATCACCGCCATCTTCACCAGCATCATCCCTTACATCAACACCACAAGCTCTTCTACACGAAGCTTTTCAGAGCCGAAAAATCCGTATCCGCTTGCACGGATCTCACTTACCTGATCCTTACGTCTTGAACCTTCGCTTGACCAAGTCAGAAGATATCGCTGGTAGACGGAAAAGTGGGAGCACGCCTCGGAAACGAAGACGTCCCCGCATGCGAACCTAGATACGTCATGGGACGAGTGAGGAGGACGAAAGTGAGGATATTCCTGCGATCGCTGATGCAGACGCCAACGCAGAAAGCCTCTCAGCCATGGAGCGTGAGATACGCGAACTAGAAGACGAAGAGGTCCGTAAGACGAATGCATATCCAGGGGCTTCTAATACCATCGGCAAGGCGCCGACATCCTCCAAGATGAGGACGTTGAACAGTTTGTTCAGCGTAAAGGTTGAAACCAGTATTAAACCAATATTTCAAAAGGCAAACGAAGAAGCACCGAGACATTTTTGTCAAATTTTATTGTTTACACTATATAAATACTCAGGCACAATGCCACGCCCCCCTTTGCTGTGCATGTGCATGGTTGTATAGCTCGTCTACCTCACTCATACCTGACAAAGATCCTACCCTGTAGGTTGACCCAGACAACTTCCTAGTAGTTGCGATACGCTTTAAATCAGTCCATCTTAATCAGACTCGTTGAACGCCTTTCCATGCTTGCTAAATCACGGATTTTCATGACCGTAGACCGAGCCACTCCGTTTTCGAATGAACACTGCATAAACAAACAAACAAAACACCCTTTTCAACGCACAGTATTACACATTCTTCCAAAAGAGTCAGATCAACTCTTGGGCTCCACAAGGGTTGGTGCAATTCGCCTCTTTTTAGGCTCCTTGGCGTCCTCCTTCTCGCTCTCGCTTGCCTCACGCTTGTTGCCCGCAACGGTAGCATTGGCACTTCGGGGTGTTTCAGGGGGTGTAGTCAATGGCACACCCGTCACCTTACCCGAATTTGCTGCAGCAATGCCTGGAACGTTGCCAGAAATAAGAGTCGGGTTGGTAACTACTCCAGTAGCAGGCACAGTACTGGCCTGCGTGGTGATGGTGGCAACTGATGATGTCGAATTCGATCTTGCAGGAGACGACGGGCGCTGAGAAGCAATCGAAGCCGACTGAGGGGGAGAAGGTGCCGTGAGTGAGCTCGCTGAGTTGCGATGTTGATGATGTGAGCCGTTGGGAAATGGCGAAGGCGGTGCAAACGCATTTGTTGGCGTAGGCAGAGGGGTACTCTGGTTGGACGAGGCAGTTGTTTGAGGCTTAGGAGGACCAACTTCGCCCTTGTAGATTTCACCCAGTTCCCCAGCTGCAAATGATAGAGTAGAACAGAACCCGTCAGATGAGGAGATCATCAAGGTCAGGCCATCGCTCGACCTAGTCGATTTATTAGTATACTTTTAACCATCTGAGTGGCAGTTCAACTTACCATGCCAAGTCAGTAAATGTAGCACAATGCAAGTTGCTAACAACACAGATAGGAGTCTTTTGTTGGGTATCGTAAAGAAGAACCGAATCTTGTGTAGCAACTGCATAAACCATACGATAAGCAAGCGAAAACGCAGGCTTCGGGCCCGGTGTGGTTGACGCCGCATCTATACCTGATGGCTTAATTTCAGATGTGTTCGCTGGTGGAGGGGGTGGTTCCATGATCGAGGGAGCCGGTGATGGTTTAGAAAGAGGCTCCGGAAGAGCTGGGATAGGCTCTTCAGAGGAAGAGGTGTCAATGGTGATATTCCGTGTCACCGGAGGAGACTGGCGCAACGTGTAGAATATAGGCGAGCACTTAACCACAACGGACGGCTTCTTGTGGCCAGGCAGGTGGGCGATTGGAGGCTTGTTGATACCACCACGCGTGTAGATATAGACAGTGTTGATCACCTCGTAGGTGGGCTTCGCGTCTCTCTCAGCCTGATGCTGGTTTTGGTATTGTCCAGACGGAGTCAGCAGCAAGCTGCCGTCTGGCGTAAAAGTGAGACGTCGAAAGAAGGATGTCAGGGTCTCGTTGGCGTAGAGGTTGGCATTCTTCATTCCCATGCCACTACTGATAGCCGAGGAAGGTTTTGGAGAAGGTTCCATAGGCATGACTGCAGGGAGAGGCATAGACGGCGCCGGCGACACAGATCGTCGAGAGGAAAACGAAGACCGGCGACTGTGGCTGACTACACTCGGGGGGTTCATAGGGAGCGCAAACGAGGTGGGCGTACCCGGTGCAGAAGGCACAGGTGATCCAATAGAAGGTGGGGGGTCGAGGACTGAGAGCGAAGAGCGATGTCCAAAGTCGGGGGGAGCAGGACTACTGGATGAGATTCGTCGGGGAGGAAGATCGGCTTTGATATGGCTGGCAAGTCTAGGAGTCTTGTCATCTGCGCTGAGTGTATATTGGCCATCCTTGGTCTTGAGAGAGTAGATATGAACGGATCGATCGGATGATTGAGTCGCAATGTATTCATTAAGGGGATCCCAGGTAACGCCCTGGACATAATGGCTGTGCTCAGCGATCTGGCGCACCAAAGTACCTATTCGTTGTGTTAGAGATTGCCGGGTATCGAATTGATTGTGGTCGTCTGCTGACCTGTCTGAGCATTGTAGATTCGCGCAATGTTATCCATGCTGCCGATCATGAAATGCACGCCGTCAGGAGACCAGGCCAAATCATAGATCTCTGCACCACTAGATCGACACATATGCTTCGCTCGCCATGACTCCTTGTCTTCTGGGGCATCGGAACCGAAAGCTGTTTGGGGCGTTTCGCTTGGTACCCAGAGAATCACGTTGCCATCATCGCCAGCAGAGGCTAGAAGCTCGCCTAGAAAGAAGAATGTTAGCAAAAAGCGGAAGGAAAAGAAATCATTAGTATAGACTAACCTTTGGGTGCCCAGCGAACAACGTTGACGGCCTGGTTGTGCTTGGAAAGAGTTGAAAGGTATTCGACCTTTCGGTCCTCGCCATCAACTTGAACCTTCCATATTCTGATATGGTTGTCACCACCAGCTGTAGCTAAACGACCCTTTCCAGCGGGTTCGAAGTGAGCTGAATATACGGGGGCATTTTGGTCGTGCCAATTGATGATGAGAGGAGCGGCTTTCATCGCGACGGTTCGTTTGGTTGATCAGGATACGATGGAAGCTGCATAGGTAGGGAGAGGCCTAGAGAGGCTGTGGGAGAAGAGACAGGAAGAGCTCAATTACTCCCACACTGTTTGAGTATGAAGGGAGTCGATAAAGGTGAAGACGCAGAGGTGGAAATTGAGAGAAGCAAAAGAAAGTCAAGAACGAAAGTGGACTCTTTTTTCTTTTGATAGCTAGGTATTATCGATGGTATCGGCAGTGATGGATGAGAATCGGCAAACCGGTAGTAGACTAATGGGTTCTGTAGTAGAGTAACAACGGGTCAGGCATGGAAGTTTGATGGTGGAGAGCTCCAGGCTGGAGCTGGTGTGGACCTTTTTAGAAGGCTTTGATTAGTAGCAGGTGTACTAAGGCGGATGCCAAGCTGTTTAGGTGCTGTACGAACTAAGGGGGGGAAAGACAAAGTAAGATAGTGCAGGTAGTAGGTAGAGATCGATAGACGAGTTGAGTGTTGGTTTTTGATTTATTGACTTCGGTACAACAAGAAAGGGGACATGTGAAAGAAGCGAAAGCGAAGAAGGGGTGGAAAAGAGGAGTAAACGGCACGAGTGAGGTTTATTCCGACACCTACTTTCCTTGAGTTAGTACTTACAATTCTCACTCTGACACTTGCTGTAACCAATTCAAATCTCGGGCACTCTCCCGTCATAGGAACAAGGCACGAGGCACAGAGTGTTTGGCCTATGCAGGGCGCTGTAGGTGGAAGTTTTTACTTCAAATTTAGTTGCATTTGCCTAGTAAAGTTGCGGCGGATGCGCGGGCGATCACATACATAGGCTGGCTAACGAGGGGGCCTTGATCCAATAGAGAGCAGCGTAAAAGATGCATGTCACGAGGGGGGAAGGCAGGGCAATGCAATGCACTCAATGTCAGGTACTCTAGTCAGGCTCAGGCAAGTCGGGTCAGATTTAACGCTGGGTCTCAGTGGGCACACAGTCTACAGGATCCAATCCCAACACAGTTGCGCCGCAGCCAAGCGCTGCACCAAGGAGTTGTTAAACCTTGCTGAGTACAGCATCACGATCCGGTGCCTCGCAAGGTATTTAAATATTCACTGGAACATACCACGTCTACTGAACAAGACCGTCTCTTCTGCCAGGATCCTATGGACTGGACGGTTCCATTATCAGGCGCTGACACGGACTAGGGCATCCAACATCATCATCATACCTGCGGTAGGTAGTACCAAGCCTGGTAGAGAGGAGGCAACTGATGGGGGCCAAAGCTCATCAGCCCTGAAAGGAGGTGAGTATCACAACACATTAGACAAGGACTAGAAATACAGTTACGAAACGAAAAAAAATTGATTCATCAAAATGACATAAACTTTAATGCGGCCTTGACACTTTATCCTGCCGTTGTTACAGCGTCTTGTCTTACCTCCGTCGTATGGAAGTTAGCGTCAGTATATGGGAACATCCGATAATAAAAGAACAGAAATCAGCAGCTGGAAACACAAAGGGACAGGACAAGACATGTAAAACAAGTGTTTCGATTCCGGTTGGCTGCCTTTGTGAACATGGATCCATGTTTCTTTTACAGTACTGTGTACCCTGCGGCATTTGCTTTGAACCATGGCTCCCTTCTGAAAGACTCTTGACTTCACGAATACGTACTAGACAAAGCTCATCAAGCCAACAAAAGACTTGTTATATATTAGCTCCGATCAGCAGCAGTTTCTCGTATTACATTTGAGCCAACTGATGTCAGTCAAAATGAACATGCTAACTAAGTGGGGGAATTTATACACCAGGAGAAAGTTAAGACATGACCTTCTATTACCAGCTGAAAGTTGGATGTTGCATACATGTTAGGCTTGAATTGCAGAGCCAATCATATTATACAGCCTGATCATCTGCGAGTTGCCAATGGCCTGAATTCCAATCACTATGGAGACTGCAATGGGTCCTGTTGTTCTGTTGTCAGAATCCTCCAACAATGATTGACTTGTTGTACACCTATAGTAAAAACACAACAGGGTTGATAACCAGGTCCACCCGTGTAAATTATTCTTTGTACATGATACTTGTTCTCAGCTCTCAGCTCTAAACCGTGACTCAGTGTTGCTTGGCCACTCTCGTCATTGTGAACTGCAATCTCGTTACTGTTGCGTTAACCCTGCTTACGATAGGTGTGACGAGGTGTTCTGCATCTCTTAGACGGCTGTTTCCTGGTCAACCGCCTCTCCTTGGTTCTTTCAGGCAAGCAATGGACTTACCATGCATGATTCTTTGACCAACACACGTAGCAATGCGCAGCGTCAAACACCCCGATTGTGAGAATTCCTCATGGTCGTGGCTGGATCTGGTTTGATCGGCCGGCACATAGTTAACGAGCTGTGGTAATAAGGATAACAGTGTTGAAGATGGAACCTGTCCTATCGGATTAAAGTTGCATTGGCCGGTCGTTGGGATCTCAAACAAGGCTACGTAGGTATGAAAGAGGAGTCTAACTAAGCGAATTCGATACCAGAGAGAGAGAGAGGCGGTTGCGATTATGGTGGATCGGATGCCATCCGAAGGGTTCTCGATAGTTTCAAGATCTCCCACTGAACAAATGCGCTGGATATCGCCCTCTGATGATATATCATGTCAATATATACCGAGCTAGAGCTTCCATGTTTGGGGATACTAGCGTTTTCCCCGTTGACCATCGGGAACTATCTAAAGAGAAACCATGAGAATACTAAGCGCCGAGTTGACGGATCATTACAAGAGGGTTTCTTGAGCTTCAGGTGGAAATGGCCACATGACCAGAACTGAAGTTGACCTTCGAGTTGAAGAAAGACACCAATACTGAATGTGCTCAACGTTCACTGGAAATTGGCTGGTCATGTCAATAAATGCCGAGTTCCATGATTGACACAGCCATGTTAGTGATCTTGTTTAAGAGGCTTCCGCATCTCATGTGATTCCTGTCGGGTCGCGTTTTTTCTGTACAGGTCCTTATTAAAGGAGTCAGAGGGGTTTGAAGGTGTACTGTTATTGCTATTTTCTCGAAATGACACTCGAGTTCGTTGACCTTGTTGATCTTGATGTGTCTCAAGTCGAGAATATGCTTGTTGCGCATAGAAACATACTCTTGACGGACAGGGAGCACACTTCTGTATTTCATCGCCAACTGGGAATACTGAAAACCCCCAGCGGTATCTCCTAAAGACGATCTAATCCAGCACAGCATCAGAGTATAGCTACTGAGATAACTGCGCCAGATATCCAACGGGCCTTACTCATGGGCAGGTATACTCAGCTAGAGCATATACTAATATCTCAACTTGGTTAGGTGCAACGGATTCAGAGAAATCAGCTTATCATTAGATAAAATGAGAATTCCCGTGTCAATCCACCATCCTTTATAGCACAAGCATAGATAATAAGTTGGTGCCCGTTCAGACAAAGCTTCGAGGATGAACATGCGGAAAGAACTGGAGATACAGCAGGACAAGAACTAACTTTTCCATACTTATCCTTACTACCAAGAATCTGCTCATTTCTGTTTTCTCGTCTTGGATTTAGAAGAAATGATTCGTGATCACAAGGCGATATTGTAAAGCGCTGGCCATTGTCATGTAACCTCGCAATGTATAGACGTAAACAGGAGTCATCTAAATTCTTCAAGTTGTATTTGTGCTGATGCAAGTATTTGATACCCAATACTGCCAGATTATTTTGTTCATGGGCTTGCGGATGTCTGTGTTCGAGGAGTTCAAATAGTTGCAAGCATATATATGTTCAGTAACGGCAATGCTTTGGAGCCATCGATATTCTGAATAATCTCTTTTGATCCAACCCACAGTCTCAAGTTTATTACTCTAAGGTCTCGTCCCCTATATTTACCTCAAAGTCTTGGTAAACGCATTTGGCCTTTTGTCGTACACAGAAGCTACCTACGTGCTTGACGAACGTTGTAACACTTTACCTTGTGCACATGACAGAATTGACAAGCGGCCACAGTGCGTTTCTTATGGGTGAGTTATTCCATATCCAAGTGCTTTTGTATTTTTATAAGCCTTTCAATGAAGTTTAATGTCATCTTGATCGTCTTGGATACCGAATCCATGGGGACTGCGTAAGAAAAAGTCAGTTTCTAGATGCAACCGATAGCTATTATCAGTTAATATCTGATTATAGGGAGATCCTGATATGGTAGCAACACCGACATTGCATTTAAAAGACAATTACAGGTTATACAATAGCTACTGACCTACCAAGGTAACTACAATCTGTTTCCACGTCTCTCCAGTCGGGGAAGAACAAGCCGGGCAAACAAATCAATTCTTTAAAAACAACCGTATCTGCAAATTAATCTGGTCCTACAAAGGGTACTGAAGGAACATTCTCAGTCGCTGATGGAATCCACCTACCAGTGTTTATGACTTTTCAGTTTCACTAGTCTTCAAGCAAGCCAACAGGAGGTTAAGCAAGCCAATCTTTATTATAGAACCAAGAGAACCCACACAATAACTTGGCGAAAAGATGATATGACCTTGCACTTGTATTTAGTGAATGCTACATATTTTGGCCGTATTCCCTCTCAGGGGCCTACTGATACAGTGCAGCTGCTGTCGGTGTAAGTCGAGTTTTGTCAGATTATAGTGCATCCCATTTTGGATTCCTGGGCACTTACGTGGAACTGGGTGTACATTAACCATTTAGTTATGCTTTGACCGCTTTTGAAAACTGACGGTATTAGTGCGACCTGCATAGTTGAGATGTATTGATGCAGCCGGCCCAACTTGGTGTAAGTACGAAATAGTGATTTACCTGGTACTGATTGTCTGTCTGAAGCTTCCCTTATTCCTATCATTGTGGACATCGATAATAGCGATTAACAAAGTAGATTCCCATCGTGATCTCCTCAGTTTATAGCTTCAGATTTATCAATATTCTAAAGAATATTATCAAGCGAAATGGTCAAGTATATAGCCATGAGTCAACATCTCAGAAAGCATCCTCAACTTAACGCTCAAAAACAAATGGCGACAAGCAAATGGCGAGGCCTCCGAATGCCTATGAGCTGTTGTTATGAATCATTGGCATCTTCAACAGTTTTTCCTGGTTTGTACCATCCTCAAACCTCAGATAATACAATGCATGTCTTCAAGTGACACGATTGTGCTATCTCATGCAGCAAGTTGAGTTGCCTGGTGAGTCACGCCGTTATAAGATCTTTGCATGGTTTGTTGAGGGGTTGAAAAAGAGAATAGGGCTTAGGCAGAGTTGCCGATCAAGTAAGTTAATGCTGAGAGGGCGGCCGTTCTCGATGTACAGGATGGCATTGACCTATTTGCTCGATCAACGATTTGTTAGAGAATCAGTCGACTGCCATACATGAATATCCTATATCTAAGATTTTGCTATTTACTCATAGGAATCATACTGTATCAACCTAGTCCAAACCGCAGGATGCTTGCTTAGTTTCAAACCAACAAGGTAAACTACCTACCTACATATCTGCTTTGCACGGTGGTTCTCAAACCGTTGCTTATCAAGCTCAGTGGAGTGATGTAGTCAGATTATTGGAGGTCCTTCCTTAAATGGCTGGCCGGGTCCACCTTCCAATGCCCGGTTAAGCAATGCACGGGCCAAACCATCCCGGGGACGGTTCAGTTCCACTGCACTGGCACCAAGTGGGGGTTAGCCTGACCTGCCCGGACTTTTTGCATCTTACAACTTTTTCCGTACCTACGTCAAACAATAACATTCACCTTCTTGGCAGAGACTCTCCAGATTCAGAGGATTCTCCATTATATCCAGACTAATACCAGGCAGATACATACAAAAGATCATGGTGCCTGGAAGAAATTACACGCTTCCCAAGGCATCAACTATACTGCCTATCTCTGCCGTCACTGCCACTCGAGATGGCTGCTTATCACGGCGGTCTTGGATACAGTTTGTATAGACGTAGTCTCCGCCAACGGCGCAGGATCGCACACTCCCTTACTGGATTGGTCAGCTCGAAAAGACCCTGCATTGTCACTCATCATGGTGGCTGACGAGCGGTCTGAATGCCGGCCTCACTTTGCTCTTGTTAACTAACACAAGGGACACAATGAAGAGCTCCGTCAAAAGACATTGCCCGATAATCCCGGTGTCGAGTTGTTCATAATGCTGTACATGGAGGTACACTTGTTACTTGACCAAGATAATTTTTACAATCTGCTTGCATCGACGCACTGCACATCATACCTTGCAGTAGAACCCCACCATACTCTTTGTGGATCATTGATGCCTCGCCGCGAAGAGTCACAGGCAGTCGTTTTCTTCTAGAGGAACTTTTCAAATTTACTAACCTAGCTTCCCAACCCCCATGATGATACACTCTTACAGGCGATATCTCAAGCAACCCATCTCTTATCCCTACAGCACCCCTCAATTCGCCCATGCACGACCCTGGTCGAGCGGCTGTTTAAAACACAAACCTTCGATTATCTAACCCTGTCCTTCTGGCGTCTTGTTTCGTTGACTCAATCCACCCGAACACGGAATACGGCAACATACTATGGGTCCCGTCTTTTTTTCCATAGATCCTAGGAGCAGCATCAGCCAGCTTATTTATTACATGTACGAAATATGACTTACCTGAGAGGGTTTTATAAAGACTGTTGAATCCTTGCCACTTTCTCCTGCATCCAACTTCTTCCTCCCCTTCGTTTCTATCTTGATCTAACTGGCGACTGCTTCTGGTGTCCATTCACAAGATTTCAACAGCCTGCCAAGGATAACTGTCATAAGAGCGGACAACGACAGACATCGCCATCTGGCGTTTCGCGCCATTGCCTTCCAGAGCGCTCCATTTACGGCATTGCACATCCATCATCATGGTTGTCGATAACCTTGATGTTGTTCTGACCGGCACAGGCCTTGGTCTTGTAGCATTGGCTACTGCACCCGCCCTAGTCGCAGTTATCGATCAACTGCGTAAGCGAACCCCCAAGGATAACTTCTATGAAGATATCGATGGGAAAAGCACACCAGAAAGCATTGCCGCTTTTTCAAACCGATTACCCAAGATCTTGATTCTGGTCTCATCCGCCACAGGTCTGGGAACGTCAATCGCCGTATCAGTATTGTCATCGCTTCACAGCTCTTCAAATGAACTGTTGCTCGAGAACTGGCTTCTTACTGGCGCCTGGGTGAGTAGCTCGAGCTTGGTTATTTTCAAGTGAGGCTGACGCTTCTAAACAGCTTCTGATTGCCATCCATGCCATTTCGTTGAGTGCTCATCATTCGCCTGTAAAAGTTCACGACCTTGGACTCTGGCTCCTGTTGTCTTCGATTACCGTTGCCGCTATTGCTGTGGCTCAGTTGACCAAGGAAGCTCAGTATGGTTCCCATAAGAACACCGCTCCTTTGGTCCTTCGTGCTGTGAACGTTGGGGCTGTCATCCTCCTCGGCTTCTTCAGTGTATTGCTTCCACGTCGGCCTGATGTTTTTATTGAAGACCTCAAAGTTGACGGCCAATGGACCGTATCTGCCTTCAACCGCTATACTTGGTCATGGATTAGCCCTCTTCTTCGTGTTGCGACCCAGAAGAATGATCTCGACACAAGTGATGTCCCTTACCCAGACAGGACTCTTCGAGCTGCAGGTCTAAAAGAAGACTGGTTTGTGTCCAAGCCTCAGAACAGCCTCTTTCGCTCGGTGCTTTGGGCCTACAAAGGTCCATTTTTCTTCCAGTTTTCTATCACTACAGTTCGAAACCTCCTGGCTCTTCTGCCTTTTTGGGCCATGTTGCGAGTCATCAATATCCTCGAACAACGAGATATAGGACTATCTGGATCGTCGAACCTGGAACTCTGGGTATTGGTATTTGCCATGGCCGGTTTTAACCTTCTGGATGCTGTGAGTTTCTCTTGTTCGATTCCATGTAAAGATACTAATTCGTTTCAAAGTGGGTTGAGGGATGGGCATTTTGGTACTCGTTTGCATGTATCGCTTTGCCTATTCGGTCTCAGCTTTCAACGCTCATATTTGAAAAATCACTTCGACGCAAGAATGTAAAGTCGGCAGAGAAGTCAAAGGAGTTAGACGCATCTCAGGAAACGCCTGATAAGAAAAAGGAGGACGAATCTGACGAAGGCTCCCTCAAGTCTCGACAAGCCATCGTGAACCTTGTCGGCATCGATACTTTACGAATCTCAAGTTACACAGGATACCAATTTCTGATTTTTAACAGCATCTTCAAATTGTTTTTCTTTTCCTTCTTCCTAGTCCGCCTGATTGGATGGGTCCCCTTTACAGCCGGATTTTTTGCCTGGGGTCTCACTCTTCCTGCTAATACTTACTTTTCTAAAGAACTACTTGGAAGGTCAGACAAGCTGATGAAGCTTCGTGATGAAAAGCTTGCCGTGGTGAATGAAGCTTTGCTTGGTATGAGGCAGATTAAATTTGCCGCGCTCGAAAGCCGCTGGGAGAAGCGCATCCTGACTATGAGAGAGAGGGAACTTAAGACCCTCTGGGGACTCTTTATCGTTGACACTGGTCTTTTTGGATGCTGGGTCATCAGCCCCATTCTCCTTGCCGCGACATCTCTTGCCGTCTATGCTATTATCAACGGTCAACTTCAACCATCGGTCGCTTTCGTTAGTATTGGGATCTTTAAAGCTTTAGAGGTCTCCCTGGGCGTACTGCCGGAACTTATCACAATGGGAGTGGATACTTATGTTTCTCTCAATCGAATCCAGACGTACCTCAACGGTCCTGAGATGAAGCACACGTTGTCCGAAGGAACGGAGGTGGGCTTTGAAAATGCGAGCATCGCTTGGCCTGAGGACGATGAGAAGTCTGATGAAGACAGGTTCATCCTCAGAAACTTGAACTTCAGCTTCCCAGCTGGTGAACTATCCGTTATCTCTGGAAAGACTGGTACGGGGAAAAGCTTGCTTCTTTCTGCTATACTTGGCGAGACAGACATCTTGGAAGGATCTGTTTGCGTGCCACAGACCGTCTCTCCACACGAGCGACATGATGCACAGGCTCATCTTGGCGACTGGATCCTCCCTGGGTCTGTCGCATACGTTGGACAAACCCCTTGGCTTGAAAGTGCGTCACTTCGCGATAATATCTTGTTCGGCTTGCCCTTCATTGAGGAGCGCTACAACAAAACCGTCGAGGTCTGTGCTTTGAAGAAGGACCTGCAGATTCTTACAGATGGTGATAAGACTGAGCTCGGTGCCAATGGTATCAACCTCAGCGGTGGACAGAAGTGGCGAGTCACTTTGGCTCGAGCCATCTATTCTCGTGCTGAAATTTTGGTTATGGATGACGTCTTTAGTGCTGTCGACGCACACGTTGGTAGACATATTTTCGAGAAGTGTGTCACAGGCGATATTTGCAAGGGACGAACGAGAATTCTTGTCACCCATCATGTTGGCCTGGTCCAGTCGAAAGCCAAGTATATTGTTGAGCTCGGTGAAGGCGTTGCTTTGCACTCCGGTTTGGTAGCTGACTTTATTCGCGATGGGACATTGGATGAAATCAGGCATCATGAAGAAACCGCACAGCAGTCCTCAGAGGACGAAACGATAGATTCTTCTACTGCTGTCAACTCTGAGGATGTCTCTGTCACTGACCCTACCGAAACAAACGAAAACATGCCACTGCAGAAGGTGCCTTCGAAGACTGCGAAGCAATTTATCCAGGAAGAAGCACGAGAAAAGGGCATGGTGAAGAAGCACGTATATCTTACTTATTTAAAGGATAGTGGCGGCACCCTTATGTGGAGTGTATGTGCAGTTGTCTTTCTTGGCTTTCAGATTGGAATTCTTGGTACGTCTCAAAGTCTCTGAGTATGAGATGTCTTGCTAACAATGTCAGGTCGGGCCTGGTGGCTCCGAATCTGGACTGGTGATGTCGACGAAAGTGTTTCTACCAGCAGCCTCCAGCAACACCACGGCCATGCCTCCATCTTTTCGCTCCAACATTTCCCATACAGTTCTGCACCTGAGCTCAGCATCACCAAATCTCACTACGATCTGAAGTATTACTTGTGGGTCTACATCGCAATCTCAACTGTTACAGCAATCATTGGTACTTTCCGATTCTACTGGGCGTATTACCTTGCAATCAAAGCGAGTCGGTCGCTCTTCGAGAAGATGCTGTTTACGGTCCTACACACTCCACTGAGATGGCTCGATACCGTTCCCGTTGGCAGAATCCTGAACCGATTCTCGTCGGATTTCAACATTATCGACAATCGCATCACTTTGGACTGGACTCAATTCATCGCCGGCCTTTTGTCTCTGGTCGGTGTATGTGTCGCCGCTTTCTTTGCCTCCGGTATCGTCATTCCCTTGGCTATAGCCTTGCTGGGACTCGGTGCCCTTCTGGGCAACAGATATCTTTATGGTGCACGACCATTAAAGCGACTTGAGAGTAACTGCAAGTCTCCTGTGTTTGAGCTCTTCAACGCAGCGCTTGCGGGCGTGTCCACTATCCGAGGATACAAAAAAACTCAGGTCTATATTGACAGGATGTATCAGAAACTTGACACGTGGGCAATCATCACGTCCTACATGTGGCTCGTCAATCGCTGGATGGGCCTGCGTATGGGTCTCATCGGTACACTGTTCTCAACAATTGTTGGTATCATTGTTATTGTGAGCCCCAATATGGATGCCGCGCTTGCCGGGTTCACTCTATCGTTTGCAATGGACTTTGCCGAGAGCATCCTCTGGACAATTCGAAACTATGCTACTATGGAACTGAATATGAACGCGACAGAGCGAGTTGTCGAGTATACAGACCTTGAGATGGAGTCACTCGTGGGGGAGAAGCCCCCTGCTGCGTGGCCTACTTCGGGAACTATGAAGATTGATAACCTGGAGGTCTCATATGCATATGATCTGCCACCTGTTCTCAAAGGAATCTCTTTCGACGTTAAGAACAATGAGAGAGTCGGTGTTGTAGGACGCACTGGCGCTGGAAAGTCGTCCCTGACACTTGCCTTGTTCCGGTTCTTGGAGGCTCGTTCTGGCAGCGTTACCATTGACGGTCTGGATATCTCTAAGGTTGATCTGTATAGCTTGAGATCTCGTCTCGCCATCATACCTCAGGTATTTGCCATCACTGCCTATCGTACGAAACGAAACTAACACATTCCTAGGACCCTGTACTTTTCTCGGGCACTATCAGATCAAACCTCGATCCTTTCGAAGATAATACAGACGACGAGCTCCGCGAATCTCTGACTCGTGTCCACCTTGTGGATTCTCAGCCCGCTACGCCTGCAAATGAACCCTCGTCGGCAGCAACATCGACACTTGCTGTCAAGAACACAAACATTTTCCGAGACCTCTCAAGCCCCATCTCTGAATCTGGAGGTAACCTCTCGCAAGGTCAGCGTCAACTTCTATGCTTGGCTCGTGCCATTGTAGCTCGACCCAAGATTATGGTCCTGGACGAGGCCACCTCGGCTGTCGATATGACTACCGATGCACTCATCCAACGAAGTATTCGTGAGGAGTTCACTGACAGCACATTGATCGTCATTGCACACCGTCTGAGTACCATCGCTGACTTTGACCGTATTCTTGTTCTTTCCGATGGTCAAGTCGCCGAGTTTGGAACACCCAGGGAGCTTTGGGAACAAGAGGGCGTGTTCCGCGACATGTGCGATAGCAGTGGAGAGAAGGAAAAGTTGAGACAGACAATATTTGGTTGAAAATAGAAAACAGCAACGATATTTAGGGGTGATTAAAAGGTTGCGCACAGGCTGCAATTGCATCTATGTTCAGATGGCAAATGCAATGATATTTGTTTTACTTCACTTCTTACAGTCAGCTCGCTATAGAGCTTCCGGATAGCACCGATTTAGCTATTGATTCAAAATAACGAAACATGTCACAAAAGTGCAACGCATACATGTTCTAAAAGGTTGTCTCTGTCTCAATCAAAGTGATATGCTACAAAAAGTGTGGTTCTGTCTGGGATTGAACCGGAGACTTTCTCGGTGTTAACGAGATGCCATAACCAACTAGACCAAGGAACCTAGGTTTGTTGGAGGCGGCCGCTGAGATTTAGGAGATTTTACCAAGCATGGCGATGGTTCTGTTCTGGTACAGGGTAAATTCCGTGGTGTGAACCAATATTGTGAATAATACAGTACCTTTCCAGCGGGGATAGACAATAAATATTTTAGTATTATCTGAATGAAACTTACCATATTATTTGGTAGTATTTAAACTAGTAAGGTTGTGTTCTGATGTTGAGATCGTCTACATTGTTGTGGTTGAGCTATGCAGTCGTTTGGCAAAGAGGATAGATGCACAATTGCCAACAAACATGTACCAACCAACCTTTAATGTATAGATAACGCGAATGATAACCAGTTTTCATTTTCATGAGAAGTAAATTCGTTTAGTTTTACATAACCATGCATCCAGTTGTAATGCTGTCTCCCATCAAGCATTCATCATGATATACAGATTTTATACAAGTCCCTCCGTTCTACCACACGCATTTTATTTTCCTGACTTCCCAAACAGGGAAGCCATGTAATCTCCAAACGTTGAGTTGCCTTCTGCTTGCCTCTGTTTCCTCTGCTCCGCCTGGGTCTCCCAAATCTTTTGGACGCTGCCCGCAACCTCAGCCTTGGCCTGAAGATCAGCGCGAAGAGCAGCCTCTTCAACCACACGCTCCTCAGCTGGTAGCTTGTCCAACTGTTCCTTCCACTGCTGCTGGAGTTCTTCCGTAGGCACGACTGAATCGTCCTTGGCCTTTGGTAGTTTTGTCTGGAAAACAGGAACAGGAAGACCTTCGGTCTTGGCTTTTTCTACTGCCTCCTCGTGCTTGAGCATTTTTTGGTAGAGAGCATCGGCGTGCATTTGGATATCCTCCTCTATATCGGGTGATCTACCCACCACTGAGCCATGGCCCAACGCACGAAGGAATCTCTGTATATGGTTAGAAAGATTAACCGTGAAGTACAAATTATGGGCGACATACCGATTGCATCATGTAGCACCTCTCAAACCTGCGCACTTGATGTCTGCACATTTGCATTTGGTCTTCCCAGCTTCCATGCTTCATGCAATTCACCCACTCTTCTTGATACTCGGCGCAGTTCTCCAACGCAGCTTTACCAATGGCCTCTTTTCGCTCCTTGTATGCTTCCAACACACTCATCAGCTTGTCATGATCGGATGCTGTCTCAGCTTCAATCTCGGCAAGAGGCCGGTAACTCTTCCATAGATGCGCATATCGTCCATCCTTGTACAAGCTCGCTGATGGAGCAGCTGGTTTTTGATCTTGTGTTTCCGCTACTGCGACATTGGTATTGCTGGGCTGCTCAACTGCTTGAGCAGGATTTGTGGGCTGGCTCGTTGGGTATTTGAGGGGAGATTCTTTCTCGAGAAAGTCACGAAGGCTGGGATCGAGTTTTGCTAGCGGGTCTGCCGACTTGTCGGTACCGAGAATCGAAGATATCCAACCCATTGTGAAGAATGCGCTGGGGGGTTTAGTGGAAGCTGAGGGTAGAATAATTGGTTAAATCTGAACTTGAGATTGTCCCTCCAAACTTTCAACACAGCTTCAACTGAGATAAAGTGGAGGTGTGAACATGAACATAGCACTGTACGCGATACTGTGTTTCAATTCCATTTATAACGTTGACCCAATCAGACAGAGCTCATGTCATGAGAGCAATTACAATATCAAGGATTATATGGCAGTCAACATTCACAGATTCGACCCAGATACGAGAGTTTGGTCATAAGTTGTCGTCGCTATTTTATTTTCTGAAGTGAATTGACACCTCATGTCCCAAGACTCGAGCCGTTTTTATCTATCATGAATGAGATCTTCATCACAGACGCAACGGCATCTCACAAGTCAAATCATCAGCTCCTCACAAGGCACTGGCATTTTTTGGTCGGTGAATAGTCAAAGGTATGAACGTAATCTTGAGATCATGACGACCCTTTTCCTAGCCATATCACGCCCGATTGAACCATCAACCCAAAACAATTGTCTTCGTGAATCCTTTTTTTATTCGCGATTGCATCTATAGCACAACCATTTGCAACGCAACATCCGGTGCCCGACCCTTCAGGGGAAACTTTCCATTTGCCCTGATGCTTATCACGCCGAAAAAATGCCAGAAGGTAGGATAGTCCCAACTTAAAACTTGGAGAACTTCTTAACAGACTTGCCGGTTCGGGGCAGGACGCGCAGGACGTTGAAGCGGACCTTGAATTCATGTTAGCAATTATTCCTCACACAATGGTTCCGAATCGTTCGGGCTAAACATACAGTCTTGCTCAGAGGTCGGCACTGGCCAACGGTAACCTGATCACCCTCCTGGACACGGAAAGCGGGAGAAACGTGGGCGGCAACGTTCTTGTGTCGCTTCTCGTATCGGGAGTACTTGGGGATGAAGTGCAGGTACTCGCGGCGGATGATGATGGTTCGGTGCATCTTGGTGGAAACGACGGTACCGGTCAAGATACGGCCACGGATAGAGACGAGACCAGTGAAGGGGCACTTCTTGTCTACAATGTCAAAATGTTAGTAATGCGCTCTTCAATGCATATTGTTCCCTGCAAATATTCCCCTGTCCTTCCCAATGCTCGCCCATCCATGTCGTGATTTCGTATGTCGATATTCGTTTTCGTTTTTCGTCCTTTCCCAAACTCAAAATTGATCGCACGTACCAATGTAGCTGCCCTCAATGGCGGTCTTGGGGGTTCGGAAACCCAGACCGACGTCCTTGTACCATCGTCGGCCACCCTTGCCCGGTCGGGTGGACTTGGTCTTGGTCTTCGAGTTCTGGAAGATGTGAGGCTGCTTCTGGAAAGCACGCTCCGACTGGACGGTCAACTCGGTCGCCCTGATGTAAAGGTTAGCGACTCATTCGTTTTTTCGACATCGTGTATTCGTTTCGCTGTGACTGACATCTTGAATTATCCTTCTCGGGCAGGTACCGTGGGGAAATGGCGTATAGGTTGAGCTGGGAGGGCGAGGTTGAGACTGCTAAGGCGGACAGTAGTTTTCGCTGATGGAGAAGTAGGGCAGAAAGTCAGCTTTTCGTGAACTTCCTTAGGGCTTGCAAAATCCGGAAAGTGGCGGTGCGGGACAGCCGAGCGCCACGTATGCACGTGATAAACGGTGGCTGAGTATTCACGTGAGTCGGCGACAGTTCTGCGATAATTCTGGCGGTAATTTTATAGTGGAGAAATGAGCAGCACTTGACGACGTGGGTCCCTAGTCCCCTCCCCCCTGGCAGCCCAGCCCAAAGTAAACAAACGCGTGAAATGGGTGGTTGTACTAAGTTAACGCATTGCTAGTAACAGCCCACTATCAGTTTATCGCCATCGCGCTTCATGCTGGGGTTGAACTTGCATCAGACAAGTTACAGTAATATAACCGTCTACCATGGCGCCCGGTGATGCCACCCTGCCCGCTACGCGGCGCACGCGCAGATCAATCGGTGCGCATACAGATGTTAATAAAGCTTTTGGAAAAGATAATGCGATAACCGACATCACGAGTTCGTTGGCTGCAAATCGCAAAAAGTCGAGGAGCAAGAGTTTGGGTCCTGGTGGCCTAGATGCACTTATGAAAGCCAACGGCAACAGGCGCGCTGTGAGACATGATTCTTATTATCTATTATTTAATCAAATGCAATATACTAATAAACTCAGTCCATTGCTGCCCCTACGAAAGCCCCGCGTTCAATTCTTAAACCAACAATGCCAATTCCCGAGATACCCCCCTTAAAGCCAAGACAGTCGAACTTTCATGCTTCCAGAGAGCCGACACAAGAGTTTTCGACCCCTACTCTTAGCGGATCCAAGATTGCTATCAAGACAGAAGAAGAACAGCAAGCCGCAGCACGAGAGCGTGAGGAGCGGGAACGTCGTGATGCTCGTCGCAAATCGCTTGCCAACCGCCGAGTATCTTTCGCTGCCGAGGCAACTCTACACACCTTCCACGAAGTTGAATTCAATCAAGATTCAACAACGTCGACCGATTCGACAAGACGAAACTCGGCCGCAGCACAGCAAAGGGAACGGGAAGAAGAAGATAAGAAAACCCGACGAAGCTCCGGTCCTCCTCAAATCGACTTTCACGAATCTGATGACGACACTGCGACAATACTCTATAGTTCAGATTCCGAGCCTGCAGATGCGGTCGAAGAGGTTGCTGATGTTGAGGAGGATGGCGATGATGACAGCAGCGAGTCTGACGACGGAACGATGATGACAATCGACGATGTCACTGGAACAACAGCTGCCTCGGATCGGTCAGTCGATTCTGATGAAGGAGAGTCATCTACATTAGATGAAGTGCTCAGGCTGGCTGCGCGAAGAGCTGGTAACCAACGACTCAAGGATGACGAAGACGAGGACGATTTCGATGAGGACGAAGAATTCATTCCCTCGTTTGGGTGGGGCAAAGATGCAAATAAGCAAAACATCGCTGCCAAGGACCAAGAAAATCTGCCACCTCCGTCTCGCCCTCAACCGAAACAAAGCATCCAGGATGCCACAGAAACAAACATGAGCATGGACATGGACATGGACATGACACGTGCAGTCGGCGGAATACTCAAGCCCCAACCAACTCAACAATATGACACAGACGAAGACATGTCTATGGATGTTACTCGTGTGATGGGGGGCATTCTTCAACGTCAGTCGCAAGAGCACAACCCAGACGAGGACATGTCGATGGATGTCACACGCGCATTTGGCGGTATTGTCAACCAGCCTCAAAACGCGAGCGCCCCTGTTAATGACGAAGAAGATGAAGATGATGCCCCAATGGAAGAAGCCACTATGGAGTTTACAACTGCAATTGGCGGTATCCAACGTCCAGCGCCAATTGAAGAAGAAGAGGACGATTCGGACGGTAACGAGAACATGTCAATGGAGCTTACTACTGTTATTGGTGGGGTCCTGGCGAAAAACAAGAGAAACAGCATCGCTGCTTCTCGAAGGAGCACAGTCCCCCAACCTGACGATGAGAACGACGATGAGGCCCCAATGGATATGACACTTGCGGTCGGCCAAATACTTTCAAAACCGGATGTTGATGATCCAGAAGACATCGAGGACGAAGAAGGCGATGCTACCATGGGGATGGACATGACTGCCGCCATCGGGAGCATTCTCAATAAAGTGACAGGTGGCTCACGAGATCTGGGCAAGCGAGTTATGGAAGAGGAAGCTGATAGCGCAGCCAACCCAGACGAAGCAATTGAGGCCGCTATAAGCAAAGGTGCTGTCAGCGATTATCTTCAACCCCCTGCTGCAAGCGAGAAACAAACCACAACTCCAAGTCCTCGGCCCTCAAGATCCTCAGCAAGTGCTTTGCGAAGTGCCGCCAACCCAAAGATCCCAACCCCACAACGCCCCTCTAGGAGCTCTAGGACGCCCTCACCTGTGAAGACAACACCAACACTACAGTCAGCCAAAGTTAGGACGCCGGCATCCGCCAAACCAGCCACGCCACAGCTCGACTCAGTTGTATCAGAACGGATGGCTACTCCTCGCTCCAGACAGCGTAACTCTCTTTCTGCGTCTCCAAAACGACCTTCATCTGCCAGAGCTGCCAGAGCCGACTCTAGGACGCCATCGCCTGTCAAGCCCACCCCCAAGAAAAGCCTCTTCCAAGATAACTTTAGAAATGGTAGCCGAACTCCGACGGTCACATTGACACCTCAACGGCAATTCTCAGGACTCGGTGCAGACCGACCTGGACTTGGGTCACCTCAAGTCACTGCGCTGTTTGACCGCCGGGGCTCGATTGGCGACATGGCCACCAACTTTGTGCCTGGAAAGCGCGGTGTTATGTTTGAAGACCCCAAAGAGATGACGCAGGATATGGACCGCGAAGCTCGGGAAGAAGAGGAAAATGAAAACCGCAGGAGGATTCTTGAACGGGAAGCTGACGGCGTCGAAGCCACGCTTAACTTGCGGGAGATGATCGACAGCTTGAGCCCTAAACGTAAGCCGCTTAAAGGCCGCAAGAGTCTTCATGTCGGGAGTGCCAAGGGCCTTCTGGGCAAGAGACCGAATGAGCTTGATGACGAGGAGGAGGCCGAAGAAAATTATGGCGTAAAGAGACTCAAAGGACACCAAGGGAGCCCCGTAAAGAACATCAGGCTCCAGCAGCCACCCTCTAAAGAAGAAACTACCGGGAGGCCGAATCTTTCATTTCGAAAAAGCCTGCTACCAAATACCGCCACACCGACGCTGTCCTCACCAGCAAAATCTGACGCAGCAACAACGCCAAGGCACCAGGGAAGGTTCAAGGATGTTGCAGACGATCGACCTGGCCATCAGGTCAATTTCGATGAGACGCCTGTAAAGGGTACTGAGCAAATGGAGGACGAAGTCGAAGCAGAGGTTGAAGCAGATGGAGAGAGGATTCATCTCCAGGATTTCCTGAACATGACCTCTATCCGCTTCATGGAACTGACGACCACAAAGCGTCGTCACACGCAAGCACCCGGAACCCTCGAAGATGGGTTTCTCGACGAAGGTAAAGAGAATCTTTCGCTTGAGCGATGCGTTGTCGCTGGTGCATGCACAGTGCCAATGCTCGAACTATATCAGCACTCTTGTCGTGAGTTGAAGAAGTATATCTCCGAGGGTCGCAGGATTGTCAAAGAGATCGAAACCGACACTTTTGAGGATAACCCTCAGTTATTCAAGGAGTATATGGCGGCCACACCCGACGTCAAGACTTTGATGGACAAACAATTCATGAACGTCAAGAATCACGCTCGTCTTCTGAGCAAGGCTATGTGGTACGAATGGCGAATGAAGCTACAAGAGGGCCTGAAGCAAGGTCTTGTGGGTATTGACGAAGGCATGGAAGCCGATAATGAGCTTCTGGATAAGCAGAAAAGTCTCCTTGACTCTATTCTGCCTGCCATCGTGGAGCGCCACAAGTCGCTCGTGGAAGAGAGTGATAATCTTGAAGAGGTTGCTCGAGAGCTTGCCGACTGTGATCCTGCCGACCTAGAAGCTGCCCGCGGCGAACTGGCTTCTCTTGACCAAGATGTCGAGTATAAGAAGAAGCGAATCGCAGAGCTGAGGGAGCAATTCCAAGCTTCGGAAGTTGAGGTTGAAGACTTGGTCGTTCAGAAGCAGAATTGCATCGACGATATCGCAGAGTCTGAAAGGATCCGAGAAGAGTGCCGTGGCTGGACGAGCAAGGAGGTTAACAGCCTCAAAGGTGCGTCTGTTTCCTTTCTTTTTCTTTTGGAATCGTTGACAAATAATGACTAACTCAATGCGTAGCTCGAGTTGATGCCATCGAGAAGCAACATGGCTGGACAGTGACAGGCATCTCTGGTACCGTTTTGTCTATGTCATACAAGCGTGAGATTGAAATTGTTTTCGATATCACAGCGTTCCAAAAGCACCGATCCAATTCAACAATTGATCTCTGGTATGTCGCCGTCAACCGGGAACAAAACCCACTCCCAAAGACTGCGGAGAAGGAGTTCTTTCTGCAAACGATTCGCGACTACGCTCGTGCGCTTCCGCATAACCGCACTGAGGTTTCTCATCTTTTGAGGAGTGTCCAGGCTGCCTGGGATAAGGCGAACTTCGTTTCGTCGCAAATCGAACGACTTAATGCCACATTTCCCACTACAGTACAAAGGACTTCCGACTCAAGTATATCGATTACAACATCCCTGTTACTTGTGCCGTTGGAGAGTCGTGTGGAAGTGAAGTTGAACCTCCACACTCAGACAGATGGGCACAGCCTTGAGATGACTCTTAAACCTGAGGCCAAGGTAGTGTATGGGGAGCACTTCAATGTCCCCAAGGTGGGCGATTTCCTTGCAACACGAATCGGCAAGGCTATTGGAGCTGGCGAAGAACAGTGGGGTGGTGTGATGGTAGAGTTACAGGGGCGATTAATTGCGAGGGGCCGCAAGGCCTAGCTTTAGTTAGATACAACAGATATAATGAGTGATGATGGGACTAGGAGTATATGGAAACCATGCATTGGCGTTGTTTGGAATTAGATACCTTGGTGTGGTTTTTATCTTTGCCAATAGCACTACGAACAGCATTGACTTGCAGCATCACTTTGTTGGTGATACTTAATAAAGGGGTTAATTCTGATCAAGAACGATATAAACGTCTCTCATTTCACTGTCACTTTCCATCAATCTAGCCATGTTTTGATATCGTCCTCTTGTTTATGCACACAAAGACGATTGTCACCCGTCGCATTGTTTGTATGTAGATCAAACCTCAAAGATGTCAATGGAATGCTAACATGCCAAACAATTGATGAACACTGCAAGCCTCGGCGTTTGCACATTGTTATGTTTGCCAACAATTAATTTAGAATAGACCTGATGCTATTGACCACAGAAGCACGTCGTTTTTCAGTATGATTGTACTGGCAGCCGTTGCCAGCTGTCAGGCAAGTGATTGTGCAGTGCTCGCCAGTGTCAATCACTGTTAACCAAGATTCTAATTCATAACAAATCTGCTGGCCTCTCCTCATCATCATCATCTTCTTCTTCGCTCTTTGCTTTCTCTTTCTTCTTCAGTTTCCCCCAAACATTCCCAAACCATTCCCCAAGCATTTCCCAAGCATCCTCCAAGCAATGACAGAGTCATTCCCAAGTATCACACTTGAAGAACCAACAGCCTCACACCGCGATACCAGTGAGTCTCTCCTTATTATCCCGATATTTCATATATGCACTTTCCTCTTCATATTAATCTCGCCTTTGTATATACTATAATGTGACGTTGCGGAAAAGCTAACAGTGACACCCGCAGAGACCACACAAACCGACACCATGCAGACTACAGACCTTCCTTCATGGTTGTGGCTCCCACTCGAGGACAACTGTGAGTGGGATTCCCCATTCAACATGGGGAACTGCTTCGACCAACAGTACCACAACGTCTTTTTCGTTTTGATCGAGGCGTTAATCTACCTCACACGGTTCACGACGTTGCCGTTATTTCTCTTCTTCGCGGGGATGCACGGCGAGTGTATGGCCACCTTGCCCATGGCCATCCTCTCTACAATCACCATCATCCCCATGATCCTCTTGCGACTCATCTGGGCAGAAGACTGCCACACCTATGGGGGTATGGGCAACCCCATGGTGGAATATTCTGTCAAGACCTGGGCCATCCTCTCCATACCAAACATTGTTTCATGGGCTCCCAGTGCCGCTTTCATGGTGAGCCAGTTGGTGCGAATCGTTGGGGAAACTTTCATTTCTCTTCGTATTCAAGCCGACTCCAACTTCGACGCCGAGACTCTTTTCCCTGCTCCCTTTGCTGGGAGGGACTGGGATTCAGACCTCGGCGAATCCGGTGCAGAAGCCTGGATAAAGTAGTTGGTGCAGGAGGATCAAGAAGAGAGAAATGCCCGACGGCAGGAAGAAGAGGGGGTTGCAGCGGAGCAGAGGAGATTGGAGCAGGCCTCTTTGCTGATGCAGAAGCTCGCAGATGAGAACGACACCGCCATATGGAAAGCTATCAGCAGGAGGCGACCACAGCCCATCTTCAGACGCCAGTCAGCTCTAACTCACTGGCAAGAGACTGAGCTGCTGGCCGAAGAGAAGGGCCTGAGCAAGAAGCAATTCTTGGCTCGGCGCTATGAGGTCGTGCCAGTGGACCAGAGCACTCAGTCGGACCCGACCGACTTTACTGACGACAGGGTGATGAAGACGCCGGTCAGTCCGATTGCCGAGATCCCCCCTTCTCCCGGCGTTCAGTCTGACTTGGCCGAGTCCCCTGTTCTGACGCAAGTCGAACTGTCTGAGCCAGCTCCCACTAGCTCCTCTCCACCATCTCCTTCTGCCCCCTCCCCTCACGAGACGACACCGAAGAAGCCAGTTTCTTCACCCACCACCACCGCCATTACACCTGGCAGAGAGAAGCCTCCTGTTTGAGAGCCTGCGCCTAGCGTAGTGTCTCCTCGGCAAGAGGTTGTCGAGGCCATCAGCCCTCTGCCCTCTCTCCCATCTCCTGGCGTCGTTGGTGTTGTATCCTCTTCCCCTCTGAAGAAGAGCCCCCTCCCCAAGCCATCGTTCCTTTTGCAGAACCGGCGGGACTTGAACCCACACAACAGCCGCCATCGCCCGAGCAGGCCGCCGGTTCTGCCACTTCCTTCGGCCACGAGATTCCATGGATCCCCGACATCCCCGAAGAACTCCTTTTCACAGCGGCGAATGGAAGTGAGGACGGCCGGGAGGAAAGCCTTCACCAGGGGCTCTTCCAACCCACTACTTGCATCTCTCCCTCCTGGGACCCCACCGAACTTGATGCCGCCATCGATGCTCTGCTGAACAATGTCGATGAGGTGGGTGAGCAGGTTTGGGATGAGATGGCGATCGATAATCGCCAAGCCGAGGATGTGGAGATGGAAGAGCAAGGCGAAGGTGAGGTAGAGGTACTGACTTCGTCGCAGGCCGTCAACTGCGAGATGGAGGAGGCCGCTATGGAACCTCTGACGGAGGAGGAGCAGGAGCGGATGATCCAGGAGGCCTCATGGGAGGCGTTGGCAGCTCTCCTCGGCGAGGATGAGTTCTGTGACGATCCATCACGGATGGTCATTGACCATGTCGTCGCGCCTACCCAAGCTCTCTCCGTTCCGCAACTCCCCCTTCCAGAGTTCCACCGACCTCCACCACCGCAGGCCTCCATCTTCCATTTCGAGGCCTCCCGGCAGACCGTTCCAGCAGACTATGGCATGTCCCAGCAGGAACAGGAAGACCTCGAAATGGAAATGGAGGCAGCGTTCGACACCGAGATGGAGGACGCGAGGGACGAGGAAGAGGTTGGCATGGGCCCTCAAGCACCCGTTGAAGAGATTCGCCCACGGAGGATCTTGGTACCAAGGGCTCAGGGATCCCGACACAATCCCAGCCAACCTCCTACTCAACCCACGCCCACTCCATCTACAACCACCAAGGAAGTTGAATCTCAGTCCAAGAGGGCTCGGCCCCCGTCCACCGAGCAAATGGCCCCTGAGCCCAAACGGGCTCAACATGTTCCCATCCATCCTTCGTCCCCTCCCACCACGCCCACTCCCACAAATGCTTCGCCCAAGTCCGCGGCCTCAAGCAACACAAAGAACCAACAGCAGACGGTTGCCCTCATCTTGATGGGGGGACTCATGCTTCCAGGCGGCAACCAAATAACCAACACACAACCACCAGCGCCCATACCAGCGGCAGCTCCCCTTCTACTACTATAACTCCTGAGCAGAAAGCCGCCTTCGAGAAGAAGAAGCAGGCACAGATCAAAGCGCAACAGGAAGCTCGAAGAAGCAAAAAGCCGAACCTATTTCACCAAAGCAAGAAACCAGCTACACCGGTTCACCCCTCCCCCAACACACCTCATCGACAAGGCACTCCCAGCCAACCAACGACACCATCGCCAATGCCACAGATCAAAGATGGCAGCGTGAAAGCGGCTGCCGAAGTAACCTTCGGCACGCCCGGCTCAAATCAAAAGAAGGATGGGCCCAAGATCGTACCAGGCATCCCAAGCCACCTACGAGACCTGGTCGCAGGCAGAACGACCGAGGACGAGGAATAAACAGCCCGTCACCATGACCAAGAAGCGAAAGTTCGCTGACGAGAATACTTTCGGAGAAAGACGCGATGGAATACTATAAAAGAAAACTGGCTTAATCATGTCTATTACGATACGATGATTTGTTTGACAGTGAAGGAGTTTGAGACTGTACATGTATATGATTTGACAAGGACTTCATGGCGTGAGATTCAAGGCCCACGAAAGTAATGATTCTGTAATCACCAGCTGAACAAGAGCAATATATATATACATTGCACACTCATCTATTCTTGACCCTCATCCAGCCGCTTGTCCCTCGACGTGGGGAGCTCTTGTCTCCTGTCAATAGGTTCTTGTTAACCTGGCTCCCATCTGCCAGCTCCTCTTCAACCTTCCATGCGTCATCATCTAAAACTTCCCAGTCAGGGGTGGGCGCTTCGCTGAGCAGCTTCTTCTTGAGTTTGTCTGCAAGCTTCATTGGGCTAGGAAGCTTAAAGTTTTTGCTGAACTCAGTGCCTTCTGCTCCACCGAGATGGTAAAAAGTTGTACCATGCGAGTACTGCCCAAAACGGCTACTTTGACCATCGACTTCGTTTTTGAGTGTTTCTGGGTCTTTCTCGGTAGATTGGTGATTGATGAGAAGATTGTACAGGTTGCGACCCATATTGCTCATATCCTCGAAAAGAGCCTTGTCGCCGATCAACACACCTTGTGTATTGCAAGCCCAAGCAATATTATAAGCAAGCAAAGTCACGCCCTCGATGAAATAAGAGAACGTGGCGGGATCTTCCTTGGCTAGTTGAGACAGTGGCTTGTCTATGAAAAGAGGCCTTGGCCGAGAGACACGTTGAGACTCTGTGTCTATTGTGTTAGATGGGGACGCCACAGAAGTCTGGCTGGGAAATATTGGATCTCCAGGTCTGTAAGAGGCAGGCAAGTTAAAAATAGTTGGTCGGGGATAGTCGCGATGGGGGAGAGTGATGGCAGCAGGAAGCCGAATGGAAAGGTAATGTGATACAAGTATCAAGATCTGGCAAATGTGACTGAGCGACGTAGATATCATCTCTGGCGTTGATGCTGGACGGTGTTAGCAAACCACTTTTAAGAAGAGATGGCGCAACTCACAATTCATTGCGGTCAAATCGACGACTGGGATTCCACCCAGGTAATACTCGTATTTACTAGGCGACCCTTCTTTAATCCGCTTTAGTCCATATAGTTGAGCTGCTTCTATGCAGAGGAAAGAGCGGGTGCGAGCCAGTTCGTCTGCACACTTAGTCCAGCGATACTTGTGCATGCTGGTTTCCTTTTCGACCGACTTCTGCCGTTTCACCCTGCGCTCAATAAGTCCATCAGATACTGCAGCGATATCGGACTTGCGTCGTGAAAGGGCGGCTCTTCGAGCCTGAATCTCTTCTTTAGCAGCTTTGATATCATTTCTGAGTTTATCAGCAGCGGCCAGAATCTGAGTGGTCCTATCTTCTGCTGTCCGTTGCTGCGCTTGTAAGGCATCCTTGCGGTCCTTGGTAGGGGCGTTTGTCTCATCTAGAAGATCGTTGATTTGTTTCTGGAGATCTTCATTTTCGATAAGAGCCATCACGTTCTCAAGACGACCGTCGTAAAGTGCCCCTCTCGCATCCACGGTGCAAAGAAATGGGAGACGCTTGGCGTCATGGCTGCGATGACAGATATCGCAATCCATATTGGCTGTGTTATCGCCACTTGGTATGAGGTGGTTGTTTTTATATGGTACTGGGGACGATCAGAGTGGCTATGTTCAGCCTTCCGGGATCGAATAGGAAGAGAAGGTGAGCATGTTTATACGGTCAAGTTGTTTATTTGTTTGCAAGGTGAACGAAAGGCAGATGACTGTAAGTGTCGAGTGAAGATCAAGTCACGAGGTGAGCGACGAGAACTGTGGCGCATGAACGTAAGCCACACTTCCAGGCACCTTCCATCGTTAACAAAATCATGCAGGAGCATCCACTCCTAGGCCCGCTCCTTCATGTCTTTCATTGTTGATCGGCAGGTACAAGATGGTTGGTCTGCTTGTTACGCCTCTCAATATTTTGAACGACATCTAATTTTCCTCAAAAAGAAAAGTGCCCCCCCGTCGTCTCATACGTCAAGAGATTGAGATATCGAGTAACTCACGACTGTTATCCTTTAACGACAACCGCTAAAGTGAACATTCAAGTGCTCACTTACATGCAGCGCACGACCCCTGTTGCTTGGCCGACAAATAACCCTGGCGATCCAGCGCGACGTGTCTATCTAACATGGATTCACCACTTCCACCGCAAGAATACGGCGAGGATCATCAAAGCAAAGGCAGATTGAAGATTTCCAACTCTCAGGAAGCCAACATGAGCAACATGCAAAGATCCCCGTATGTCAACAGTAGGACACCCGAGCCTCAGATAGATCGACAAGTCAGCAACAGTGACTCGCCAGACACACCAGGCCTTCTTGAGCCGTTCGACTGGGATGAATTCGAAGCGCGTTATGAGAACGCTTTGCGCGAGGCCGACGACCAAGAGCGTGAGATTTTAAAAGAGGCAGATGCTCTTGCAAAAGTAACATTTTAAGTATCTTACAACCTGCGACAAAGCTAATGCGCTTATAGTATTTCAAAGTCTGGACAGCAGCAGCATCAGCACATGATGATGAACGGGCAGCAAAGCGCCTACAAACTCGAAGACGCTTTGTGAATCTTGCAGAAGACAAAATGGAACGAAAACAACAGCACTGTAAGCTTATCCTGCTAAACGCTACTCTTATTGAACAAACTGACCTTTTCGTAGACGACCAAGTTGTGAGAGCCTTTGAGAATGCGTTAGCTCTTCTCAAATCCCTGTGAGCTTTGCACTCTGCAGGCTTGTGGTTTTTTGATCGAGTCGCATTCCTAAAAGGCATATTTTGCCCGAGCATCCAAACCAAAAGTTTTGGCATTGTATTCCAACTACACATCCTTATCAAAGGTCTTATTTGGCCTTTATTTCTTTCCGTCTTGTTCCAGCTGCACGGCTCACCATATAACAACACGTGACGTAACTACAGCTCCAGCTGTCGCGTCTCCTCAATCTCGCCAAATCGCAAATCTTATTTCAAATCTTGACATCGCGCCAGAAAAAAATCTCGACATGCCACAACCCAAAGATGCAAAGGCAATAGGTATGTGTGGTATACCAAGTGTCTCTCATGTATGCCTCCTTCAACCTTGTCTATGCGGCACTGTACTGACTGCTCTAGGATGACCTTTTTGCTTTCCACGAAGCCCACTTCTCACAAGTAGCCCTCGCTTCCTTTGGGTCCGACTTCATTGAGACACCAAGCCAAGATCACACTCAAGATGACGCCACTAGTGATGCTTGGGATGAAGAAGATGATGGCTTAGGCTATTATCCGGATGGCGTAAAAAGAACTTTGACGGACGAGCAAATCGAAATATTCCGACACTCCGAACTCGAAGCTCTACGCAAAGAGAAAGAGAAGGCCGAACAGCTCAAGAGAAAGGCGGACATGATAACGGGCGAGCCTGCAGTCCCGAGTGACGACATCGCCACTCCCAAGCAAACCATAAACATGTTGCCAACATCCTTCCACAGCAATAAGAAGCGAAAGAAGAAGAAGGCAGCTAAACGTCCCGAACCGAAACCCGACCTTCGAAAACGAACATGGGATATTGTTGACAAGGGCCTGGACTCGCTTGAGTATGACTGAGCCCGCGGCACATTATGTGCCATCATCCGCTAAACCTATTTCACCACCCAAGGCAGCTCAGCTGGTCTGGGTGTACGATGTCGTGTTACAACGCGATGCCTCGAATGGACTCGAGACAAGCCTGATCAATGGAAACATGTATTATGATTCGTCATGCATCATAACTTGTAAGTACTTTCTATTACTTCGAGCATTTCTTATTATGATGAAAACCCTTGTATCGTCATCCTTAGTCGGATCGGGACTGGGGATGTAGGAGGCATCGGCGAAAGCTGATGCTGACACCTTTGCAGGCCCGACATGTCGAGCAATTAATCTTCTCTCTGAAACATGGAACTTTTTTCTGGTTATCAATTGCAAAGCCATATCTGTTCATACGGCTTACCTTTGACTGTAGGGTTTGAACTGAACTGGGATAGATCCCTGCCCGATGTGACCGCATAGTATGGTCATTAAGTAATGAGTAATTTGAACCTATCACAACGTTGTTAGCTACTGGCGATTCCACTTTTTGATTCCTTCATAGTAGAATGGTAGAAGACCAGATATATGTTGAAATGCCGTATCGGTGTTATAGCCCATTCAACTTGCTTAGAGGATAGATTCTGATAAGTATAATGTAATGAATTCAACCTTCAGCCCCAGGCTAGTTCAAGTATATACCTTCTGCTTGCAGGTGGTTGTTATTACTCCATATATTTCAGAACCATAGATACACCAACCTAGATACTCATCCATGCATAGCTTAATTGGACGCCCCTTTGACTACATTCATTAACATTCTCCCGATCTCATTCACGCCAATGTGTCACCATGCCTTTTGTTGTGATACTGCATTCAATTGAGACAAAGCCAAACTAAAAACAAGCAGTTGAGACTGGGTCCACAGACCAAGCTCTTGCCTTGTGATTGAATTCAGGGTGCTCGTGCCATTCGATACCTTATCGCGGAATAGCCGATAAGCGTTGAAACCAATCACGGACTAGCCCGCCTACCAAAACAACGGGGTAGTTCTGGGCTGGACCCGACTCGAAATGCCATCCCACCTTGATTTTGCAAACCCAAGTCAAATCAGGTCCAGCCTCTTCATCTTCAGCCTCCGACCTTGGGTTCGCCCAGACAAACAGCGGCACCTCAACTCTTCTACCAGCATCTCTATTGCACCAAATACCCCCTACCATCATCGCCATTCGCAAAAACCCCTCTTTGAATCATCAGCGCTGCCCCTTGCGACGCCCTCGCTCTCTTGCCCATCATGGCGCGTGTCTACGCCGATGTCAACCAGAGCATGCCCCGCAGTTACTGGGACTACGATAGTGTTAATATCAGTATGCCCTCTCCCACGTGAGAGCTTCACCGACAACGTAGCTGACCAACGTTTGCAGGCTGGGGTGTTCTGGAAAACTACGAGGTCGTCCGAAAGATTGGTATGTTGACTATTGTGGAATTCTCGTTGAGTCATTAACAATTTTGTGTCCTTTGCAGGCCGTGGAAAGTACTCTGAAGTCTTTGAGGGTATCAACGTAGTCAACTACCAGAAGTGTGTTGTTAAGGTTCTGAAGCCTGTCAAGAAGAAGAAGATTAAGAGAGAGATCAAGATTCTTCAGAACCTGGCTGGCGGCCCCAATGTTGTTGCCTTGCTTGATGTTGTTCGCGACTCGCAGGTTCGTGCTTTTCCCGCTCTTAGCCTTTTCGACGTTCCAACTGACCATAACTGTACACAGAGTAAGACACCGTCTCTGATTTTCGAGCATGTCAACAACACCGATTTCCGAAGCTTGTACCCCAAGTTCAATGATATTGATGTCCGATTCTACATCTTTGAGCTCCTGAAGGCCCTCGATTTCTGCCACAGCAAGGGAATTATGCATCGCGATGTTAAGCCTCATAACGTTATGATTGATCATGAGAACCGAAAGGTTGGTCGCCCAAGGTCAATCGTCTGGTTGCCATCTTACTGACAGTCTGCAGCTTCGTCTGATTGATTGGGGTCTGGCCGAATTTTATCACCCTGGTACCGAATACAATGTTCGTGTCGCCTCTCGTTATTTCAAGGGCCCTGAGTTGTTGGTCGATTTCCAGGAGTACGATTACAGCCTTGATATGTGGAGCCTTGGAGCCATGTTTGCCTCCATGATCTTCCGCAAAGAGCCTTTCTTCCACGGTAACAGCAACTCCGATCAACTTGTTAAAATCGCCAAGGTTCTCGGCACCGATGACCTTTTCGACTACATCGACAAGTACGAGATTGAGTTGGATGCGCAGTACGACGATATTCTAGGCAGATTCCAGAAGAAGCCCTGGCACAGCTTTGTTACTTCAGAGAACCAGCGATTTGTCTCTAATGAGGCTATCGATTTCCTCGACAAGCTATTGCGATATGACCACCAGGTTTGTTTACAAGATCCTAATTTGGAGTCTCGATAAAATCTAACTGCAAAACAGGAACGTCTTACTGCCAAGGAGGCCCAGGCCCACCCCTACTTCAACCCAGTTCGGGATCCTGAGGTCTTCAAGCAGCACCTTGCAGCTGCCAACGGCGCTGCTAACAAGTCTTGAGAGTACCTCAAGTCGTTGTTTCCCGACACTCATCATCCACGACTGTTCATCTCGCGGCATCCCCCTCATCCATGATACCCTTGACCGGCAGATTTCAATTCACCCTTTTGTCGGTCTTCGCCACCTGATAGGATCCCCATATTAGGGAGAGAATCTTTAGTCGAATCAATCCATTCCCATCCCCTTATGTCGCTGATCCTAGTCCGGGGGATCCTTGGACGACTCCGTTGAGAAATTCGGCCATGTGATGATACCTCAAGATCTTGGACAAACGCATGAATTGATTGGTTCGGTGAGAGGGGAAGCTCGCGTAACCAGCCCTGGTCTCAGAAATGGATTCGAGGGTGATGTGGAATGTGACAATGTGGTTTAGGCGTTCCAGGTTCTGGGGGTTATAGCACATTGGTATCACGGGTAATCTAATCACCAACACACCGTGCTTTTTCTAGCTAGCTTCGGATGTTATTATGTTACTTTTTGGGTCATTGTTTCTACTAGCGTAGTAATCAATAAGATCAAAGCGCTATGCTCGTTGGCTATATATAATCTATGCTTATGTGCTGATGCCCTCTATATGCCCAATCCGCCGTCAATACTCCTGTGTAATGCCGCTGTCGTTCAAATGCAAGTGAAGCAATAGTCTCGGCCGCAGTGATATCCATCCACACCACATGTTCTTATTGTGCCGCCAGGCGTCTTTACCGCGCCGCCGGGACCGGAGACCTCATGAACACGTCTCTTACTGGGCGTCCTATGAACTTCTCTGGTCAGAGTAGCAGGTCTCATCTTCTTTGATGATGGGCGAACGCTTGCCGACTTTGAATGGGATTTGACTCTTCGAGTCAGCTCATCCCGGGAACCTTCTGTATCTGAATCCGAATCTGACACAAAGGAGAGAAGGGAGCGGCGTGAAGATGGAGCCCGATTTGTGTGGATATGTCTGTGGCGGGGTGTGTGGGGTTTCTGTGAACTTGATGGCGGTTCTATAAAAGAGCTCCTCGTGTCTTTCAGTTTCCGTGGCGTCGAAGCTTCTTGAATAGGGGCATCCTGTGGTAAGGGGGGAAGAGATTCTTCACTCTCGACAGCTTCATCGTCAGTGACCATATGAAGTGTAGGACTGTCATTTTCGACAGGCTCATCACCTTCTGGTGGTTCGATGCCATCAAAAGTCCCGTCATCGTGAGGAAGGGAAGAAGGACTGGCGGGTAATGGTTGGTAATCTTGGATAGATTTAGAGTCTTCGCGGGTTTGCGGGACGTCTCCCATGATAGTGTCGGCTTCTTGTATCAGTTCCTGTGGCTCCTGAAGTATGGTCTGTTCCTGTAGATTATCCTCTATATCTTTAGGAACTTCTTTCCCTTCCTGTGCAACGTCCTGCAGCTTTGGCTTATCACCTTTGGCTTGCTGAAATGTCTCCTTCGTCTTTTGAGGTCGGACAAACTTGAATAAAAATGTGTCACATGTTTTATCAGGAGCAGAGTTTTTGGGCTTGGTTTTGAGGAGCCATCGAAGTTCATGGGACAGATGAGGCGACGTCTTCGAAACCTCGTCGTCTAGGATTCCATCACCCGGCCTTTGCTGATCGTTCTCAGTGACCTCGTCATCAGCATGGGCGACCTCTTTCGCGGGGTCATATGTTTCATCTTGAATAGTGGAAGCCACAACCGATTTCCTTGGCCTTCCCCTTTTTCGCTTTATGGATTGAGGGAGGTCACCAGTTGTCGAAGCAATGATAGCTGTGGGTGATGTAGATTTGACCTCTTCGATTCGTACTGGAATGGAAGATTTAGAGGGCGTTGCTTTCGCTGAAGAAGTTGAGCCTTTTGGTCTTCCATGCTTCCGTTTGGACGGCTGCATGGTGTGATCTACCATGCAAACTATGATTTTAGCTTCAGGGGATTGTGAGTTGTTGTTCTTCGGTGGAGCACTCGTAGCATCAATGGGCTCCGCAGAGCGTTCGCGATGCCCAGTTGGCACGCCAGATACAGGAGAGACTGCCATTGGAACTGTGTTTTGCCACCTGGCAACTCTGATTCTCGAAAGAGCGAGTGGTGCCTCATCGTCTGAAAGCTCCGTTGTCGGAATCATACTTTGAGTGAAAGGGTTTGGCTCCTTGGCGTTTTTGGATTGTGATCTTTGAGGAGCGCTGCTATTAGATGGAGTCGCCGCGCCTTGAGAGTCTGGAACAGCCGGTTTTTGGCAAGCTACCTTTGTTCCTGGCTCATCTGTCGATGTCGAGCCTATTTCTGTCTGTTCAGGAAGTAAAGAAACCTCTCCCTCAGTTTCCTTATCACTGAGATCGACAGATTGAAACTCTTCCCGTAGAGACGGATCAGCCCTCCGCACTCGTACCGTAAAGCTCTTCCTCGTTTTTTTCAACTCCCGTGCGTCGTCCCAAGATATCTTGCCCATATACACTGTCTGCTTTCGTGCCCGGCCAGAGCGTCTCCGGTAAGAGTCATCCTTCTCATCGAATTGCCGTGACCATTTGACAGCGTTCCCGTTGATCTCTTCAAGAATCTTGTGGGGAGGATCACGTAAAGTGGGATCCTTAGAAAGAGCCTTGTCGCTTGATGGAACCGGGATCGACTGTACGATAGGCGTCGAATCCGAGGTTCCTGAGCATAAAAAACCATCCTCCCCATCACTTGTGTTGATGGTTCGATCAGATAACAGAGCTTCCTGTCTGTTCGGGCTTCCTCCCGTTATCTCGGTTTCAGATCCATGATCGTTATCCGGGGCCTCTGCACCGATGCCCGCCGCGGCGTCGCTATGTTGTTTGTCAGACGTCCTTTTGAAGGAGCCCTTCATGGAACCAGCTCGTTTAGTTTTCCTTGTCCAGTTGCGACCCCATATAGAAGCTTGCCCGCTATTACTGGCCGTCTCATATCTGCCCCCTGTAAACCATAGCCCAGGCATGCTTGGTAGCATATTGAAGTAAGGGGGGATATCGTCGCGGCCCCAAGCTTGCATGGGAAATCCAGGCATCATTCCCCATGGTCCAAAAGCCGATGGAGGCATAGACCCAAAGGATGGAGAACCTAGTCGAGGATTGTCGTGAGGCAGCTCATAATGTAGCGCTGTACTCTTGTCTTGTGGCGCTTCATTCTGACTGCTGGCGGTACTTGAAACATTATTAGACGCTCCATCAATACCGACATTCTGATCTTGCGGATATGCCTCTGTGTCGTTTTCTTTTATCCTTGATACCTGGCTAATCTCATTTTCGGGTTGAGAACCACGGATTTTATTGGCTTGTCCTTCGATGTCAGAATATTCGTCGGTGAGATCTTCAAGTAGGATTCCTTCGTCTACATCAATGTTGCTTTCGCCTTCCACCCAAAGACCTTCGACGTCGCCCTCATCACGCATATTGCGCAAGTGGCCATTGTTCACCACGATCTCTCCTGTTGCCATGTCGATTTCGTCTCCAATGCCTTCAAAGTCGCGACTGTACTTTTCGATGATGTGGGCCATGGTGGCATGGAGTTTTTGATTAGCGTTTGCCCGCTTCAGTGCAAACTGAATATCCGGATCTCGTCGGATTTTGATCTCTTGCGGATGCGAAGCAAGCTCGTCATCATCGTCTTCATCTTGGACGTCCTTTGAAGGCGAAGGGCCATGCCGTCTCTTCTTTTTAGGCGGCTCCATTGTTACAACAGTCCTTCATATACAATTGTATTCTTTGTAGCCGTATAATACAAGTCGTCGGTTATCTGCGCAGGCATATAATTGTATAATGAGCTCATGGGGCGCATGGAGTCGTCCCTTACATTATTTGGAAAATGATGAATGGTTGGAGGAGCAACAGCAGAGTCGACGCGAGTGAGGGCCGTGCATCGCGTAAAGTGCTTTCCCTTTTAGCGGTCATCTGGTGGGGTCAAATCGACCTACAAGTTACATGAGATATTCCATGTTGCTAATGATTTTATAAAATCGATATATAAGAAATTTTAATTTAAAAGCGATTGGATACACTGTTACGAATCCCATATCATGTTCACTCTAGTAAATATTTCTCTTTATCAGGTATCGCGACGGTCATTTCTCAAAATGCTGATCACATGCACAAAGAGTCTTATACAGTAGCGTACTGCAGCTGCTATAGCTTTACAACGTCACCGCTAAGGCCGACCTTAATCCAACTTTACTTTGTATACTTTCCAGCTTCAACGCTCCGATACCTCCACTTCCTATCGCTTCCAAGGGCGCAACAAGTTGGCTTCACCATTCAGATTATGCGCATCTCTTAAGCGGAACATGAACTGCCAAAAATGCCGTCAGCCTCTCCGGCTGGACGGTTCCCTTGAGGATCTCAACCCAGCTGCTTATGATGTTCTTGTTGGTACGTTACCCGCATCATGTCTTGTGCTCTCTTTCTAACTCGTGTTGCAGCTTCTGCATCCCCGCAAACCCTCAAGAAATCGTCTGTACCAAACCCACCGCTCGCGCAACCACAGGATCAACCGCGGAAGTCATTATATGACATGGTATCACGCAATGCAGGACCGCCGACGTTCAAGCGCAATCATGGAAGTCACCCTCGCGACTCGTCAATGTCCTTCGTACTACTATCCGAATCGCAAATGGCTCGACCAAACCCGTCATCAGACCCTCCTACAACACCAACAGTCCTGCGTCGCGCCAGCTCCAGCAAAAGCAATGCAGATAACCCTGATGCGCCTATGGGAAACGAAATGGACAGGATCAGCCGCCTTTTCGACATACTATCGGCCCGGTCTGATATCGATCATCCGATATGTGTCGAATGCACTGAAATGCTTGTTGAAGGCTTGCAAAAGAAGCTCGAGATTGCTTCACGCGAAAGGGACTCTTATGCTAAGCATCTGAAAGAAGCAAAAGCGAACAAACCAAGCGAGGAAGATATGAAGATCCAGGAGGAAGCCCTACGAAAGGCCGAGCGAGACAGGGTTGCAGCCATGGAAGAACTTAAGAAGCTAGAGTTAGAGAAGACTTCACTAGACGAGGAGCTTGTACTCCTTGAAGAGGAGTCGCGGCAGCTGGACAAAGAGGAAGAAAAGTTCTGGAGAGAACGAAACGATTTTGCTACCAGAATGGCCGATTTTCAGGCTGAAAGGGACAGCATCAACGCCAAGTACAGCAACGATTCACAACTCCTAGAGAAACTACAGCGATCCAATGTGTATAACGATACCTTTTGTATCAGTCATGACGGGAGTTTTGCCACGATCAATGGTCTTCGACTCGGACGCCTATCAAACAAACCTGTGGATTGGCCCGAGATCAATGCGGCTTGGGGGCATGCTTTGCTATTACTGGTAACGGTCGCGGACAAGTTGGCATACAGGTTTGATGGCTATGACCCACAGCCCATGGGCAGCACGTCCAGGATTGTTCGATATGAAGTTCCGAGCCCTTCATCGAGCAGACTTGGCAGTCGTACTGCTAGTATACCTCCTAAAACGCATATCCTTGAGTTGTACAGCTCCGGGGACATGCCCCTTGGGCTTACTTTTATGCATCGACGTTTTGACAATGCCATGGTGGGCTTCCTGGAGCTTGTGCGACAGCTGGGTGCGTTTGTGCATAGGCAAACTGACGCTACTGGCACGCCGCTTAGTTTGCCATACAAGATCGATGGTGACAAAATAGGGGACGTGAGCATCAAACTCGGCATCGCTCAAGATGATGGTTGGACTAAGGCGTGCAAGCTGACGTTGACATGCTGTAAGTTTCTGCTTGCTCACGCCAGTAATGTGACGTCCAACGCACGAAATGGGGGCAGTCAATACAGGGGATAGAAGGAGAAAAAGAAAAGGTTTCCTCCCTGGTAATAGACTTGCGGTGTGTGATTTAATTGTTCGAGTTGATGAATTGTTACGGAGTTCAGGCATGCGAATGGCGTTTCGACATGACAATGGAGGAGTGGGAGCCTCCTCGCCATGTCGTATAGAAGGATCTGACATCATGAATAGCAATGAGATGGAATTTGTTTCAATCATGATTCGTTCTGAGGTTTTGCAGACATTCTTTGCTACTTGAATGACTGACTTCCGCTGCAGTGCAGACTCCCTTTGCCGCCTCCTGTAAAATGGTCAACTCTGAATCACTGACATGGCACTGCCAGCAAGTGTCACAGGTCAAATGAGTTGCAAGCAAACACGCACGCACAAATCGAGAGGGGTATTTAAGCAAGAAAATATTTCTGCACCGAAGGGAATCTTTCTTTCTTCATATATCCTCGGTTTCGTCTGTTTTGACCACATCTACCATCTGCATCCCTTCACACCCCTCGTTCACTGCCTAATCACTCACCATGGCGAGCTGCGCCAACTGCGGCAAGGATGCATCTTTGAGATGTATTGGATGTATGGACACTCCCGAGTATCACGATGGAGATTCTGTCGGCGTTTTCTACGGCGGCCACGAGTGCCAAACGGCTGATTGGGCCAAGCACAAGAAGAGCTGTAACAACTTGAAGCGTCGCAGGTCTCTGCTCTGAGCAGCCAAGCTTCTCAAGGCGACACTCTTGTCCTACAAGGAGGTTTTTTTCCACTGGGACCTGACAGAGATCGAGCCTCACAACGACGCTCTAATTCTCAAGCATGACAACAGGCGTCCAAGCTGGGAGAAGCCCGTCAATTTCACAGACCATCTTACAACCAACATCGAGCACAAAGAAGCTGCTCTGCTCAAGCGCGAGGCCCTCCACTCGCTGTCGATTCTTGGTCCGATGACTAGAAAACTGGTCAAATGTAAGGTCACCCATGAACTCTTGCCATTTGGTGCAACTTGCTGACGATCATCACCCAGGTCTTGTCTCCCGTCTTGAGATCGTTTATGTCCAAATCACGAACCCACCCTACCCTGCTATAATGGACCCTCCCGACGCGGCCTTCTTTGACATGTTAAAACCAGGCGTCCATATAGTTGTACTGGCGACTCTGCGAGGTTCTGACGAAAAATGGGTTATTGATATCACAGGATGTCAGTTTGGTTTCAAAGATGTTCTGTTTCCTCTCGAGAAGTACATCACCGAGACAAACTGCAATGTCGAATGGCCAGCTTCGCCTTACTTTCACAGTGAAATCACTGATCAACAGGAAATCATTGCCTTGGGTGGTATGCCGCCACCAGAGCCCATGGCCGACATCCTCAGGATTACGCGGTACCGTCTACACTTTGCAGCGCTGGTCAAGGCACGTGTCAACAACAACTTAATCGTGGGTTCGGATGCTGAGTTTGACATCAGGATGGGTGAATTCTCGGAAAACGCGAAGACACACATGTCCGTCTGTCAATCCTACTAGACGGGTTATGAAGGCATGATGGCACATTGTCCAGGCTCTTAGCGTGTCGATAGACCCTCACACCGAGGTAACCACGGCCAAGGATCGCATCCTCGATGTGGACGCAGAGGCGGTCGCAGAGGAGGCACTCAGCAGGAATGAAAGAGGCCTAAGAAGGAGAACATGCTTGGCCTGGGCAAGTACATGGATAAACAGATCACCGTCAAATCTCATTCTGGTCTAGGGATGGCCAGTTTTTAGGGACAGTGATGAACGACAGTCCATTTGCATTTCTTCTTACTACCTCCGACCAGTGTCACAATGGTTCGCCTTGGGTTAAGGTGTCCGCATCTTTACGGAGAGTCGTATGGCATGATTGGTGGGCTAGCTCGAGGCTTACCACGGGGCGTTTTGGAGGCAGTACAAATATGCCAAAGGGAAATTGTTTGTAGATAAAGTCGAAAGTATTCCTTCTCATCTGAACAACCTCTGAAATAGAAACTGTTCTGTAGGTATTTTATGTGTAAGTGATGTATACACTGGTTTTGCTTTAAAAATAATCAAGTGAAGTCAAGACTGTTTTCTTGAGAGAACATGTTCACTTGAGAAATGGCATTATAGAAATTGGCCAGTAGAAATACAAAATTAAATTAATAGGTCAGTTTATGATCCTTAGACGATAGTTCTTAGACTACTTATTTTTATATCCTAAGACTTAGGAGGCCAACTTCTCTACTACCTACTATCTAGATGACGTAAAATCTAGAATGAGCAATTGAAGGATGGGTTTATAAAATCAGGCTGATGCAGACGAAGCGAAGAAAATATATGGCGATAAAGAGCCGAATAACTTCATATCTTATTGACAGTACTTGGTTTGTTTCTGGGGGATTGTCAGCCAACCCCTCCTCATGAGGCTTAGCAGCAGACCTGCATATAAAGTCGTCTTAGTAGGTACTCACAACTACTATGATGATAGGCTCCAATGAGTGTCACCCAATGTTACCTGAGGCACTACTAGGTATGTGAGGCTTCTGTAAGGCAAACATGATAAAGATGCCTACTGCTGCCTGGAAATAGAGCTACTTGCCTTATTGGACGATTCTGCAGCGAGGCCATGATAGGACCAATCCAAAGGTGACACAGCTTACAGTCAAGTCTATAAAGAAGGCACGACCTTCGCTGCCTCTTGCTTCTTAATACCTTCTTCTCAATATCCTTCGTTAACAACTTCCATTTATCTATTTACTTGTCATCTCAATTCTTTTCTATAGAACTTGCCTTTCTTTCTTCTTCTTCCCCATCATGGACAGTTCCCGCCCATATGAAGTCGACGTTGTCGGTGGTGAAGATAACATCTCCATCGTCAGCTTCGACGACATCCATTCCAGGGCCAGGTCGAATTCCAGATCTATGCCTCCGCCTCCGATGGCGCCATTTCAAGGGTATTATCCTCCCGCAGCCAGATCTCCCTGGGACAACCCCGAAACCCTTTACCCAAGACAAGAGATACTTAAGGTCAATGGCAAGGTCCCGGACGTCCTTCACGCCATCGAGTATTTTGATTCGCGTGACCAGATTATAAAGCGCAAGTCACACCTTCATATATCAACGGAACAGTCCCTAATCTAGTAACAGGTCGACAAAGCGCTCGGGCTTTCAAAAATGTACCCCCATTCTCTCGCAGTCATGAAGAAGGTGAAGTCGATGGCGAGAACTCCAATGACAAGGAACGCCCTGTTTTGGAAATCATTACAGAGGTCTATCCCGCTAGAAACAACAGACCCTACAACCGCCCCCCTCGTCCTTTGCGCAACCAAGAAGACAGACCTATCACCGATGTCTTCGAAGGATATGGCAGTCGTCTTGACGATGGCCCGATCGATGTCGATCGAGAGCCTGAGACTTATGCTCCTCGTATCTCCCAGCCTTTTATGAACATACACTCAGCTCATCTCATCAACGCTCTCAAGGCTGTTGTGGCCTATTATCCCAAGTTCAGCCTTGAGGGTAAGATAGTTGAGGTCGATGCCCCTTACCAGGTTCTCTATCACCATCGGCGAGAGCTTGCACATTACAAAGATCACCAACCGTCGATTCACAGCCCCGAGTATGTTGCCACTACTGCCAATCATATTGATGTTCTTCTCAACTTCCTCGATGAAAACCTCGGCGAAGAAATCCGTCGTGAGGAGGAACGCCACGAGCTTGAAACTCCTAGGGCTACTTTTGATCTTTTCTGGCTCCTCCTCAAGCCTGGCGAAGTCTTTTATGCAAAACGCCATGATATTTGGGCTCCGTATGTTGTCAGTAGCGTCAACACTGGCAAAAATGTGAACAACAGCGCACGAGACTCATACAAGGTCAACTGTTGGATGCTTGAGACCAATGGTACAAAAGTAAACAGATATATGCACACTTTCTATCTTTCTCCTTGGCTTGGTGAGCAAGAGATTGGGGGTCTTTCTGTTATTCCCATCGACTTTTGGCCTGAGAACCTTGAAGCTCAAGGTGGAGTTGCAATGAAAGAGAAGAATATCGCTCTTGGAAAGTTGTATTGGGAATTACTGAAGCGCCCAACGTACATGGACTATGAAGGTCTCCTTGTTAACTCTGGTACGACCAACCGACAGTCCCGTGGTCCAACTGGATTCATGAGCGGCCGTGTCATCTGCGACGCTTCTGGCTTTGACAGCTTCTATTATGACGGCCCAGACGATATCCGCCGAGGTCGATACAGAAGCCCCGTGCGGCAAAATAGTGCGGTTTTCCCGTCCAAGGATTACTTGCCTAGAAACCTTCCACGCTGTGGATGTGATGCCTGTATGGATGATCGCTCGAGTGAAGACCCTGACGGCCCTTATACCGGCTTCGAGGACCTTGACCCTACCCGAGACTCGCCACCTGAAAGCGATATATTCTACCTCGTCTGTAGCAAGACCATGCCGGGCTTTATTCTTGGCGATCGACGGTGGGGTCACTTAAACATCGCCAATCTGAGGCCTGTCAAGACCGACAAAGAAGCCTTCAAGTATCTTGTTCTTGATGACGAAGTCAAGATGACCGTCAAGGCTCTTATTGGAAAGTTTGCAACTGACCTGGGCGAGGGAAGGGTGGCACCTTGGGGCAACGACTTTGTTAAGAACAAGGGTGAGGGTAGGATCTTTCTCCTTCACGGTGCCCCAGGCGTTGGAAAGACATGCACTGCTGAGTGCATCGCCGAGCTGACCAACCGACCTCTCATTTCCCTCACGAGCGGTGATTTAAGTGTCGATTCTTACCACATTGAGAACAACCTCAGCTATTTCCTCGAGCTGGGCCAACGCTATGGCGCTCTTGTTCTGCTCGATGAAGCCGATATCTATCTTGAGCGTCGCCGCTCCAGTGACATCAAGAGGAACGGTTTAGTATCTGTGTTTCTCCGGGCTCTCGAATACTACCGCGGAGTTCTCTTCCTTACTACAAACCGCGTTCAATCATTCGACAGTGCTTTCCTGAGTCGTATTCATGTTGCCTTGCACTACAAGAATCTTGGTCACGAGGACCGGGAGCGCATCTGGAGTCATAACTTCGACCGTTTGAGCCGAGACTCCAATGGCTTGGTGCATGTTTCCAACGCAGCTCGCGACTTTGTCTGGAATAGTGAGGATGTCCGCAGCCTCAAGTGGAATGGCCGAGAGATTCGCAATGCTATGCAAACTGCACTTGCCTTGGCTGAGAACGATGCAGAGGAAGAAAGCACCGAGAATATCACGATTTGTGTGAAGCACCTTCGGGCTGTTGTCAAAATGAGCCGCGGTTTCCGCAACTACATCAAGCATGCCGTCCCCATTGAAGGTTTTGAGGATGCAGTTGTTGATTCTGAGGAGGATAGCGAATGATCGCTTTTCTTACTGTTTGTCTTTTAACTGTCTTTTAAGTCTGGATCTAGGCTGCCCAGTGGGTAGCAGAAGTTGGCCTCCTAAGTTTTAGGGTATAAAAATAAGTAGTCTAAGAACTATAGTCTAAGGAGCATAAGCTGGCCTACTAATTTCGTCTCCTATGCTTGTGGTGGCCAACTTTTCTGAGACACTGAGGGCTGCGCATGCGGTGGACGCAATGATGCAAAGGGAGTTCGATCTAACTAACGAATTTACGACCACAAATTGGATACAAGTAAATGAAATTTGAATGATATTACTTCTTAAATTCTACTTTTACTAGAGCGTGCTTAAGATTTGGTGTGACTGTGAGATATTGCCCCTTCGACCTGGAGATATTGGAGTTGTGTTAACTAAGCCTTAAGGCACAAAAATAAGTGGTCTAAGAACTATAGTCTAAGGAGCATAAACTGACCTACTAATTTCATATCTTATGCCTCCAACTGTCAATTTTTTCTGATAACGTGAGGATTACTTCTGAAAGCCTGCTTTTACTCAAGCGTTCTTGAGATTTGACGAGACTGCGAATGCCCCTTAGCTAACAGAACTCCAAGGTACTAGGTCGCAGAAACCCAAACTCGACTTGTTTAACACAAAGGTCATTGTTCACCGTCGGGAGGTTTCTTCTATAGCGGTGCGCGAAACTTGTACAATACTGTCTTGGCCAGTTTGTACCGTAACATCAGTATATCAGAAAGATTGGCTGCTAGAAGCACAAGAGACGAAATTAGTAGGCCAGTTTATGCTACTTAGACCATGCTTCTTAGGCTGTTTATTATTATACCCTAATACCAAGGTCGGCTTTTCTGTTACCCAGTAACGTGACATGATCGATATTTGCAAAGTACTACCTACATGTGATGGCACAAGTGGGTTCTTGCAATAGTCATCCATCACAACTTGTTGCAGGACTGTTCACTTGATTCAGCCGTGGCTGATATCAGTCTAGGTAGCTGTGGTACTTTTCTTTAGAAAGCGAAAGAGGCATGATATGCAAGACACAGTGGCAAGTTGATATACTTTATAGCTTAAATTGACCAACATCCAATCCACACCAAAGTTACTAAGTTACAATATCAAGGCTGCCAAAACTCCTTCCCGGTTCAATTTAGTCTATATCCTGTTTCATAGACAAGATGTTCGAAGTTGGAGACAAAAAGCTTAGCAGCATCCCTCGTCACAGGCGCAGAGACCACAGCAGATCTCGCATCCAGCTTCTTCACCACCTCGCATGGACATATCAGGCTGAGGCTCAGCGGTCTTTATACACCATGTTAGTCTCTGGTGTCTTTGAGAGGCAGGGCGTAGTCTAAACTTACGGGTTGCTGCGTGACAATATCTCCGTTGTCAGAGGTCATAGGGGCTTGCTGGGTGGGTTCCATGGCAGCGGGCATCTTGAATAACTGGGAAGATCGAACGATGATCGAGGTGAAGAGAGGATGACTGAGAGTAGTTTGATTCAAAGTAGAATTGAGTAGTGTAGTGTAGTGCAGTGTATAGTACAAGATATGACTCCCATAGCTGAGAAAGCTGTCTTAAGTACCTCGAGCCAACCTCAGAGGCCTCTCTCGAACATCAAAGCTCAGCCACTCCTTGACAACATCACCAGTTCTGTCCAGACCACATGGATCCAAGCTTGATTGGTTTCAGCGTAATACTTTCTACCTATGATTCACTTCCAGCTGTGCTTTGACAGAGTCCATGGACTCCTTTTCCTCATTGATGAGTGACGTACGCCCAAGATGCCGAGTAGCCGTCCCGGCCTGCGCCATCATTTGCGGCTGTTCCCGTAGATGGGAAAGAAAAAGGTTCAGTCCAGGGTCCAGGTATGCTGAGTTGTAAAGGGAACGGCAAACCTAGGCCGAGTATGGTGTTTGACTGTGTTTCTATTCGCCAATTGCCGTATCTAAGGCTGGTCAGCAAGTAATGCGAGCTGTCGACCGGCACGCTGTCTGCCGAAAGGCGATGTGCCGAACTTCCGGGACGCCCGCATTCTCGGCTCTGTGGCTTCTGCAACCCTGTAAAGCTTGAATAAAATTGCAGATGCACAGCGACAAGCCCAAGAAACAGAAACACGAAAACACGGTAAACAGAAGCGAGAACTATAAATGTAAACGAGGCGAATAGACAAGAATAGTAGCATTCTATCTACATATAGAGAATAGTGAAAATGTAAAGGGTGAAACGAATAACCAAAACCACAAGCTTAGATAGAGGTTCAGAGAGCCCTTTTTTTAAGTTTTATCTTGGAACAGCTAGTAATGTAGAAGCAGATTAGACGCCGCGAGCTGCAGCCTGCAACACATCAATTGTCAGATGAAAAAGCGTTCCGTATAACTAACCAATCCACAAGCGTAGGCGGTATTTCATAGAGTTTTATCAAGTCATGTAGGTTAGCAAGCTCGAAGCATTCTGGTTATAGCAAATCAGTCACCTTCACAGTAAACAGGTAGGCAACTCAAGCGGAGCATAATACGGGCAACACATCGATTCCTTTCGACTCTTGTCTCCCGATAACTCAGCCATCACCATGTCGTATCTAGACCTGGGTGCCTTTTTTGGCCCTTTTTTTTTTTTTTTTTTTTTTTTTTAATATTTCGAGAGCTTCGCCGCCTTGAAGCGACTGACGCGCTCCCGTCCACCATCTTGCTCTTCCAGAGGCTGGATAGGAGACTCATCTTCTTTGAGGAACCCACCTTCCCGCTGGATGAATTTCTTTCGCAGCTTGTGATGCTCATCGGCAACTTCTTGTAATATCAACTCATCGTCGAATTCGTCAGGTGGCTGAGCAGCCCTTGTTGGTTCACGCTCAACTAATGTGTCAGCGAGTGTTGTGCCATCGGGGCCAGTGGGCGCAGTGGGGCGATCTTGATCAATGAAAGTGGCAGGGACGTCAAGAGGGCCGGGTGGAACAGTGTCTCTGGCCTTTTTGAATCGCGATTGTTTGCGCGTCGACCTGGTATTTGTGGTGTCGGAGGTCTTTGAGGTGGAACGCTCGACAATATCGCTCAATGGTTCCACTATGGGTTCCCTTTCCTCAACAGGAGCCTCTCTCACCGGGAGAGATGTGGGCTCACTCTCCTGTGCAATGTCCAGACTGGAAGCAAAGCGCACGCCCTTTTTGCCGTTGGCCGACTCCGGTTGCTTTTCTTTGATATTTGATTTGGTAGGCGCAGGTTTTGACGCCGAGGCTGAGGCTTGCGATGCTGGTGTTGTCGTTGAAGAGGTTGGCTTCACAACGATTCGGCCAACGCCCTCTTCCTTGTTCCCATCCTCTTCGTCTGAACTTGCCTCGGCGTCCTTGTCCTCTGGTCGTTCCGTGAAACGCGACTTGATGCCAAGCTTCTGTTCCAGCTCAAGCATCCTTTGGCGATAGTCCTCTGTAACAACACGGCCAGTGTATCGGCCATACTTATCTTCTTGGTCATCATCGTCGTCCTCAAAACCTTCGTCGCTATATTCTTCGTACTCGTAGTCATCGCTGTCTCCTTCTTCGAGTTGGAGCTCGGCAACAACAGCGCCGACTTCACCAGAGTATTCAAGCATCTGTCGCCGTAGTTCCGCATCCTCCTCATCCTCATCCTCAGGGATGTGTGCTTGCTCATTGGTGATCTTCTCCTGCTCTTTGGCATGGTTCATGATCTCTTCAACACGCTTAGCATTACGCGAGGCTTGGGGCTTGGGGCCATCTTGCATTTTGGTATCCTCAGCAAACGAAACACCTTTGCTTGCAGACGGCGCTAGTATTGTCGTCTGAACATCTGTCGACTGAGGTAGACTCTGCTTCGTGGGTAGTTTAGGCATGACAAGCGCAGGTTCTGTCTTTGGCACAGACTCTTTTTCCTTGGAGTTCTCTGCGGGTGAGCTGGAGTCGTCATTTTCAAGGTCCTTAACGCCAGCTTTTTCAAGGGCTTGCTGAATCTGGGGCAACGCGCTATCAGGCTGATTCAACTTGTACGAAATAATGTTGTCATCATCGTCAAGCTCCTCGATAATCTCCGTAATCGGTAGACCGTCATCTTGGGTGAAATCTGGTTGAAGCTCGGTGAGTTTGTCCTCGGCAACACTGATTTGATTCTGCAAGGTTTCGATGTTTTTGACGACATAGTCGGTGCGCCGATCAAGAATATTCAAGATCTGTTGGCCAGATCGTTGTGTCCTCTCCCCAAAGATCTCATCAAGCTCGCGATCCTTGAGAAGTTCGCCCTCAAAGCCGGCGTGGATGGTCTTTAGTTCATTTTCGCCGCTCTCACAAACAGCCAGAACCTCTTCCTTGAGCATTTCATATTCAGCATCCCAAGTCTGCCAGTGCTTCAAAGCACCTTGAAGCTTGCTGATATCATCCTCAAGTTTCGTTTGTTGCTTTTCAATATCCGAAACTTCCGACATGTTTGCTTGCTAATCTGGTTCAGCTCTTGCGATGCTGCGAAACAAAGATGAGGAAGAAGAAGAAAGTTTGTGAGGCGCTGAAGTCATGATGAATGATCCGGGCGGTCCACTAAGGAAAAAAAAGTTAGGAGCTGGTTCTTGAAGAGTTACGGACTAACTTCGGCTAACAGACAAGCTAGAGCTGTCAACGCATGCTCCACTTTAACTATTGAGGAATGCAGATACACGCCCTTCATACTACAAACAGAGATTCTTCCTCAATATTTTACTGGATGCAAGCCAATTGACAAGCAGTTTTCACGCGGTTAGTTAAGCTTATAACAGAGTATGGAGTAAAATTATCAGGGAAAACGTTATAACGATATTAGGAATGTTCGAGCACACAATCAGACAAACCATTCGTACACTAACCTCATTGTAAACCTGTTTAAATAACAAATACATTGGCTATACAGCAGGAACGACGTATGACAGTAACTGCGCCTATCTTGATATCCCCGCAGTTTGAGATCTCTTATAACTTCAACAAATTTTATAGTTCACTCATCTTATAACTTTTTTCTCTGTTCTTCCTCAACTCACTTCTTACAATTTGGTACATCCACTTACACGCGCTTCTGTCTACAGAACCTACTATTTATTACAACCATGGCAGACCCCAACACCAAAACTCTCGAAGCGAAATGCTATTGTGGCTCAGTTCACTTCACGGTCGATGTGCCAGTTTCTGAGCTTCCTCTTCTCACTCACCTCTGTCACTGTAGCCTGTGCAGGTACTCCTCAGGAGCGCCATGCGTCTTTCACGCCCCGCTTCCAGAAGCCGTGAAGCCCAAGTTCGTGGAACCATCTACTCGAAATAACATGGCAAGCTATCCCCTCGGTGCCAAAGCCGGGCCTTGGAATTTTTGCTCAACATGCGGCTGCCACATCGCCTCGACCGGACCACCTGATAATGAGTTCTGGACGGTTTCCACATCCATCTTCATAGATAGTGCAGACTATTTTGATACAAGCAAGCACATCTTCAGCGAGTCCACCAAGGACGGGGGCATTGCCGAGATGTTGACACACATGAAAGAAAAAAACTTCATTGATTGGAATCCTCCACACGATAGTCCCGAGGCCAAGATTGTTGAATCGCAACCCGAGGTTGGAGAAAACGGCGAGGAACGTCTTCGGGTTGAGTGTCACTGCAAGGGAGTATCATTCACCATCCCTCGCCCGAGTCAAGATGTCAAAGAAGACAAATACTATTCTCAGTTTGTTTCTCACAGAGACAACAAAAAGTGGTTGGCCACTTTCGACGCATGCGATGACTGCCGACTCAGTAACGGAACTCACGTAGTTGGATGGACGTTCATCCCTCTGTCAGTCTGTGAGCCTCGTATCAAAGATGATCTTCTCATCGGCACAGCCAAGACATTCAAATCATCAGACAACGTCGTACGATCGTTCTGCGGTACTTGCAGTGCTACAATCTTCTTTTCTCATAGCGATCGAAGGCCATCGGATGACCATCATGTCGTTGATTTGGCCACAGGCATCATTAGAGCGCCTGAGGGCGTCATGGCAGAGAATTGGCTCACTTGGAGGGCACGAATAGCCTGGGCTGATAGTGGAAAGAGATTCAATAACGCCTTTATCGAAACATTCCAAGAAGGTATGAACAAGTGGGTATTGAAGCGAGAGTGTGAGATTGATGATTATAACATCGGGTGATCGGTCCGGGCTATCGGATGCAAGCCGAGTGTTGGTAGCGACGTTATATCAGGGATCTTGTTGGCGACACAGAAAATGCTTTGAATCTCCAACTTTTTGAGTCTTGGCAATAGAAACAAAAATCTGCAACATATTTTATTGACTTTATGTGAATTGTTTTTGCTTCTAAACCATCATGATTCTTATCAGCGGCGTTTGTCTCCGAAAGACCGTCACTAGTAGCGGGTTACACACCGAGCAAAGAAGGCGACGGCATCGCCTCGCTAGGAGAGTAAACTCTCCATTAACCAAATCAAGTAATGAAACTACGAGTTTCAATTGATCAAATTCAAATAATCAAGCGTCAACAATATTAAATTCCTTGAAGAACTGAACTCATTTGACTCTCACCCTACACTTGACTACCTTATATATCACGAGCGAATTACCCGAGCTTTCTGCGACACCATCGACCAAAACGATCTCACTCTTACACTTGAAGACATCGTGAATTCGATGCGTCATGTCTCTTGGAGAACTTGCAGGCAGCCCTTCAGCTTTTTAGTAGTCCAAAGAGCATCGTTATCCACCATGGCTTCGTCCGGGCGTTGCTATAATGTACGTCACGATTGCTTACACAAGACAGGGACGAAGTGTCTAACCTCAACATTAGGACGCAATTGATGCGCTCAATTCCCTTCAAACTCCTTTTGATATTATTGAAGCTCGCAGGAAAGCTGGTATAAAGCCCAATGCTGTATCAATCCAAGAGATGAAGACATATCTTCATCGTATCGGATATACTGTAAGATCAACTAATCCAAGACCCTAAATATGAAATATACTCACAATATCTCAGCCATCTGATTTGAACAAACTCAACATCGTTCATGTGGCAGGTACCAAAGGCAAAGGGAGTACTTGCGCATTTGTCGACTCCATCCTCTCTCAATATCAGCACGCAAGAGGCACACCTCACAAAACAGGTCTCTTCATATCCCCTCACCTAATAGCTGTCCGCGAGCGCATCCGTATCAACTCGACCCCTATCTCAGAAGAGCTTTTTGTAAAATACTTCTTTGAAGTCTGGGACCGTCTGGAGGCTGCGCCAAAGGATGAAGCGGATAAACTCATGCCCCCTCGACCTATCTATGCTCGCTACCTGACCTTGATGAGCTGGCATGTCTTTCTTCAAGAGGGTATTGACGTTGCTGTGTACGAGACGGGAATTGGAGGAGAATTCGATGCCACCAACGTTGTCGAAAACCCAGTAGCTTCAGGGATCAGCACACTTGGTGTCGATCATGTCTTCGCCTTGGGTGACACTGTAGCCAAGATTGCATGGCACAAAGCAGGTATAATGAAAACAGGTAGCGCGGCTTTCACAATCGAGCAAGTACCAGATGCAGATGAGGTCCTTAGAAAGAGAGCCGAGGAGAAGAACGTCGTTTTGAAAGTCCTTGACGTTGACACTCGATTAAACGCCGTCAAGATTCGACCAGACGCCGTTTTTCAGAAGCGCAATGCCACACTGGCCGTTGCTCTTGCTGAAACAGCACTTGAAAATATTGGCGTTGCTCTTCCACCGCGTTCGGAACCTCTACCTAAGGAATTTGTCGATGGTCTTGAGAAGGTTGTGTGGAGGGGTCGATGCGAGGTCAAGAATGATGACAAGGTGGCATGGCACGTTGACGGCGCCCATACCTCCGACAGTCTGAAGATGTGCTCTAAATGGTTCAGAGATGAGACTACAGGACGGCAAGTTGTTGGATACCCGACTTTGGTTACTAGCTAACATTTCTTTTAGCAACGGCCCTCGTGTCATGATCTTCAACCAACAAGGCCGCTCTGAGGCCACTGAATTCCTCGAGTCTGTATTCAAAGCAACCAAACGTGATGGCCAGCCCGCCTTTGACCATGTCATCTTTTGCACAAACGTTACATATGCCGAGTCAGGTTACAAGCGCGACTTTGTCAACCACCAGTTTGACCCTGCCGAGATTGACAAGATGACGGTCCAGCAGCGCTTCGCTGAGAAGTGGACGGCCCTGGATCCTGGTGCCACTGTTAAAGTCATGCCGACCATCGAGCAATCTATCGACTATGCTCGACATATCGGGGAAGATCTTCCAGAGGGTGAGACGGTTCAGGCACTCATCACAGGCAGCTTACATCTTGTCGGTGGAGCGCTGGGGATACTGGAGAAAGCTGATGCTCTCTGATTTATAATGGAAGACAAGACGTTGTATTTATATGGGCGTATAGAAGGAAAATATCTACAATAGACCCTCGGGCTCCAATACTCGCAATATACCCCCTACAAGATGCATGCTCCCTGTTACCAAAACCTTTTGATTCGACCCTGCGACTTTTTTTGCTTCAGCAACTGTATCTTGAGTATTGTCAAACGTCTTGATTTGACACCCGGCTACCCTCTGACCCATCGACTCTGCCACTCTTGTCTGCACTGTCAAGTCTCCAGCTTCGCCACTAGATGATTTCTCCTGATCGTTTCTTGTAAAGAATGCATGGCTAAAAACATTCTCCCGCCCTGTAACTTCTTGAATAGTGTCGAGCAAACCCGCTAAAAGCTGCGCTGCATCCCGCTCCTGTTGGTTGAACACTAGCATTGCTGATTCGTTTTTACCAATACTGGCAGCGAACCATTTTGCAACCTCGTGCATGCTGTCTTTAGTGTGCGCACCGTCAAGATGCCACTCTATATGGCCCTGTTGAATTATCTCACAACGTCCCCTGAGACTTGCCTCTTTGAGCCCAGTAATCATTTTGTCGGGGAGGTTCAGCAAAGCTGTCGCTGGCTCGACATCCATGCCCAGATGCTGACGCACAGCAAGGACAGCGAGAGCTTGGTTGTACTTCTGGAAATCACCCGGTAGTCTTCCGACCACACCTCCCCATTGCTCAACGCTCGCATCATCAAGCTCGATGAGTTCCGCGCCCTTCTCTGCCGCTCGTTGTTGAAGAATCTCCCTCACACTGGGCTTCTCATCCATTCGGCGGACGAAACCACGCACGCCTGGCTTAAGAATGCCTGCCTTGTGCCATGAGATCTTCTCAACCGTATCACCCAGCATTGTAACATGATCTATACCCAACTGCGAGATAACAGCTGCAGAGACAGCCTCTGTGGGCACCACATTCGTAGCGTCATATTCGCCTCCAATGCCGCATTCGAGAACAACGCTGTCGACCTTTTCCCGTAGGAAGATATGCCAAGCGAGAAGCGTCATGAAACGGAAGAAGAAGGGTTTGGAATTAGGCCCATTTGAGTCAGTGATACTTTGACCCTCCTTCTTGGCCGCGTGGGACAGTCGCTCCCAGAGTTCAAAGAAGGCCTCCGCGAAAAGGGCTTGAGAGACCTGCTCGCCCTGGATAGCGATACGCTCGCGGGGACTCACGAGATGTGGACTCGTGTATGTGCCGACAGTTTCGTATTGTCGCAGCATACCCGTTGCAAATGCACTCACAGAACCTTTGCCCTTTGTGCCTGCTATATGAATGTGCCTCAGGCGAGCGAGATCCTTTGGTTCATAGCCAGCGCGCCGAAGCCATTCGCGCATCTCAGGAAGCGCCAGCGCATTCAGGTCTTTGGCTTGTTCGAGTGAGGCATTTTGCGATGTGGGCTTGTCGAATAAATTGGTAATCTGACGATTCGAATAGAGTGTAGATAGTAGGTTGAGAGCTTCATTGTAGTCCCGAGATGCGGTGCTAATACTCCTTCTTGTAGCCATCATTTGTGTTGTCAAATAGCCTTTGATAAAGACACAGCGATGGCTCAGCTTGCCAACAGAAAGGACATTGTGAGAAAGCATTGATCCGAAACAGTAGGTTGAGGTTACACAGAAGCTCAATTGAAAGTTTTCATGTGACGAGGAGCTACAGAGTTCAACCGCTAGGCGATCCATTAAGTCATTGCAAACTGCCCGTTGTAGAACGTCAGCTTTTTGCCTTAGAAATTCCGGTCTTGAACCACAGCAACAAAAGGTAATTTAAAGTGATCTAAGAATTGAAACAAGATACTAGGCTCGTAAGATAGTATTGTTTTTACTCTCAAATTTAATAGATTTTGGTTCCAGGTATCTTTGAAAAACAGCAGCTGACGTCTGATGCAAATCGTACAGTATTGATCAGCAGACAGCGATCAAGTATCGGATTTAATGATAATCTTGCCAACAATGAACAAGTAAAATATGGTAACCGCACCCTTATCGTCTATTGCTATCTAATACACGGCCGTCCGGCTCCTCTAGACACGACGACACCGGGATCCAATTATACACAACAAATGAGACATCCCTTTTTTATTTAATCCACACGAAGACTTTGAAGACGGGCCTCTGTGGCAATCACCTATGAAGCATGTTAGTAAAGTGAAGCTGCAAAAAACAACAATTTAAACTTACGTCAAGAGCCTGTTGAACCTCCAACACCTTGCGAACCTCGCCCAGCCAATCCTTACTCAAGGTCTTGGCCCATCCATCTAGACCGTTAATTTCTCGTGCCGCAGAATCCAAATCACCCTCTTCCAAATATGTTTGGGTTCGGGTAAGAATGCTCTCGACGTCGTTACCATCAGCAAGTCCCTGCTTCTTGAACATGACGTGGCTGAGGACCCAGCTGGAGGCGTGGCTGGCAACACCGGCCTCGTCGGGCAGTAGCGAAGCCTTTCGGACCTCGTTAGCGACACGGCGGAAACGGTCAATCAGCTGGGAAGAGGTAGAGATGCCGCGCTGGTAAGCCGCAGGGTTAACTGAGGCGATAGCAGCGTTGACAACGGGATCATCAGAAGCGATCTCACGGAGGGCAACCAGTTCGCGGATAAAGGGACGGGGGTGCTGGTCATCCTCAAGGCTGGCTCGGACAGCCTCGACAGCGACATGTAGCTGCTGAGTCTTGAGGTTGGTGTCGAGGACTTCGTTCCAGCCGGTAGTGAGCTTCTCAAGCTCACCAACAGCAGAAGACAAGGCGTTCAGCTTGCCCAGACGGCTCTCACGCTCCTGCTCAACCTGCTTCTCGATATCTTTGGTAAACTCCTTCTTGAGAGCTAAGGCCTGCTGAGCGAGCTGATTTTGGAGCTTCTCTTCGTTGACCTTCTTCTCACGCTCCAAGAGAACGTTAACTCGACCCTCGTAGTTTTCTCGCACCTTCTTCATCTCGTCCTCGAAGTCTTGTCGCCATTGGTTCTCCTGGCTAATCATGGTGTTCTCAACGCGGTCGATCAGGTCAGTAGCGGCCTTGTCGAACTCCTCGATCTTTTCCCTGACTTGCAGAGCAGCCTTCCTCTCGAACTCGCCCTTCATACCCTTAAGCTTGCCTCCCACCTTGGCGATTTCACTCTTCGCCTTGTCGACGGAGGTGCCATACTTGCCGTGGGCACCGTCAGCGTTGATAACCAGAATGAGGTCATTGACCATGTGGACGAGGTCCTGAACAACAGGCTCCTTGGCATCCTCAAGTGATAGCAGGTCAATGGGCTTCAGAGGAGGCATCTTAGAGGGCTCGTTAACTTCGGGAGCCTTGAAGCCTGTGTTGGATTTGGGGGCGGGAGCAGGTTCCTCCCTCGCAACAGTCTTGGCCTCCACAACAGGAGCCTTGGGCTTGGGCTTGACTGTCTCCTTAACCTTCTTGGCTGCAGATGCAACAGGACCAGCACTCGAGTGACGCTCGGCCTCAGCAACTCTCCATGAAGCACCGCTCTGAGCGGGAACTCTGACAGCATCCTCGGTAGCTTGGGTCTTGGATCGGCCGGTGGCGTTGGGGAATCGCTTCTTGTAATCCATCTCCTCGAGGTAAAGGACAGCCTGCTCGGCGAATGGGACGTATGCAGTAAAAAAGTCGTGGAAGTTGTCGCTAATACGAGAGTACCAGACACCTCCAGCGAAGCCAACAGCACCAAGGACGAGAAGGGTAAAGACAAAGTTCTTCAGTCTTCGGAAGAAACCCTTCTTCTTAGGTGCGGGAGGAGGAGGGGGAGGGGGAGGGGGTGTTCTGGGAACCTCTCCAATAACAGCCTTGGTCTCGCCGACATCGTCGATAGTGGTCTCGTGGATTCTCTCGGATGTGACAGTTTGGGAAGTTGGCAATACTGGTTGCTTAAGAGGATCGAGCTCGGGCTTCTTGTCGACAGCATAAAATCGCTAAACAGGAGTCGATACGGTTAGCTAACTACCACATATACACACTACCAAGACGAGGTGTGACGTTGTTAGGAAAGCTTACCTGGTTAGCAAGAGAGGCACTCCGCGTAGCCGCAATGGACCATTGGCGGGCAGCAGCGGCCACAACGGGCCTACCACCAAAAGCCCTCACAGACTGAAGCGAAGTTCGCAACATTGAGGGATTGCAATGGCGAACAGGGCGCAGTTCGCGATGCAGTTGTATATCGGTTTGATGGAGTTGAGAGCTGGTTCAAAAACGCTCAGGGTAAAAGTTCGGTAAAAGCCAGCTCCCGGTTCCGCATGGAGCTAGAATATTAGCACAGCGGCGGGAACCGGGTGACGCAACTACTATATCAACTGCTAGAATTTGGACATGATGATGACACAAAAAGCCAATGGACAATACTAAAACTGATTTGGTAGTAAAATTTATTTGGATTTTTACCTACCGGTCATTTTTGGCCTACTTCTACAATCGTTCTCTCTTTTCAACTTTGGGGAAACAGAAGCAATTTTATCATGCTCTAGAGACATTGGGTTGCCAGAACTCCATATCAGTAGTTCCCTTACTAAACCAGGCTAGTGGGTAACAGAAAAGTTGGCCTCCTAGATAAGTCTTAGGATATAAAAATAAATAGTCTAAGAACTATAGCCTAAGGAGCATAAAGTAACCTACTAATTTCGTCCCGTATGCTTCCAGCGATCAATTTTTCTGATACCCTGAGGCCAGGTTTTGCTTGTATTCGTAGATCATGCTCCACCTCTTCTCATCTGGCAGTGTAGAGAACCAAATCACCATGATCAACTCGCCCTAGCAACAGGGTAACAGAAAAATTGACCACTATGAGCATAAGAGATAAAAGTAGTAAGTCACATTAAGCCATTTAGATCAGCTCTCACACATCACATAAATATTGAAGCGACACAGTTGCAGTTGCGTAAATCATCTAATAACAGCCATCTATTAAGAAGCTGTGAAGGAAAGGAAATGCTGCAGAGCGCCTCGTACATGTCCCCGTGCCGATTCATCTCATGAGCCACTCTATATCCTCTGGCATGCTCAAGTGCCGAGCTCCAGCAACTTGAAGCATACAGACCACCCATACTACCAAGCAACAAAATTCAAGTTCCGTATTAAAAAGTATGGACTGAACTGATCCCTCCAAAACCAAAGACTCCAATAAATTATATGACGCGCCCCAGCTCATTCGTCCACCCCAGAGTTCGTGCAGGACAGCGTGCCACGCATAGACTCAAGCTGAGGGTTAGGTGATATGTGCGTAGGCGTGATGAAAGGTTGTCTAAAAATCAATGCTTCAAACTCGGGGCTAATCTAGCAACTGCAAGGGCCGCTGACGTTGGTGTTGGAGTTCTCAGGAGCCAGACTGACTCCTGGTCGTTGACCAGGACGAGCGTGTCGTGGACCGGCCTGGTCCAGAGGAAGCTTCTTGGCGATGGCTGTGAAAAGAGTCTGAACGTTCTCAGCAGTCTTGGCTGAAGTCTCAAAGAAAAGAAGGCCGGCTTCACGAGCGTAAGCCTCGGCGTCGGCAGTGGAGATGGCTCGCTTGTCGGGCTGCTCGGTGACCAAATCCAACTTGTTTCCTGCAAGAGCAATGACGATGTTCTCGTTCGCTTGGCGCTGTAGCTCCTTGACCCAAGCCTTTGCCTTGTCTAGCGATGCCTGAAGGAAGGTTAACATTCGTCCTATAAAGATAAGTTTCCAGATGAGCGTACCGATTGGGTGATATCATATACAACGACGGCGCAGTTCGCATTTCGGTAGTACATGGGAGCCAAGGACTTGTAGCGTTCTTGGCCGGCGGTATCCCAGATTTCGAACTTGACCGTGGTGTTCTCATCGAGGGAGATGGTTTGAGTCAGGAAAGCAGCACCGATAGTGGACTCGCGATAGGAATCGAATTGGTCCTGCAAGGCATTGGTGAGTTACTGTTTTGCACAAAGATGTTGTCTTGGGTAATCCTTACCTTGACAAATCGCAAAACTATTGAACTCTAGATTCATATATCAGCAAATGACTGTATCAAGGCGCTTGTTATGATCATACCTTTCCGACAGCAGACTCGCCTATGACAAAACGTTAGCAAGCATGTCATGAAACGGGGACGGGGTTGACAAGAATGTGGCTGCGATGTAACATACCTAGAAGAACCAGCTTGAACTGCGCGAAACGGGTGTTGGTGCCGCGGGCGCCAGCGGGAGGTTGTCGGGAGGCCATGTTGACAGACTGGGATGTGATTTCGAGATGGAGAGATATGGAGAGTGTCTACCGAGAGTGGTAGTGGTAGTGGTAGTGATAGTGGCGGTATGACCTGGGCGTTGGGATCGAACGTGTCCTGGACAATAGCGTGGAGAGACGGACGCTCGGGCTGAAAATCGTATCGAAATTATTTGCGACGATAACGAATCGAGGTGCAAGATAGGACCGGCGGGCGATGATGCGGATAGGTATGAAAGACAAGAGTCGAGGCTGAAGGTGAGAGGCGAGTCTTAGGACGGGGCTTCGCTTCTTTGATTAAGACGAGACGGGATGGGAGGTCACTAAGTGATTGCCTGGTTCCTTGGTCGTGACTGGCTTAGACGGCACGAGGCACACGTCAGGCAGGGCCCTTTTTTTGGTAGGGAAACCCACTGTGCCACTGTAGTCGGCGGGAGGACGGGGTCCTGGAGACTTGCGTTTCACTGGAGACTTGCGCAATCTGCTTGGGGTAGTGGTACTGATAGCACTGCGAGATATACCTGTATGCTCAAGTACCTTTACTTTGCACGAGCCTAAATTCCACATGTGACGTGCATTTCTCGAGCCACAGTGGTCCCTCAACCGTGGTTCTGTCATTTCGATTTCCTTATGTGGCTGTGCTGTAGCTTCGCTGGCCTCATCAACTCATTCGCTAACCAAACTATCTCATCTCAACCCATCCCTCACGTCGAATCCCTTTTTTCTTAGTTCATTGTCGTTCTTTGCCGTCAAGGGCAGACAAGTCGCCAAGTTGGCCACTACTAAGTCCCGGGCTTTACTATAACCCTCTGCTTTTTTATTCTCTTTTCTAATCTTCCACAAACGACCATTAGCTATCATATAGCTTCGTCCTCACACAATGGCGCACCTCCACACCCCAAAGTTGCCTTATCGCGATATCAACGTCAAGATCGCCAACGATTCCTATACCTTCACTTCTCCATCTTCGCCTGATGCGCCCGCCCTTGTTATCGATCGTCCTACTGGTGATGTTCGCCTAACAGAGGGCAGTGCCGCAACTGCCAAGAGAACAACTCGCGTTTCTAGTATCGCTGGTATTCTGGGAATTATCCAGCTTCGTCTTGGTTCGTTTCTGCTGCGCTATGCCCTTGGCTGACCCCTTGGGTGCTGGCTCATGCTCTTTGACTGACTATGTAAAGACAAGTATGTCATCTTCATCACGAAGGCTCAGCCCGTTGGCCGCCTCAAAGGCCACATGGTCTACAAGGTCGCTGCCACCGAGATTATGCCCATGCGCGAGCGCTTAATCCACGACCCTGATGAAGACGTCTTTATTCAGCTTCTCAAGAACTTCCTTGCTTCCGGGCCCATGTACTTTTCTTACTCAATCGACCTGACCAACTCTTTCCAACGCCAAGCCCAAGCCGACACTTCCAAGCCCTTGTGGATGCAAACCGACGACCGGTTTTTCTTTAACAAATATCTTCAGAGCGACCTAATTGACTTCCGCACCCGAGGTGCCCGATCGCAGCCTGGCGCGCAGCCTGGCGTCGACCCCTATATCCTACCATGCATCTTTGGCATGCTTGAGATTAAGCCTACCACGTTCAAGGGCAACCCCCTGACCATGGTTCTGATCACTCGTCGATCGCGCCACCGTGGAGGTACTAGATACTTTACTCGTGGTGTAGACGATGAAGGACATGTCGCCAACTACAACGAGACTGAACAGGTCATTATCCTCAATGACAGCAACAGTGGCCTTGGTGGGTATGCAGGTAGCTCAGACATGCAGAGCGGCAAATTTGGCCCTGGCGCCAGCCAAGAGATGCAGATCTTCTCCTATGTTCAGACCCGAGGCAGTGTTCCTACCTTTTGGGCCGAGATCAACAGCCTGCGATATGTCCCTAAGCTTGAGATTCGGGGTATTGACACGGCTCTCACTGCCGCACAGAAGCACTTCGATGAGCAGATCCGCCTGTATGGCGACAATTACCTGATCAACTTGGTTAATCAGAAGGGTCGAGAAGCTCGGGTCAAGGACTCATACGAGAAAATCGTGGAGAAGCTTGTTTCTACACCCAGGGAACGACAAGAGGCAGACCTGCTCACAGCAGAGAAGTTCACCACCATCCAGCCCGAAGCCAAGCGTCAAGAATTTGACCGCCTACACTACGTGTACTTTGACTACCACAGTGAGACCAAGGGCATGAAGATGCACAAGGCTTATGCCCTGATTGAGAAGTTGGCCGAGGCTCTGGAGAAACAGGGCTATTTCCGTGCCGTGGACACCCCGTCTAGTGTTGATGGCAAGCTCGATGCCCGCAGTTACCAGACCAGTGTCATGCGTACCAACTGTATGGACTGCCTGGACCGAACAAACGTTGTGCAGAGCATGTTCGCTCGACACAAACTTGACCGCATCTTTGAGGATGTCGGTTTTATGCCCCGTGGTTCTTCGTTCCGTGACGAGGATGCTGCTTTCGAGGATATGTTCCGTAACCTCTGGGCTGACAATGCCGATGTTGTCTCCAACTCCTACTCTGGCACTGGCGCCATGAAGACAGATGTCACCCGTACAGGAAACAGAACAAAGGTCGGGGCTCTTCAAGATGCTCGTATTGGTGTCACACGTTACTTCCGTAACAACTTCTTCGACGGCCCTCGTCAGGATTCTTTTGATCTCTTCCTTGGAACCTACCGACCAGGCTCTGCCAACATCGGTACTACCCTGGTCTTTACTGATCGTCGTCCGATCTTGATCCAGTCTATTCCCTACATTCTCGCCTTCAGTGTCTTTATTATTCTCACTGGCCTGTTCACTCGTCGTGCACCTGATGCGAGCGCCTTACCCCTCCGTATCTTCCTTTTCTTCTGGATGGCCATCGCTGCCTGGTCTTTCTACTTTATCTGGAACCACGGCATGCTTTACGTAAGTTATCTGCCATGTAACATCCCAAACTCAATACTAACATGCACAGGTCAACTGGCCCCGCCTCAACCCCAGGCCATTTGCCGTTGAGGGCTACAACGAGCACTTCGCCAAGGCACGCAAGGACTCTGTCATTGGAACATATGTGGCGAAGCACGAGAGAGGCCTCAGCACAGCTAGGTACCTTAATGCTGAAGAAGGCAAGAAGAGGATTGAATAGACTAAAAGCCAGGCGTGGAAGTTTTATTGTAATGCGGATGCTTAGTTTTCTGGTGTGGCAGTATGGCTTTGAGCTTGTTTTTCCTTTGCTCAAAGACTGTAGGAAATTGCCTGTTGCTTTCAAATCGGACGGACGGACGGAAACAAGGATTTTAATTCATCTTATTCAATCAACGTGTTTGCATATATTAACTTTGGTGGAGCTGGCCTCCCTGGGTCGCTCAACTTGCGTCCGAATGTCACAATATTTTCATCTCTACTATGTAGCTGTAACATGTAATATAGATCCTTTTGCATGCGGCACTTTGATTTGTTTAATCAAGTGGGTGTATGTGTTGATGAACAGCTATTGTGCTATGGGAGAGTCAAGGTAGGCTTTACTCCTTAAATATTAACTAAGATACAAATATGTGACAGAAGAAATCAAACAAAAGAAATAATAGAAGTATCGCTCAAACTATGCCATATGCTCTGAAGCTAGATGCTACTACCGTAACACGGGGCGCCGCGCCATGCTGCTTCCCCATAGATGTAAGAAAGGGGTATCAAAACTGGATAACGGTGGGTATCCGTGAACAAAAAGATGAGAAAATGTGTAATGCCAATAGAGAACATGGTAACAATAAGCAAAGAGTGAAAATGAAATAGCGAGTCTTTGGTATCCTCAGGCTCCTGAAAAAACTCCTTTGATTCCCATTGTCCCACAACTCCTATCTTATTAAAGGGTCTTTCTTATAGCTCACAGCCAGAGGAGCCATTTAAAACCTCGCCAAACGCCTTGCCCAATGCCTAGGAAGAGTCTGAAGATGGTAACGACGAACCAGACATACCACATGAAGCCAACGAGCGTCCATTCGACGAATGACCACATACCACGGCGGAGCCATCTGAATCGTCTGCGTCTGTTACGCATCATCTTGTCAGTCAAGTCAGTGACATGCTTGACCTTGAGAAGTTGGCCCAAAGCCAAGTCTTTGCCAGTCTCATCAGCTTGATCTGATGCCTCGCGTGTCATTCCTGACAGCTCATCAGCGATTCGCGAGCGAACACACCAGATGCGCTCTTCAAGCCTTGGTCGTGTTTGTCCGGTGAACTTGTCTGCTGACGTCTGCCATTGCTCCATTGATTGTTGGATAGCTGCGCCAAGAGTGTCGCTGGCCAGCCGGAAATGATCGGAGCAGGGAATCGCATCAGTAGATGGTAGCGACTTCTTGGGGGTTAACTTTGCAATGTCAGCCCATGGTACACCTACCATGGTTGATTGCGATGAATTGCCCAACCCTTGGAGACTATCATTGGCAAAGGGGTTATTCAACCCATGTGAACGACGAGATATTTCCATGGCTTTGATACCAGAAGTAAGAATAAGCGTGCGCAACCGGGCGATTTCACGCTTTGAAAGTCGACTTTCCTGAGGCATAGGCTGATTCGCGATAGACCACTTCCGGGCTCTGAAGTTATCAGGCTCATCAAAGCGAATCATTGGCATCACCTCATCTGACTCCTTTTCTGTACCTCGAGCGCCATCTTTGGCGCTCTCCTGGCATGACTCTGCTTCTGACATCGCAGGTTCAACAGCAGATACCCTCTCAGCCTCCTGGGCTTTGGCAGGGCTAGAAGCGTTGGAGAAATCAAGCGGGGGAGGTTTGGTCATATTGACACGAGACAGCGAAGACTGGTTCTTCTTGACATCAGTCGTCGACTGGCCACGTATATCCGCCATGGGTTGAAATTGTGGCATTGTGTCCAAGAAATGCTTGGCACTATGCTGTGGTTCCGGCTTATTGCGCTTCGAGTTTGTTCGGGACAAATTAAGAGAAATTCTCGATCGGCCTTTGGGCTGGTCATTGTCAGATTCGTCGGATGATAGTATGTCGCTCGGGGCTTCCATAGGCGTGTCCTTCTTCCATAGTATGTCGCCAATTTTCGAAACGCCCCCTCGAAACACTGTATCAATACGAGGGCCCTTGAACATGCCTCGCAGGCCAACTTCATCGCCTCTTGGCTTGACACTGCTCGAGCTACGTTGATGCTTGTGGCCCTCAAAGATTGGTCGAGAATTAGAAGGGTGCCGTTCGAGCGGCTTTGCTTCCATTACAGGGAGAGGCTCTGGCGATGGAGGTCTTTTGATTTCCTCCTCTACTTCTACGACTTGCTCTTCAGGTTCGTCGCGAATCTTATCCTTAAAGATTTGCTTGACCTTTGTGAACGGATTTCTGGAAGGAGAAGAAGACCGAGAAGAAGGAGCCGAAAGATTCAAGCCAGTCGGTGGCGCTGACAGACTGTAACGTGGGGCGAGTTCAGGCGACATAGGTTGAGGAGAGTCAATACCTTCTTTGTGATTCCTTCCATGGTGTGAGCCTCCTCCGTTATGTCTTCCAAGCTTTGGCAACGACGGGACCTCCAAGGACACTCTACTCTGTGCAGGTCGAGATTCTGGGTCTTTATGGTCTGTCGTGTTCAGCTCCCTACCAGTAGAAAGTTTTGTTTGTGAGTTGCGTTCGGGGGAAGTCAAGCTCTCAACTTCGTTATACTCGGCCTCGGTTTCTGGGACGTATGATAGCCTCTGCTGCTGTCTCATATCTCGAGCAACCATTTCCAGCATCTGCTTCTCTAGCAATTCGGTCTCACGGCTGGAAATTGTTCCTCGCCGAGCCCTTCCTTCACTCGGCGTCTCATCCTCGCTAGCAGAATCATCCGAAGACGAACCCCTTCTTCTGAAACGGCGATGATGTATGGAACCGCTGTGTCGGTGGAAGGATCCCATCTCCTGAAGTTTTTGTTTCGCCCGGTCTCTGTGACCTGGCTCCGATGTATCTGTGTCGGTTTTTGTGAGTTTGTGATCATGAACGTCTGCGTTCCCGTTTGTCTCCTCCACAGTTTTGGTTATCAAGGGTGAAACACCAGTTGTAGGGTCCTCTGACTGTATTGACATCGGCCTACTCATAGCTTCCTCCGTCTGAGGGTATATCTTGTTCAGATGTCTATCCTCAATGAGTTGCTTGTGGTGGTCTTGTTCCAACCAATAAGCATCTGCAATTAAATCGCACGCCTCGAAGAACCAGTCAACTCTCGGACGTCGGACTCGAAGGGCAGCCTTTGCAGCTGCATCCGTAGTCATCTGCGAGTCAATCTCTTCAGCTGTGGGGAACGGTGGTAGTACTGAGCCGTCGCTAGAGGGAAGCTCTCTGGCTCTGTGTGATGCTTCTTCGACCCAGTCTTTGACAGATTCAACGTCAGAGAATCCTTGTTTCTCGCCATCGATGACCATTCTTTCCCGAGCTCTGACTTTCCGGTTACGGATATATTGCAAGAGGTTATATTCTCGACCAAGGGGGATCATGAGCTCTCTGTTTCCAAAACTACGCATCTTCTCCTCTGTGGGCGAGCCAGGGGGGCTTGAAGCTGAGGTTCTATCGTAGCCGGTCTTGAGTGGAGGAAGGACTTGCAGTAAGCGTCTGTACTGTGCCATTAGTTCCAAATGCTCCCTGGCCTTCTGCGCTCTCGCCAAGGTTGAAGTTGAAAAGTGATAACGGTAAGATGCATCGGGAGCATGTTCAAAAGGTTGAGGGCGTAAAGGGCTGCTTGACCTCACGCCCGGTAATCGCGGTGTAAGGGACTGGTTCGGAATTGGTGAAGCTCCCCTGGCAGCCTTTCTTTGTTGTTGAAGATGGGCCCTGAGGTTACTGCCAGCCTGAGAGTCCTGCATAGGACCCAAGCGAGGAGGGTTGCCACGGCTGATGTTGCGCCGCGACGCAATACGCCGTGATTCGCTCAAGTTCAATGCCATGTTGACAATTTGGGTTGAGTCCACGTCAAGCGCGGTGCCTGGATACGACGTTTGTGCCCGTCGGCCGCGCTTCTGGCCGTCACTCCTTTTCGATACATGAAGGTCCTCCTGAGATGTATCTGGCGACACGACACGGGCTCGAGGACCATTGGCAGAGCTAATACCCAGGCCAAATTCCCGTTGTCCATTGGATGAGTTTGACTCCTGAGCATCCTTCCCTTTATGTCTTGATTTACTTCGGTGTCCGCGCCGTTGGTTACCAGAATCGTCATCCGCAACTATAGGCTCCTGGAGTAAGAAGGCACCGCTCGTTTGTGTCTTATGGGGTCGCTTTGACCGGGCTCGTTTCGGTCGGCCAGCCTGAAGGCCGCTGGTAGTAGCTGCAGCACCGCGAGATGTATGATTGAGGCGTGGGAGAGACTCGTCATCGGAAAAGGCGAGTGGCCGTTCAGGAGGAACATGAAGGAGGCCGTTAATACTGTGGTCTCCCCTTTCTGCGACATCGTAGCTGAACCTCGTAGGAGGCTCGGGGGTTACTGGTCCATCCCGTCTGCCATATGCACTCAGCGAGGAGGCAGCACGGTGGTCGGCCATTGCGCGTTGGTTATTGCATATAAAAGTTCGACTTTACGCTCGCGCTCAAGATGGAAGCGGGGGGTTGTCGTCAGAGTTGATGAATCGAGCAGTGCAGCATTGTTTTTCTAATTCCAAGGGTCCTTGCCGATCAAAATCGCAAGATCCTGGTCAGAACGTGTTGTCCTTGGTGACGATAGCTTTCGGGGGGCTAATTAAGCGTGGACGGTGACTTGGGTAGAGTAGTAGGTAAATAAGGTTGATTGAGATCGGAGTGGATGCCCGGAGAGGGAATCCGCCTCAAGAGCTCATGGCTCTCTCTGGAAGTCTATACACAAAGACACGTCGCAGCGATATGCGTTGGTTAAACAAGAGTTTTTTTTTTAGTTATACTTTTTTAGATGTTACATATGCGGATCGTTGAAGAGGATTGGATACAGGCATCCTTGGACATTAGAGAGATTGGATAAATGCCCACTTGAGGCCGCTTGTAGGGGTCCGGGTCCTTTGAACGTCACGGGAATGGTGGATTGCACACTACAAGACCACTAACCTACAGGGCGCTTTGGCTGGCTTGGCTGGGTCAGTTTTGCGCCTTTCCCACCTATCCCAGACACAAGCGTGGCGGGGAGTGACGTACGCGTGTCTCGAAATGGCAGCTCATCATCCATTCAACTACAAGCTCTAAAGGGAAACATACACCTTATTCCGAGTACCGATTTGTCTCAGGCCCAAAGTGCCGATGCTGATAATCACATGAAAAAAAGCCATCTTATCACGGAAGCCAACTTTAGCCATGCTGCTCCAATCCAAGTCAGCACGCGGGAACTGCTAAACACAGATCATATCATGGCGGGGAGTTTCAGGGGCAGCCCGATTCCAGGAAATAGAGAGATCATACACTTGGAATTTGACTCAGCTGATAGAGTTTGGAGCAGGTCAATCAAAGTCATGTTCGGTAGTTAGGTTTTGGCTTAAACATTTCTTACAGTGGTTGTTTTGTCTAATATACAGATGCTATCCAAAATCTGAGATGGGTAAAGTCACCAAGACCGACCCTGATAGCTTACATGGAATACTGTACATGTCGCAAGAGAAAGAGGGGTATACACCATCAAGAATCACTTTCTTCTTCCTTCTGTTGTCTCTTTTCTCTCAAACTGAGGCTGGCAATACACCAACAACCTCTTCGCATCTGCCACACAGCGCGTCTTCCGCAGGCGCCACATATCGCCAGCATCGAGAACACTTCTCCTGCTTTGGTGGAAGCACGTGCACCTTAACCTTAGCATCTTGGATCTCGAACTCCTTCTGGTAGGCCCATTCAGGCTGGTCAGGGATGGGCTGGTTCAGTTGTACTGAAGACACCACAAAGATGTCCTGCAGTTCTTCCACGTAGCGTCCAAGAACAGCTGCCGCTTTGCCATCCTCGATTTCAAGGATGACCGAACTCTGGAGAGAACTGCCAAGCACCTTGGCTGTCCGTGCCTCCTCTAGCGTGGCCTTGACAGCACTGTGGATTTCGGTGATGATGGCCTGGTCCTTACGTACCACATCTTGAGGAAGCGTCAAGCGTAGAGGGTCAATAAGAGGCGTATCATATAGCTGACGAGCTGGATTCTCCAAGGATCTAATTGTCATTAGTACAAACGAATATGACCAAGCATCAATTAGCAACTTACGAATCTTCGGCCATCCATGTTGGTCGATGCGACCATGCCTCTTCAACAAGCATAGGAGTGATCGGCGCCAACATGCGAAGGAAACCGATGAAAATGGGCTCAATAATACCACCTCCATCACCGCAGTACAGTCGGTCTTTCAGACCCTCCAAGTAGAATGCCGACAGGTCGGCTGCGACCCAGCGGTTAATCATACTAACTGCTCTATAAAACTCAAAGTCGTTGTACGATCCCATTACCTGTGACATGGTATCAGAGAGTTGGACAAGCGCAATCTGATCCAACTTTGTCAACGGGCTCTGGCGGGCTTCTTGATTCAGGGACCCGAGAAGCATCTTGATAATGGTTCGATACTTAATCAGCGAGGTCTGGACAGGCTGAAGAATTGTTTGTCCGATGAGCACATCCGTTGTAAAATCAGCACTTGCCGCCCACAAGCGAACAGCATCCGGACCGAGACCGTTGGATTGTTGTCCGCCTTTGCCCTTGGTCTTGACAGGTCCCAGAAGACTACCGTCCATGACCTGGCTAGGGACGATCATGTTACCCAGCGACTTTGACATCTTCTTACCTTGTCCATCAAGGGTGAAGCCATGAGTGACCAGAGTCTTGAAGGGGGCCGAGATCTTGTCAGTAGTCTCTTTTGACTTTTGCGTTGCGACATAAGTCAACAAGCTGGACTGGAACCAACCACGATGCTGGTCGGATCCTTCAAGATAAACATCGGCAGGGCCCTTGGTCTCTGTCCAAGAGCTGCCGCTGTCGAACCAAACATCCATGGTATCAGTACCTCGACGATACTTGCCCTTCAAGTTAGAAGGAATCCAAGCAGGGTCATCTGGGCTATCGGAGAACCAGGCAGATGAGGTACGCTCTTGCATAATAGAGAGAATATGCTCGATAGTCTCTACTGTCATTACAGCGTTACCGCTCTCGTCGTATAGGGCTGGAATGGGTACACCCCATGAGCGTTGGCGCGAGATGCACCACTCGCTACGGCCTTTGATGAAGCTTTCGAGACGAACGCGGCCGCCTTCCGGTACAAAACGGACGTCTTTCAAGGCTGCAAGAGCATCTTCTTTGATGCTTCCAACATCAGCAAACCATTGCGCTGTAGCGCGAGTCACAACAGGCCGCTTCGTTCGCCAGTCATAAGGATATTTGTGACGCAACTTGTGAGTTCCAAGCACATCATCATTTATGAGATCCAGGACAGCTTGGCTTCCACCATCCAAGATAGAGGGCGCGGATGTGAGCTTCTCGGGGTCATCAGGATATGCCTCCTTGGTGAAGTGACCGCCATCGTCGATAGGAGCGAACGCCTCGATGCCGAGTTTAGAGCAAGCTTCGTAATCATCTTGTCCGTGTCCAGGAGCAATGTGAACGACACCAGTACCAGAGTCAGCAGTGACGAAATCGGCTTCGATAATTGATTGAGATGGGGCAGATTTGCCTCGCAATCGGTTCTGGTATTCCAGACCCTTCAAGCTGGAGCCTGGGATGGTGTCAACCAAGACTTGAAAATCCGGAAGCATTTCCCTCATAGCCTCCACACGGTCGGAGGCAACGAGATATCCATCCGAGCCGACTTGAATTACGGAATAATAGATGTCGTTGTGGATAGCAATAGCGCGGTTGGCTGGGAGAGTCCAGGGTGTCGTCGTCCAGATAGCTGCATATAGTTTACCGGTGAAGTTGGCCAGCTCAGGTATTGAGGATAAGTCGGAGACAATTGGGAATCTGATATACGCGGCCTTGGAGACATGATCGTCCCGGTATTCCAACTCTGCCTCAGCGAGCGCTGTCCTCGATGAAGCTGACCAATAGACCGGTTTATGCTTTCGATAAATCAAACCTCGACGCACCAGGTTCTGGAAGACACGCAGTTGCCGAATTTCAAAGTCTCGGTCCATTGTAGTCCATCTCTTTTCCCAATCTGACATGACAGCAAGTGCTTGGAAACCCTTCATCTGGTCCTTGACTGTCTTGGAGGCCAACCGCCGCGCTGTATCCCGGATCTGAATAGGCGTCAAACCCTTCGTTGTGCTGGATCCCAATGCTTTCATCTCAATTGGAAGGCCATGACAGTCCCAGCCTGGTCGGTATGTCACCTTTTGACCTTGCTGCACTTTAACACGCACAATCATATCTTTGAGCACCTTATTCAAGGCGTGGCCAACATGAAGGTTGCCATTGGCATACGGGGGGCCATCGTGGAGTGTGAATGATTTCTCCTCGGGGCGATTCTCCCCTTGCCATACATAGAGATCATCGGTACATTGTCGAAGATATTGTTGTGCGAGCTTGGGGTTCGGTCGAGCACTGCAAAATCGAATATGTTAGTTCCCCATGTTCGAACTTTGGAGGCTCTATTAAAGGGAAACGTACGGAAAACTCGACCGCGGCAGCCTTAGGGTCGACTTCCAAGATTTGAGCATGATCGCTTGAGGATCATGTCGTACTTGATCGGCTGATTTCGAGAGTCAAGGTCGGCACGGCTGAGCAATGGAGATTTTTGACACTTGCTCGAAGCGTCCTGTCAATTGACAATCTGCCCGTTCGGACCCGCTGCAAGGCTGAGAGCTCTAGTCGTCACAGCACTCCGTTCCAGTGGAAGCTTGTATTTTAGCGTGTTCGCGACGCGACTTATAGCGGATGACTACCTATTACATCACCAAATCCGAGTCCATCTCGTCTAATAACCTACCTACCCCGAGGTCACGCTCATTCACGCTTCATTTGATGACTCTTTAACAATCATCAAATACAGTATGGCTCCAGTCCGCCGGTATCTCAGAATATCCAAATACTCAGTCCTTGAGTGCCGAATATATCTCGATAATCCAGCTCTGGCTCAATCATGGCTTCTCAACCCTCGAGGTTCAATATTGGCAAAGGTTATTGAGAGTATCCGCCCGCTAGTTCTGCCCAAACTACGTGAAGAGAGGGAGAGGATTAGGAAGAAGAGCAAAAAGAAGAGTATCAAAGATGTCATTGTCACTGGTATTTTCTCTCCCACTTCATGCAATATGTCTCCGCCAACAGCTAATCTCGCTCAGATGAGTTTGAGGTCTCTATCTTCTTGACAGAAACAAGCACCAGGCATTCTCTTCTTTACAAGACCAAGCACTTCAGAGACAAGTTGCCACCGAAACTCGAGTCCAATTCATCCAAGCTCATTGGTGAAACGGACAGCGTCCCTGTAGATGTTGACGATGAATATCGTGCATCAGTTCTACAAGAGGAAGATGAGGAAGATGTGAGATTGTCCGATATTCCCGTGGCCGAAACAACGACACGGCGGAGCAAGCGCCAAAGAGGAACGTTGGACCAGGGCCAAGATGACAACGAGGTTTCTGAAGACGATGAAACAGCCTCGGCCATCGAAATCGACTCAGACACAGAGGCGCCCCCGCACAAACGACCCCGGGCCCGGGAGAACGACGGCCTCGACGCAAGCGAAGACAAGAAGAAACTTGACATGGACGTGTCATATGAGGGATTTGCAATCTACGGTCAGGTGCTGTGCCTCGTGGTCAAGAAAAAAGCGAGCGCTGCAGCTAGCAGCAGCAGCAGCAGTGGTGAGGGTGCAAAAGGTCGGCCAGAAGGTCAAGCCATGATGGAGAATTGGATTTCGTCGACACAAATGCCGGTTGGGGAGGACATAGCATAATCGCGCGCAGTCACAAATGGCCTCGGGTATCAAAGACTCTGCGCATGCAAGCAAACTGTCTCAGAAGCATATCAACATACATGACGTCCCAGAATGGCGTGACTATGCATGCAATCACAATGGCAGGTCCACGCACGAGAGCTGACCCAAATACTGGGGTCAACGGACGGGAACTGCGGATACGTCCGTTGGATCCCTGAAGGGTGTTCGGGCAGGCTGCGGGCGCCAGGTGTAGACGGACTCCCGTCGCGAAATGGGATGCACGACAGTGGCTAAAAACAAATCATAACGCGAGATTAGTTCAATTCGGCGCATTTCGATCGACCCTTTGGTGTCATCGGGTAATCACGCAACAAATCGCAATGGTTATTTTGACGAGGATACGATTATTGCTGCGGCCGACCCTTACCAGGCGGCTCAGACATCACCGTCAACCATCGGCCTCGATAGCTCTTGGCACCCGTTAAAGCATGGTTCAAGGACAACTCGGCATAACGAGAACGATCTCGAGTTAGGGGATGTCAACCCAAGCCCCTGCCACAAGCTCCATTGTGATGCTAGGCTAGGTGCCATTATCCTACATGGGTGCAGTCGTAAACTGGACCACAGTAGTGCGAGTGCGCAATATCAGGGTTTGGCTAAGCGCATGTCTCAGTGATATGACAAGAGGATAGCCAAAAGCCTGATTGTCCGGAGGAGTTACTCCAATTTTTGTGTATATGCCGCAATTGTTTTCGATTTGTATTTGCGTATCACCAGACATACCCTAGCCTTGTAGGCGGCGGCATGATGGGTCTCGAGTGCAATTGAGGCTTTTTTTTATTGTATCCTAGTCTCGCTGCAAGCCCTAGAAACTCGAGCAGTTGGTTTGCTAATAAACGAGGGTTCTGTTATGGAGGCTGAAGCGGGTGTTGAAAGACTTTGCGATGATCCCTAATCCAGCATCTCCATATTGAACGGACACGGATACTTCGGCGGCCAATTCATTTGCCGACAAAGACATTGTAACCCTACAGTCGATCACATATCAATATTTGAGTCAAGTTTTAGTATGAAAGTAGCTCACGTAACGTTAAAGACATGCTGAACCCTGAAGAAGGGGCCCTCATTAATTGTGCATGTCTTGGACCCTACGGTGAGGCTGGCTAGGAAATTAATCGTGGTCAACATCCAATAATCATGCCAGCCGCAGCCTGAAAACAGCAGGCCAATAAGCTTATGTATGTCAATACCTTGCCTAACCTGAGACTCAACATAATTATACAGAGGGGCGGTAAACGTAGACACGGGAGGGTCTGGTCCGTCGGTGTGTTGTATTTCGAAGCAACCGATTCAATAATATTGGTACGGATAGTACGGGATACAGCACCTACTCAGCTGATAGCGAACGGCACATATACATATTGCACACACTATAACGAGAGCATGTAGATCATGAAACTATAAGAGAAGGAGCTGAAGTGACCAAGAGATGATTTGTGACAGAATCGTCCAAGGCTGAGCTGATATAACATCAGTTTTGGTGTTGTGCAAAATGTCGCGGATACGGATACGTTTGTTACCTTGCGCGTCGTGATGGCTTGGCCATATCATTCATCATACAATGTGCGGAGTAGTCTATGATGGTTGGTTTCGTTCTGTATCAAAACCCGGCGAATCTCGGGTCCGAAGTTGATAACAAGGCACGGGAAGTTCGGAGTTTGTGGTCACAAGATGCCAAAATGACATTCATTGTCCCTGGTGCCTTGTGCCTGTCTATGCCTGTACCTTGTGCCTGAGATGAGATGGAGGGGGGGTTTGTTTCATGAGGCTGGGTTTGACTGGGCTGCCGCTGGCAACAAAGTTGTGGTATGAACCGGCACCAACAGCATAATCTTTCCCGTTGTCTTTTGTATGTCTCAAAGATATGACTGTATTGAAACATCCCGAAGCCTAGTTGGTGTAGGGTTGTCTCAGTCAAAAAGACAAAACAAATGCTGATGTGGATGGATGAATGACAGACACTAGCTATGGATCGAGTAACCCCGCAACAGTGAATGACAAACGTCAGGGATCATGGAAAGCTTCGTGGAGTTTGTTCTTGACAAAAGAAAAGATAGTGAGGGGAAATGCTAGCCTACATCTCCATTCGATGAAACTTGTAAACTCGGTGAGCCAAGTGCGTGTAGCCATCTATTTAGACTGGGTACAAGTTGTCTTTGTACCTCTTGTATCTAGGTAGAGAGTGTGTGACCGTTGCCTGCCTTGTGGTTTAATGACATGGATATTACACTTGTTTGTTAATTCCTTGCATCTAGTATCCTTGCATGCATGCATACAGACATGATGTTTGTTCTTGTAGACACGCCTCCTCCTGTTCCTCCTTTGCTGCCTTACCTTGTTCTGCTCTGCTCTGCCTTGCATATGACTCTTTTGACACTGCCACCGGTATAACGGCACACGCACGATGTGGGATATACGCAATTCTTGGATCTACATCAGCATCGGCTGTATGTAAGACTCTCCGGGTTTATCAACTTACATACATGGCCTACGTGGGCATCTTCTTACCGTATCGGCCCCCCTCTTTTTTGCTGACCTATTACCTCTCGGCCGGGACTCACGTTGACTGTCGTGGCATCATACAGAGGTGCTTACAGACATGCTCATGCGTTCAAGTGCTGCAGTCCGTTATCATGGTATCACATACATCGCTTCCCTTTCCCCATAGGGAGGATCTGCTGCTGCCATACCAGGGCCTTGGGTACACCTGAGCATGCCGAAACAAGGTCTCTTTCAATATCTGGGGTTTTGTGCGTCTCAGGCTTCATTGATCCCATGGCAGTGGCAGACATCACACCAACTGTGTTGCCGTGCCACTGACTAGTTTCTGGTATATGGCTTGGTGCATTGCAGTGTAGTATGTAGAGTTGATCAGGCAGACAGACACGGTTGTTGTGTCACGACTGCCTGCTTATGCCTTGTTTTGTTTTACCTCATCATGATGGCTCGATGATAAAGCTTGGGACCAGGTTGAGGTTGAAAGTTCCCCTCATCCGTTCGGCCCCTCACGATATAGCTCATTACTTAATTTGGCATAACAAGTTACGTTGAATGATGACTTTGCGCGCTGACCATTCGTTGCCAGCGTCAATTGAGTTCAGAGCCAATGATGGCGATGCAAAGTTATTAAGGCTGCCGTTGCAGGCTTTACCGTTGGGTTCCAAGATATTCCCACAGTTTGCTGCAGCACGCTGTTTAGCATCCAGGAGGATTCGACAACTCAGCATATCTGGGAGATAATTAGAGAGAGGTGCATGAACTTGAACGGGCTGTTGCTTGCGAATGACATCTCGTGACTCCCTCTTGTAGGCTTTTAGTTGGGCCTAAAAGGATCAACCTAATCTAAGATCCCCCTTCCTTGGCCGTTATTAGTGGCCGCTCATTAGCTCTTGACCACCTCAACCACCAACCACATCAACGACGCGTCTCGCATTAATCTTCATTCTCGCATATGCATACACAAGCTACAGGGAAATAGTTGACCGCCTATTCCCAAACCCTCAAATCATCACACATAGTTTAGCCGAACCATGGAGAATGACGCTGACTTGACCTTGACCGAAAAGCAAATCCAAGACATTCCGAGGCTATACCTTGCACTTATAATGGATATAGTCCCCACTGATGTCGAGGCCAAGAATATTAATCAGTCGATTTGACTGTGATAGCAGGTACAGTAGTTCGACACTAGCTCATCACATCTGTGTTATCGTCAGTCATCATCATATCCAGCAAATGGTCAAGGGTTCTACAGGTATGGTCCCTTTGACCTCTGCTCGTAAAACCCTCCCCTCCTCTTACATGAGCGAGAAACCCCACGATCTGCAACGCATCGAGTTACATCCGTTTCTGTAGACGTCCTGCCATTTCTCCACAGCAACGCAAGGACGCATCTCTCTCCAATTCCCGTATCGATCACCGTGTTTCTCAAACATGTCCTTGAGCAGAATCCCATCCGCTCTGGGTCCTCTTGACCCTCCAACCCTTTGACCCTGAATGACAGCCACCTGACAAAATGTCGCAGGAGGTCGATCAACGCATATCTAGGACCCGCAGCGGGCCGATCTGATACAAAGTCGCTGAGAACTTCCCCTGCCCTCCTGTTCGCTATCCATCACAGAGTCGAAAGCTCCCTGTAATCTATCGCGATCAATCCTCCTCCAAGGCGCAGGCTTCAGTCGACACGGCTCGCACAGATGCAACTGCAGAACCAACTGACACAGCCCATCAGCTGAATGTCGATCATGATATAATCAACTAATACAGGTTTTGGGGTATCATGATCTTGGGCAGTGCAGGAAGATACAAGCGTCAGCAATATTTATAACCGAACTGGGTAATTCGGAGCATGTATGCAAGCTGATGTTTGAAGAAAAGTTCGCCGAGTGTCTGTAAAGCACTGGTACTACAACACACAATGCGCAAAGGGATGCACAAAGAACCCCAGCCGTGCTCTTTGCGGCCTGTAAGTACTACAGCCACTTGTATGGTGCTTTTTGTACCCTGCCATACAGCACAACCAAGACAGAAACATCTAGGCATCCGTAGTAGAATTTGACGAGTTGTGCAAAGAGTCCCCTGTAATGCGACATATCGCCCAAAGCGATAGGGCCGCAGGGGAGGCTGCTAAGTCACGCTCAACCACCAAGACTTATCTATGTGTCACCACTAGCGGAGTAGGACTGCGAACCGAATCCTTTGAGCCAGGGATATATCTCACCAAGTAGGCCGAGGTTTTTGAGATAGAGAAACCCCAAATAGTAGAGACGGGCCCAGCCCGTGTCGGTCTTGGACTCTGGAGATTGGTCGTCTGGTGCGGCTGTAGATAGGTAGTGTGTAGATGCATGCCAAGATGAAATACCTTGATCCAGTCACCAATATGGAGATAGCTGCATGTTTGACGAGCACCTCATTAGAATATGCATCTCATGGTCCTGTTCGAAAGGGACCGTGCCCCCTGCGATGATAACCCTGCGAATCATCACCATGTGCAAGGGTCTTGGGGTGTCGCTTCTGGGTAGGAAGTCATAATAACCTGCAGAATAGTAGTGAGCCAAGAATATAGCAGCCAGGGCATCAAAACAGGCTGAGCACATTATTAATTGTACCTAGATCATATGCCTGTGATATGTAGCAAGTTGAAGCGCTTGTTTTAGAGTATGAGCCCACAGTGTATGAATAGCCGGTTGAGTGGTTGAAGAAGTCGTTTCGCGGAAAAAACACAACACCACGTTTCATGGTGTAAGCGGAAAAACTTGCATGTCTCACAATAATAAGCCCGCTCCCACTTTTGAGGGAGTTTTGAGTGTGTGTTGCAATAGGCACCGATAATAATCGGAAATATCGGTCAACAGATAGCCTCAAACAAAGCAAAAAGAAAAAGAAGCAAAAAAGCGACAAAGGAGTCCCGTCTCTCTGGACGTGTTTGCAGTTGGGTTACATCGCTAGATCGATTAAAGGTTGCTCTCCCAGGTTCCTACAAGGAAGGATGCGCCACGTGAGGTTGTTTGTTCCAATCAATAGTCGGACTTGATTATGGGCTTTGACGGCCAAGTCAGCCTACATGCAGGCATCGTCGCTGCTGCAGGTGTAGCAGTTGTTACCAAAAATATCAGCGTCGGCCTCACATCATTTCCCGTGACAAGGGTCCGGACATTGGCAGCTTGCAAGATGACAAGGCATCCCCAAGTTAGTTAATCCATGTACGGCTGGCTGACTGGCTTGAGATAACAATGACCCAGACCAGATCCCCTGGAGTCTGAATTGATCGAGGGCGTAGTGCCGCTGCGGTAATACTCGATGGCAATATGGTGTTGCGCCGCTCGACCCAGACAAACCTCGAGTGATGATTAATTGTCATCGATCGATTGCTATGTAGAGTATCATGTTTCAGGGAATGGAACTCGTCAGAACTCTTCAATGCCCGATCAAACATGGGCAGTCAGGTTTCGCCCAGGGAATTCCCCATCCGTGCACCTGCAATCAGAGCACAAACGTACGTGTAATACTACGCAGTCGGATTCTCGGAAAGGGGGCTTCGTATGAAGCTGACGACGTAAGACTGAGACACACGCTCAACGTAAGCAGGTACCATAGCGTATTGTACTTGTGGTACCTGTATTACCGCAAGTAGCGTAGGTAAGGTAAGGGTATATAGTATATGTTTGTATGCCCGTCAGAATGATGGACACGAACTGGGATCGACAGGGGAGCGCCACACTACACTGCGCCATCGTCATACATATTCTGACATCCCCTGAATTTCCACGTGGAGAGCCCGAAGGCCCCTGTTGAACTTGTGGCTTGATGGACCCGTCCAGCCGTCCAAGCTGAAAAGACACTGTGTATCGTCAAAGCAAAGTCCGTACCTGAGAGCCACAAAAGTTCACGGGTGGCACACCTTTATTGGCTTCTGTGGCTGGCAGCTGAACTCCAAGAACCAACCAGTGCACTCAACGATGAATGTTGATGTTGTGCTTTGACCTTTTCCGAGGACTCTTTGTCTCTGCAATGATCTCGTCAGCATATTATGTGCTTCTCCAGTCGCAGGCTTAATTGCTCACTCCTTAGCCGAAGCTGAATTGAGACAATGCAAACTCGTAGGGCCTCGACAGAGTTTGATTCAGCCGTTCTTGGCCAGCCAAGAGTGTCACTATTGATATGTCACTGACATGATAAATGGAACGTTTTGCGACTCAGCTGTACTGAGACAAACTCCGAAAGCCGACCACCTGGCTTTGTTGGAGAATGAATATCCCCATTTGTCTAGAATCCGAGAGATTGGTTTTGACAAGTCAGCTCCAAATAGTCATAGCACGGGCCAGTATTTAGTATAGAGTCTTTACAGCACTTGACTTGACTTGACCTCGAAATCAAACATGACTGACGATGTAAAAGGGGCCGAACCACTTGTTTGCTACTACTCCGTATCTCTTCGGCATTATTGTTGATGGTTACGGGTTTTCCAGCTGCCGATGACACGGTAGAGGCGTCAAAGAATCGAATATTGTATTGCCAAGGTTATTCTAAAGTCCGACCGCTTGGATGAGTTCAACGGTTTGTGGGAGAGGTGAGAACTTAACAGGAGGATACTAGGCCTGGCTTGACTTAGTTGTGATTTAACCCACTAAGTTTGGAGAGGCCTAAACCTCATCTGTAGCCGAGGCACGGCGTCTCCGTGATACAGGTACGCAGCATCACCATGCTTCACGGTGAATGGTTAGTAAACTCAAAACACGCTTGAGACGGGTTACGGTGATCATGGATCCCTGTTCTGATTTGGTTAATAGGTTCTGAAAGGGGGGCGGCCGCTCTCATCTCGGCAAACCTGGCAGCCTGGTTACCGCTGGTTTGGTACCAGCAGGACGGAACGGACAGCAAGTACATACGGATACGTACCTGTCTTCGGACTAAACTGCCGAGAATGGGTGAATAAACGGCCTTGCTGTGTCAGATGATCAAGAATCAAATGTGCAGGGTAGCATCAAAGGAAGCCCTCATGATTGATCGCTGCAGGCATTCTCTTTTGACACTGCAGTGTTATTCAAAAGCAAGGAAAGACAGAGATACGAAGCTGAAACTCATTGGTTGTGATGTCTTGACTGTCAATCATCAATCACCATCGAAGAATCACTGGATCAGTAAGCGGGCAAGTTCATACTCCGATAATAATTTGCCTCTTCAAGACCTTTCTTTGAACTGATCTTCACCTTATTCAGCGTCCGGACGAAAGGGCGGAATTGATTGCGCGAAGGCAAAGATAGCCACAGAGATCAACAATCACGAAACAACGGCGTTCCGCTTTCCATTAGGCGGTTGGTCTATTGTCTCCATATTGTTTTCAGTCAAATTTGCCACCATTCCCACTTGACTGGGAATTACCTTGAAGTCGGTGAAGGTTGTAATGAAGCAAACCCAATTTCTGTCAGTAACCCGGCGGTCTGGAACGGGAGTATGGGGGCTTCATCTCAGAAACCCCAGATTAAAAAAGAAATACGGTACGGATACCTGTTACGTGGTACTATGGCAACATCATCATCCAATAGCGCTAGATAGGATAGAGCTGGAGTGCATATATGGAAAGGAGGGAAAAAAAAGAAAGGAAAATATTGCTGTTCAGTTTCGGCGTGACACGCCCACCCCTTGTTTCATCTTTTTTTTTTTTGTGGTTTTGTGGTTTTGGATCGTCATCATTCAAAGGCATCGTCGTAAGATGGGATGAAACTCGAGTGCCGTAGTGTCTCCAGCCTCGTCATCTCTCCCATAGCCCGCTGTAATTGTACTGCCGACCGCCTGTAATATCTCAAACTTCAGCGCCCTGTGCCTCTAACGGCCGTTGGAAACGGGCGTTCATATGTCTGCCGTTAGTGCCGAGTTTGCCACCACCCGTAGTTTTAGTCAGGGGCACAAAGTTAAAATAAATAAATAAAAAACAGTTCCCTTAACTGTTAATTAACAGATATTGCAATTTGTCCAAAGGGGACTTGCATTGCGTATGTCGTCCTGAACCTGTCTAATAATCCCACGCTTCCAGTCATTGAGGCTGAAAAAGTGCTTCTGTGGAGAGATTATTGTTCCAAGGGATGAATAGTTCAAACTGTGGTCAATGCAGGGTCCAGGGATTTAATTTTCCAACAGAAGCATGACATAGGAGAAGGCCTCACCGATCAGTCATCAAGACAAGATGAGATGAGACGGCACAAAGACCAAGACAAGGCTGGTTGGCGGCGGTCTATTCGATCTATTGAAAGGGGGCACGTGCCCAGTGCAGTTTTTTTTTTTTTTCCTTCAGTCGGTCTTGATTTCAAAGAATAAAGATATGCAAAATTGCAGGGGCCGTGATTTGACACCAGTCCAGGATAGAGAAATGGAGAACCGCAATTGGAGACACACCCCCAAATCTCAGCATGGACCAGCCTTGGATACAAGAGATCCATAATCAATGGTCCATTATTACCTGCTACTCAGACAACATGTACCGACCGACCGACGTGACCGTTGAACAACTGTCTCAATGGATACAGTTTTGGTTCTCGCCAAGAAGAAACAAGACGCCCAAGCCATATGTTGGGCCGTGTAACAGTAGATGCCCAAACATGCTCTCACTGGCAGGATGTCGTGCATGACATGATTCTGTATTGCTGTCCTGTCCAAGTGGGAATCCTTTTTTCTCTTACAAGCAATCATAGACCGCTCATACAAGAGGACCCGGTAGATGGGGACGGTATTATGCAATGCAAGTCTAACCATCACATTACCTACAGACCGCAACATGATGCAATGCAATGCATTACGAGCGTCTAAACGGACAACACACCAGAAAAGAACTGAGACAAAGAGTCTGTCGTTTAGCAAATGTCCGCCTTGGTATTAGGAACAGTCCGTCTCACGCAAGTCGCTGCATCGGAGCTTTGGTCAAAAAGAAGAGCGACCCAAACTGGCGGTAAGATAATACAACACAACATCAAGCCGAGGTTGTGAACATTTCCAGCCACTGAGAAGTCAAGCATCTCCGTAGAAAGAAAGAAACGCGCCTCGTTGGGGTGCGCTGCGACCACGTCATACTGTATCCATGCTACTCCATGAAAAATAAACCAAGTCCGAGCTTGGCTCTAGAAGAAAATCCCGACCTTCGATTCCTTCCAAAAAGAATGTTCTGCGAGATGTCCGGGCTCTTTGTCGGTGTGTTAGGTTACGTAGCTACGGCATGTTAGTTATCGTGGTGGACTCTGTGGATGTATGGTGGTCAATCCTCATTTTCGGTAATCGCGAGTATCCATGCGTCAGCCTCAGCCAGATATTGACGCCTCAGTTTTGCGTTTTGTGGACGTCTAGAATTTCCTAGAGAGCCGAACCATCATGATCCCAGTCATGGAAGCTTCGTAGAACAAATTTTCTTCCCTCCTAGTGACATACTACAACAAGCAACAACCCGGACCAGGCGTTCGATTAAGCTCGGAAGATTCGGGGTCCTCTTAGAAGGCATCACGAACCAACGCATGAATCATTACTGTAACCCTTTCCATTCTTCTGTCTTGCCCAACATTTTCTTCGTGATCTTCTCAATACGAAACCAGCAAAGCGGAGATGGTAGAATTGCGACATGTCGATGAAGGACCCCTATGACTTCATAACAATCCCGCCAGATGATGATCTCGACCGCGTTCGAAGTGATAGTGACCCAAGCGCTCGCTTCGGGCGCACAGTCACAACTGCGGTGAGATGAGGTCTTTTTTCTTTTCTTTCTCTCGCTGTGCATGCATATAGGCGTGCACTTAACAAGATGAGCGAAGCGAAGATCTACTAAACTATGCAACATGGAGGGGTTTAACCCAGACAAATAATAAAGTGGAGGTTTCATTTCATTAAGAGCATGCATGGTAATACAGAATACGAATAAGCACTGCGGCGGAGGGCGGAAATAGAATAATACAGCGACTTGCACTTCCGTACACCGTTCATTTAATGCTGACCCGCCAAGAAAAGATCTGACGAGTTGGGGGTTGCAACGTCGCTAGGCATCAGAAATCTCCATCTTTCACAAGCTCGATTTTTCTCATGTCGTTGTTTTTTTTGACGTGTGAGTCATCTCGAACTAGACCCCAGATGCATGCACATGCTGAAAGGATAGGATTGGGGGGAATGACCGTTGGCAAATGCAGGGATACTGATCCAGCACATCGTCACCTGTGAACTATCAGTATCAGACCCTAGTTCAATTGGCTGTCGTATCGTATCGCATCACATCGCATACTACGTAGCATACCAACAGTGAAGGACTGTGAATTGGATATAGGGCTGCAGCGGGCACATTTGTCCGAATCCAATATGCCTAAAAAGGAACAATAATAAGATGTGTACTACGTAGGTGGTAAAGAGGCGGAGGCATAGTAAATCACGACGCCGCACCATATCGAAAACATCGATATGCCGGATCTATGAAGCTTTACAGAAACGGCAACGCTATTGCTATTCCAGTCTTCTCCGTGAACCCAACGGAGCCTCGTAAAGCCAAATCTCGAACGAGTCAACTGTGCCGTGTCGTATTCCAAACCCAAGCATGCAAATTGTGGTGCTGTCCTGATTATCTGACCATATCTTGTTGTTTACAGTTCGACGCTTCAACTGTCAGGGAAAGAATCAGAAGCACTGGAATGGACGGGACATTTCTACCGAAGGCGACCCGCATATCTTGCAATTGAACCAATCAATGCAATAATTCATGTTAATGTTTAAGGTTTCTCGCAACACTCGTTCGGTGGCTTTTTTTACTTATATTGCTGCTAATCAATAAAGAGAAGGAAAAGAGGCCCAAAGAGCGGCTCGTTGAACGGGAGTTGTTAGCAAAAAAGTTATTTTAGGTCCGCTCTACCGGGCAGAAGTAACCTGAAACGAATACGTCTGTTAATTATTTACATACATACCTGCCTCTTCTTTAGTGCTGTACTCCGTACCGTAGTCGGTAGTCGGCGACCACGCTCCGTGCCCTCGTTAATTAATCGGGTAGTGTTGAATTGCCGGTGACCGAAAACGACTAAGAAATTACCCTACATTGACCTCGCCGCAGTTGATATATTGGAAACAGCTCAGCCAAGACAAGCAAGCACGTGTTGTCACAGGCCAGTATTTGAATAAAATATTTTCTATAATATCCGAGGCTTTTTGAAACACGACTATCATTTGACCGTCTATGTAGAAATCAAGTCTCCTTTACTGATCACGAGACACAAACAACACTATGCCACGAATTGATTCGATAAAGTCTAACAGTAATAGACTATAACACCACACTAGACTCTGTCCCCCACAGTTGAAATAAGAGCTGGAAGTCTAGGCCCGTCAAACCGAAGAGCAATCCTCTTTTGGCGCCCAATCATGCAGCTGAGCCCCATATAGTCTATGCATATGCAGATGCGTAGAGATTATCGGTCAGTGATTTTTAGTTCTTAGTTGCTGTGGACACACGATGCTTGCTTCCTCCCAGCGGTCAAGACAAATCATCAATATCCATCTAGATGAATGGGATGCTTGCATGGCACGGCTCAGCCCTAATCTACGTAGCATTGATTGTTTGTTGAGCGTAGCCGTAAGCTGACATAAATTGCTATTTCGAAATTGGACCCATTTGTGCGAACTACTGAGCGGTGACAGAAAAAATCAAACACATTCGCCCCCCCCTGGCTGTTCAACTCACATGTGTAAACGGAACGGGATGGGATGGGATGGGTAGACTGGGGGTGAGAGGAACTGTCTGTGACAGGTCCCAGTTCAGGCTCTTGGACCACCCGAAATTGGACGTCATTCAAATTCTCAGCGTCAAGAACCCTCTCCACCTGGAGAAGGAGGGAGCGGAGCCTAGGAGGGAAAAGGGAAAGCAATCTTGTGCGGACAAGGATGAGCCCTTCTACGAAAGCTTCCATACGACGTTCCATGCCAGGATTACTGTGTATGCAGTGGGACACCAGCAAATGCGAAAGAAGTCATGTTCTTGGTTCGCCTAGCTCCTCTCGCTCTCCAGTTTCGCTTGTTTCACACTCTTTTGGGGGGTTTAACTGGTCTCTTGGCTGACGAGGATCAGTAGCCGTCTAAGCCGGCCAACCAAGAATTGGCTGAGGTTGTCCGGAAAATTGCCTGTTTCGGCATAAATGTACAGCGTTTGAACTATGTGTGTTTGCTATGGATAAAGAGAATAATCGGTTCAGTAGCTGATGGAATGAATCAGTCAGTTTGAGCTGAGGCAGAAATTTTCCACCCGGTTAGTTCAGCGGGTTAGACGGATAGCCTAAGTTAAAAAAAAAAAGAACTGGTTGTAGTGTTTGGTGTGCCTCTGCGGCGGATACCACTAAGTTGTAAAACTGACACTGGCTCAAAAAGTAGATACCGAGAACTACAGTATAATATGGACTGTATATGAACTCGTGGCTTATTAGACACATCAGAAATAGCCCCCAAACAGCTAGGTAGATATGTATACAACTGCAGAAGCAACTGCATCAAGAAGAATGGAGATAGAATCTACGGCACATATGTACAGCCTACTTGTCTTTGTCTTGTTGTACTGCATTGGCAACCTGCCAGGTAGTCTAGGCAGGCCAGCTGATCTTGTCGAGATCCAATAAGAGGCTGAAGATGCGTGGCACCAAGTAGTAAGTCGTCATAATGGCATTTACAAAGTCCCCTGGCTGTTTCTTTTTTGGGGTCGACCGGCATTTAAAAGTCCAATTGGCGTGTTGTACAGGAAGATATGTGTCGTGCTGTGCTGTACAGACTAACAAGCAAACTAATTGATGCACATTTACATTCTGCAGCAAGCAGTAAGTTATCGGTGAAGAAACAATGAGTGTGAGTCAAATTATGACCCAGCATATTGCATTGTGCTACTGTATGAAAGGGGATACTCATGTAATTACGGAGTTAATGAGGGTTAACCACCGTACATACATTTGTACCTAATTATGAGTTGCGCAATATTAATCAATTAATTAAATGCTGGTGGGTGGATTCTAATGAAATGCTGTGCTGCGTTGTGCTGTGCTGGGCGCTGAGTTGTGCGACAGGGGGCATCAGTCTTGGCCTTGGCCTGGTCTGAGGTGAGAGAGAGACAGCAGAGAAAAAAAAGGGACAGATTCTACTATCCATGCTCTGCTATGTTATGCTATTATCGTGTTTCATCCATCTCAATTTCCCTTCTGTTCTATTTCTATTTCCATTCTCGTATGCATTATTCACTAGATAGATCCCCGCTCCTGTCACAGTTGGTTCGTTTTAGTTCCAGTTCAGTATACTCAGTAAAGACGAGACGAAAGAATAGGAGGTGTATCATGTTTATCGTCTCGCATAGATACTTTCTATTACTCTCTTACACCGCATCAGATAGAATGGGCAAAATATTAATGGAGCCAATTGATTGATTGATTGATCGCTTGAAAGAATGGAGTCTCGTCTTGCTTCAGGTTGGTATGCTCCAGTCCAGGTACTTCGACCTCGGGTACCTTCCTTTGACTGACGTATCTACCATTTCACCCTCGTACGAGCAAAGGAAGAAGACCTTTTCTTAGCCTCCTAGCCTGCCCTGGCTTAGCACAACCCAAGCCCCCCCACCCTCACCTTCACCTCCCTCCAGGTCTCCTCCAGCGTGGCATGGTGGGCGTGTGTTTTGTGAAGCGGGGCCCTCATCATCTCCTGGAGGGCTGAGGGTGTGTCCTCACTCCCCTTGTGTCCAAGACACCCCCTGTATCCAGAAGTGGTGCCCTGTGTCTTGCGCCCTGGCTGCCCTGGCTGGGCTGCTTCACTTCAGATTACCTACCTTTTGGCTTTGACTAGGTGAGAGAGCTGGGCTGGAGGCACAAACACCACGGAATACAAAAAGGGCAGCGACCTCCCTCTTCCCCACGACCAAAAAGATCACTCTCATCATCGACTCATCAAGAATCTATCAAGGCAATCACTCTCGCCTCTAACTCTTAGCTCTTCTATTACAAGCTCGAGCACTTACACCCACATACACACTACTACTATTACTTGATCGATACTCTCGACTCAAACAATCACATACATACAACCGAGCTACTAGTCTTCGGTTATCTCAACTACGCCTTCAACTACAACAAACAAACAACAATCAAGATGCCTGCTCAACGACCTTCGCAGCTTCCTCCTTGCCCCGGCCCTCCTCCTAGCCGCCCTCTTCCTCCTCTGCCCAAGCGAGGTTAAAGCAATCAAGAGTAAAGCAGATGGAACAACTTCGACGGCAAACCAGCTCAAACCAAAATGACACAACAACAACATCACCATAGTCATCTACCATGCTTTCTTGGCTTCAGTTACACAACAGCACAGAAAAAGCAACATGGTTCGCCCGGCTCTTGCTAGCCAACACAACACAACGCGCCGCATATGCACATGCACATGCGAACTCCCAACTCGGACCCCTCATGCACCTAATTAATCAACATGATACCGGTTCTTGAGCTGCAAGCCAACCACACCTCGACCGGTTCAGCCGTCGGTCGAATCAACCAACCTGCTTACACCGGATTTCTGTCCAAATCAACCAACCAACCTTGTCCCTTATGGCTGGACCGACCGGACTCTTTCAACTTCACTTCTACCGCGTGCGCCTTTCGCAAACAGCGCATCACCGTTACAATACCCTCTTACAACTATCTAATAACCTTTTTTTGAACCAACTTCTCTACTTCGTTCATATCAAACTATTTGGGAGGAACCACACACTTTTTTTTTTGTTTTTGTTCCACGGTCTTTCAGGAACTGTATCAATAGACAGGGCATTATCACGGCGTCTCAACAACATACACCGCACTCTACTGCGCGCAGTGTTTTTGGACTTTTTATTGCTTTACGATGAACACGTCGGGTTGGGAACATAGAATTATCATTTGGGAAATGGGATGGCTTATTTACCACCCTCAAACCCTCAGGAGCAAATGGGAATCATGTCCACTGATCACTCAGTGTTGACGGGAATGGAACGAGATACCATGTTTTTATTACTACTACAATACAACACATGCAATGCAATGCAATGAACTCTACCTCAAATTCGTTTCGATATTACTGTGATTCTGAATATGTCTTCCTGTGTCTCTCCTTTCCTTTTTTTGCTCACGATATCTCTTCCCCTAGTTGACAATTACTATTAGGTAGTTACCTACTGACTACTGTCCTTGGCAGACGAATGGATCCTCATTAGCAAACAAAGCCTGGTTGGGAACTGGAAGCGAAAGCGAAATGTCCCATTCTTGATTATTGCGTTACGGTACTCAAAATTACCATGACCCCTGTTTGCAAAAATAGCGCCTCGTGATCGCTACTTTATCCTTGCTCAGTCAGAATGCTCCCTTGCATGGCACATATTATCTTTTTGTCATGGTCTTGGTCAAGGCAATAATCAATATTAATAATGCCGTACGGTACTCGGCTTCATTCCCTCCGTCGCCCTTTGAACCGCCTGCGCCGCCGGTTTGCAGCGTCGATCAGAACAGCTGATGCTCGCCTCAACGACAACTGAAACTCGCAGGACCCCCTTTTACAAGGGCTTTCAAGACGCAATATTGCACTACAGCCTATTGGGCATGGGATTTGATGCAGTGTTTTTTTGACAAGGAAACAAATGTCAAATGTCTGTCTGTCTATTTTGGATCGGACACGCCGTGGCTTGATGAAAACTCGTCCTATTTCCAAACCTGGGAACTGTCTCCGGAACGAGGGACGATCGATTGACACTCGTCATCCTCTAGTTTAGTTAAAGTAAAGACTCTTTTTTCCACTACCAGTTTCACTCAAGAGATTGATCTGATCTCCCCCTAAAGCTAGCTCAGTTAAGTCTAAGGCTTGCAAGGCACTTGTCTTTGTTTCCCTCGGTCGGACGGGTTCGCCAAGTCCAATCAGAAAGTGGGACGAAATAGTCTCTTTTTTGTAACTTGTTTCCTTTTCATGACCGTTCCTGAATCGGTTGGACGCCAGCCTGATCTTGCTCGCTCGCAATAGGCTTGTTGGGTCGACTCTGCGTACTTAGTAGGCACCCATCCAAGTGGAAAGCTGGTTGGCAACCTGTTGGTAGTCTTTAGGATCCCAAGTCCAAGGTCAAGGACTACTTTAGTTGATGTTTCCTACTGTCACCAACAGGCTGGCATGGTGGTTGGTTGGTAACACTAACTTTGCAACTCAGCTGATGAAGAAAGGGAAAAGGAAAAACCTAAGTTCATGGCCCTGGTGTCTTTTACCCAACCTTGAAGGCTGAAGTAGCTTAGTTTGTTAGAATGTTTGCCTGCCCTTAGCTTCCAGCCGTCCCGCCTTGTCTCTCTCCCGTTTCTTCTTACAGAGATGACTTAAGTGTAAGATGATCGGTTTCCTGTAAAAGGTAATATTGTATCTTGATCTGGGATGAAACAAGCCGTCTCAGTCACTGAAGCCACGAATATGCTTATCTTTGACATATTTGGATTGCCCTAATCACCATGTGGCGATTATGACAAAAATCTTTCTATCATTGGCAAGCGTGTGCATTTCGGTCAGTGCTCCTGTGCCTGTCTCAGAGAGCGCCGATCATCGTCATGGTCCGTCTTGTTACCGCTCCAGGGGTTCGGGTGAAGATAACCGACAGAGGTTGGATTGTCACTTGGAGTTAGGAGTTGGTCGAAGATCCTTTGTTACCGGCTCGTGGTAGTTTGACACTTCTGGCCAAGGCAACCAATTAGCGGTTGTTCAAAGCGAAGACCGATTTTAGTTGTTGTGTGGCATCTCACAGTGTATGCATGTATTCAAATCCATGTGGCTCACATTGACCAGTAAGGCAGTAAGTAGAGGGATATGCGAAACATAACGTGTACGCCACAAGCTTTCCCAGCTCTCACCTGCTTACATCAGACGTCAACAACTTTGGACGGTTTCGTCTTTTGGATGACCAACAGTCAACGTTGGTATGCAGATCAGAGGGGGTGCCTGAAAGTGTAACTGAATGAGAATATGATAGGAGGTTCTATTCTGTGGATCTGTGAAAATGCCTCAGGGGACTACAGAGAAATGATAGAGCACGACAAGAAGAAGAGGCCATCGCGGAATAATATTCCCAATCGAGGTCCATCTTTGTCGGAACCGAACGTGGTCACCATGTGGTCGACACGACACGGAAAGATTTGATAATTAAGAAGCCCAGACTGTAGCTTGAGTGGGAACCAAACAAAACTAATCAAGAAAGAACATCAAAGCGTTTCATCTTTGGGTGGAATGATTACAGTTTTCTCATGGCAAATAGACTTCGCTCAACAGCTCTGAAAGCATATTTTGGTCACTTACAGTCCAGCCTCATCACGTGCCTTCGCGCTTGTCACATATCACATCCTCCATGTTCCTCCATGGCGGGTCTTCCCCCACCTGGAAATGGGGTTCCTAAGCTAACAACAGCCCAAAGTTCAAGACTTCAAGAGCCCAGACAAGGCTGGTTGGGGTTTGTTTTCAAGGATTCAACAAGTTCCCCGAGTCCAGGATCATCAAAGTTTTGACTTGTTGATGTTGGTGTTTTGCCACGAGATCTATCACAAACCTTCTTTTGGCTTCCCGCCCGTCAATATAACTCCGACGGAATTACACCTCACAATCGCGGAATAGCTTCATACACCTACCTTGTTCGCCTGACAAACACTGACCCGCCGCCGCCATGTTGGAGCTTCATGTATGGGGTTCAGCCTTTGGCTTGCCGTCAATCGATCCCGAGTGTCTTGCCGTTATCACATACCTGCATAGCTCTAATCCTGCATCAGCCTGGCGCTTGATTCCTAGCAACGACCCTTCTGTCAGCCCGTCCAGTATGGCTTGCCCGTCCCGCTGTCTCACCTTGCCTTGCCGCCTTGTCTTATCCGAACCTTGTTCGTTGCTGACTGTTTCATCCAGATACGCTTCCTGCGCTTCATCATGAGGGCGTCTGGATATCGGGTTTTGCACCCGTCGTTCAGTACTTGACCGACAAGTCACTCGGTGACAACTTAGACGCCGGACTGACGTCCCTTGAGCATGCTGATCGTGTTGCGTACGCTGCCTTCTTGTCTGCTCATGCTGCTCCCTTGCTGGACCTCTCACTCTATGTCTCGGCCGCTAACTGGTCAGCCACCACCAGACCCGCCTTCAGCACTCTATTACCATTCCCATTGACATGGACAGTTCCACCACTGCTCCGTGCCGAGGCCGTCAAGCGTGTTGAGCATCTAGGCTTTGCTGACATGGATACCGACTTTGACCCCAATGGAGGCCTTCACCTATCGTCAGGAAGGGATGCTTTGCCAGAAACCTTCCGAAGACATATTCCTGCGCGGACAAAGAAGACCGTCCACGAGGAGATGACTCCTGAACAAGCCGTTCTCATCCGACTTTACGGCATTACAGAAGACTGCCTTTCTGTAGTGGATGACTTTCTCAAGTATGGTTCTGAGGAGGAGGCATATGCATTCTTTGAGGGCACCGAACTCTCATCTTTGGACTGCCTCGCCTTTGGCTATCTTGCGTTGATGCGCGATGCTCCTGTACCAAGATCTTTCTTGAAAGACTGGCTTATGAAGAAAACCCCGCGTCTGTATAAGTTTGTTGATCATATCAAGATAAGGCATCTGCAAAAATCCGGCCCCTTGCCCTGGGCTGGATCAACCCAAAATACGGCGCTACGTATTGGTACCCGGACTCTTGATAGTATCATTCACAACGTTCCTGGCCTTGGTGAAGAGTATGCGACTGAGGTACGAAAGCGTGCTGAAGGAGGCATCACTGGCATCGACAGCAGGTCCCTCATGCTGGGTTTGAGTCTTCTCGCCACAGGCGCTGCTCTCGGATACGGTTACCACACATACAAGGCGATGCAGCCTTTTGGATCCAGGATACAAGTTTGGCAATCAATCCAGAACAAATCCAGGCTGAGTGAGTTTGGAGCTCTTGGTACTATGCTGGGCAGCGTACTAGGAGGGCCGGCGGGAGCACCTCAACCTTCTCACTCGTCGAAACAGGCTCGTCTTGTTGAGACTGACACAGAGGTAGACTAAAAGGATGATAAAAATGTAACATTATTGTACACTGAATAGACAACTAACTATCAAATATCCCACTGTCTGAAGGGGACACTCTAAGAACGTTTCCCTATTTTCGTCTAGGTATTTTTAACTATCGTCATGTTGCTCTTATGCAATGAAGTGACAGTGTTTTTCACAGCCACGTTCCTGGTTCCATTCTCTTCTTATAATGGATTTATATCTGTCTGATCTCTTTACCTGCCATCTCAGGGCGATCAATCTCCCATTCATCTCTCAGCACCGCAAATGTCAAGTCTGTCACAAGTAAGCTCTGGCCCAGACTCCACACAAGAGTGATGGCATAGAAGAAGTTGGCATTGCCACTTCCTGCATAGATCCAAAGGTGGTAGAAGGCCGGCCCAAGGAATGACGCATATAGCAGTGTCGATGTGGTGACAAAAGCATATCGCATGAGCGGGAAGACATGTCGAAACAGGGGAACCACGGAAAGGAAAAGACTAGCATCTGCAAGCGAAGGGTATGGCTTGAAGATAGAGAAAGTACCAAGAAGAATGGTCAACACAGCCAATGGTTGAGGGCGCAAACGAATAGAGAGCGCTGCGGGATAAGATGCCAAGTGCAGCCAGAAAACACCAAGGAAGAAGGCTCTGAACGAGTCAAACATCTCAATGAAGAAATACCACCACAAGCCAACGTTGGGTGTCAGGTCTGACAAGGTCAACTGAATGCCGTATGTACGAGCAAGAAATTCCCAAGAATTATTGGCAAGCAAGAACGACATGCCTAACAAGGACACCATGCACCCAGCCACAACGGCCACGTTAGTAGTAGCGAACTTGGCCGACGAGGCAACTCGGCGCTTTTCGGCCTGACAGTCATAGGCAAGAAGGATGAGCGGAGGCAGAAGTAGGATAGGGTACATCGACAAGTAAGAGGCGAACGATAGAGCGACCATGGCGTTAAAGGGAGAGCCCTGGATAGCTTTGGTGGTGGCCAAGAGGATGGCACAGTTGGTGAAGACGCCTGTTGATCGTCCGATACATGTGGCAATGGTGTATGGGTTGAACAAGAAGCTGTTGCCTGTTAGTACTGCCGTTCTTAACTTGAAATCGACGTCTCCCTTACCCAGCAGCAATTGCAGCACTACCAAACTTATTGGCGCGGCGCGGCGATTTAAACAGCCTCGAATTGCTCGCCACACTTGAATCGGCAATCTTGTAGAGCGCATCGGCGCTCAAAAGGTCCACAGCGATGTAAAGTAGATGTGTAAAGATAGGCCAGCTCTTTACGTCAGGGAGTAATGAGAACAAGGGCAACAGCAGCGGCGCCTGGTGGAAGACACCACCTTCGTAAGGAGAGACATTATTTGTATATAAGAAAAGGCCTTCTTGCACTTTGAAATTGTGAGCTTTTGGTTCTCCAATAATAGTCATACGACGAGGGTTACTGCTTACAGCGCTTGAAGCTCGTGACGGGGGTTGATATCTCGACGCGACCAGTTAGTAGATCGGGAAGGGCTGGGAATGCGAGAAAGAGAACAAGTCGGAGCAGAGCAGCGCCAGCAAAGACGCTCGCTTTGCCTCGAAACGCCATTGTGTCTGACATTGCATGCTCCGAGTGAATGTTGTAGGTTTAAACAGCCGGATGAGTTCGCGATACAGTCTCTCTAGGATAGGTTGGAGGCCACTTGGCGGGTTGAGCTGCCTCCATCCTTGGCGGCCCTCCACCTTCGGGAGAGGGGCCGCTGGAAGAGCCGCTGGAGCTCTTCCCATAGCTCCACTGTATTCGCTGGATTGGCGATGCCAGGCGCTGGAATTGCGTTCAAGGGTGCTGAGTATGTGCCCCCCGGGCGGTGAGGGCAGAAAGAACCAATGGCAAGCTCCCAATCGGGACTTAGTCCGCATTAGCGCCGGATCAAGGCGGTACAGTCTGGCATAAAATTTCATGTTGGAAAAAAAAGTTGAAAGATTGTTTAGGAAAAAAGTGCCCCGCTGGTATCGTTGCGAAATACAAACTACCAACAAAACACCACATCTTTCAACAACAATGCCTCGGATAAAGAAGAAGGGTCAGGCCGGTGCCTCCAAGAACTACGTTACCCGAAATCAGGCGATTCGGAAACTACAGATTAGCCTTCCCGACTTCCGAAAGCTATGCATTTGGAAGGGAATCTACCCTCGCGAGCCCCGAAGCAGAAAGAAGGTTTCCAAGTCATCTACCAGCTCGACCACCTTTTACTACACCAAGGACATCCAGTACCTGCTCCATGAGCCTCTGCTTCAGAAGTTCCGCGACCAGAAGGTTCTCGAGAAGAAGATCTCTCGTGCGCTCGGTCGAGGAGATGTCACTGATGCCGCTCGTCTCGAGGGTAACGCTGCGCGCCCTGAGAAGACTGGAAAGCCTCGCTACACTCTTGATCATGTCATCCGCGAGCGCTATCCTACCTTCATCGATGCTATCCGCGATCTCGATGACTGTCTGTCAATGCTCTTCCTCTTCGCCAATCTGCCTTCAACAAGCTCAGTTCCTGCTAAGATGATCGCCCGTTGCGAGCGCCTCTGCCTCGAGTTCCAGCACTATCTTATTGTGTCCAAGAGCGTCACCAAGTCTTTCCTCTCCATCAAGGGCATCTACTACCAGGCAAACATTCAGGGCGAGGAGGTTCTTTGGCTCGTGCCTTACAAGTTCAACCAGCGCGTTGTTGGCGATGTCGACTTCCGCATCATGGGCACTTTCATTGAGTTCTATATGACCCTGCTCGGCTTCGTCAACTTCCGACTTTACACCTCTCTCGGCCTCAAGTACCCTCCCAAGTTCGACCAGGCCAAGGACGAGGCTGGTGCTGAGCTCGGCGCTTTCACCCTCGAGGGCAAGACTCTGGTTGGCGCTGACGAGAAGGAGCAGAAGACACTGGAGGCTTCTGAGCACAAGCCCGACCCCAAGGTTCAAGCTGCCGTCAACAAGGTCATCAAGAAGATCAAGGGCAATGCCGAAGACGAGTCGACGAGTGCGACCGAGGTGGAGGGAGAGGAGCAGACTGGCGCAATCGACAAGTTCGAGCCTGCAGCTCCTGGTGGTGATATCCTTCCCCAGCCTTCAAACACTGGAAACAACCCCAACAGCCTCTTCTCCAACATCACCATCTATCTCTCTCGGGAAACCCCACGACAACCTCTCGAGTTCCTCCTCAAGTCTTTCGGTTGCAGGCGTGTTGGCTGGGACGCCGTTCTTGGCGATGGCGCTTTCACCACCAACGAGCTTGACCCCAACATCACTCACCAGATCGTTGACCGACCTCCTATCCAGGCTACTGACGATGAGGAGGCTGACGGTGACGATAACCAGACATCACAGAAGCTTGCTGCCAACCGACGAGTCCCTGGACGAACATACGTCCAGCCTCAATGGGTTTGGGACAGTGTTAACGACGGCGAGCTGAAGGAGGCCCATCTGTACGCTCCTGGTGCTGCCCTTCCTCCCCATCTGAGCCCCTTCGTGAGGAACGTCCAGGGTGCATACGACCCTACTGTTCCTCTGGAAGAGCAAGAGCCCGAGGCTGAGGCCATCGAGGCCCAGAGCGATGGCGAGGATGAGGTTGACGACACTGCCGAGGGCATGGATGTTGCTGACTCTGATGAGGGAGAGGGTGAGGATGATGAGTTCGGCGGTTTCTCTGCCGACGAGCAAGAAGAGGATGAGGAGGAGGAAGAAGAGGACGCTGAGCAACGGCAAGACGAGCTCGAGGCTGAGCTTACTGGTGGTGCTGTCAAGTCCAAGAGCACAAACGCCAAGGCCAAGGCTAAGGAGGATGCCCGCAAGGCTCTTTCCAAGAAGGCCAAGGAGGAGGCTGAGGATCTCGATCGTGCAAAGGGTATGCTTAGCAAGAAGAAGAGAAAGCTGTATGAGCAGATGGTGTACACCAACAACAAGAAGAGCGCCGAGGATCAGAAGCTGCGGGCAAAGAGGAGAAAGTTTGAAAAGGAAAAGAACAAGGGCAAGGCTAAGGCGTAATGTAAGGCTGTTTTATACCATTCCGATAGATTCTAGTTATACGCGTTTAAAAGCATTTATTGAGTGTTCTAAATCTGAATAGTTTTGGGTGTGATTGTCTTGACGTTGTTTGTGAATAAATGATGCCTGCGAGGTGGATAACCTACTTTTCCTTTACAACTTTTACCTCCAAAAAAAACTTGAACTCGACATCAAACTCACATTTCTAAACCAACATAACTGGGCAATATATCCATTTGATTATGTGACTTTCTGAAATCTTACCTGACTCGTTTATTCATTTTTCTTCTTCATTATCATCATTTAGCATCTTATAACTATGGAATCTAGTGCCACCGCCTGGGAATTAGATAGCGATGAGATCGCATCTATTGCCTCTGAAGACTTGCACGCCCACAGACCAAACCGCTGGACAGGACCCAAATCCACCTGGCGCACTTTAACGGAAGAAGATCGTCTGCTATGGCAGTCAATGAAACAAGTCCAAGATCAGGATCTTGCAGTGCATCTATATGATGCTTTTGCTCTTAAGCGCCAAGGTCAAAACGAGGCAACGGCCCAAAATTTGGTCGTCAAGACAGTAAGGAACCCCAAAATATTCTGAAGATATAAATGAAACTAACGGTAAAATGTAGGAATCTGGCCTAGATGGTGTCTGGGCGCCGCCTAAGTTATGGACTGCATGGCCACTTAAACACAAATATGTGCATACCCAGCGGCTGGTCGACGGACAGCATGACGAAGATGATCGCTTCACCTTTCGCAGACAGGAAGAGATATTGCCAAGTACTGAGTTGGAAGAGGAAATTTCGGCCACCATACTGAGAACCGCCAAACGCCGCTTTCGTAGGAAGAAGAGTAAGATGGCCAAGCCATCTATTGAAGACTCTTTACCGCAATCTATTGAGAGCGGTGGCAGCACGCCTAATGTCTTATCGCGAGAGTCATCGGCCAAGCCAGATACAGAAGAAGAGGACGAAAATATGGTACTTGACGATGGAGAGGCTAAACCAACTCGCCAGCGGAAGAACCCCAAGACGTATGAGCCGGTAGAATCTACCAACGATGAAGCATCGTATGCACTTTTGCGGCCATCAACTCGACACATCCTCTCAAAGCTCGATAATACACTGGTAATTCTTCAAAATTCACGAGAAGCGGGTATGAATTATGTATCCGACTCCTCAACCGAGGAAGAATCAGACAATCACAGTCAAAGTGGACAAAAGAAATCTCGTGGCCGCCCCAGAAAGATTACGCCCGAGAGAGCCTTATCCGCATCCATCTCACCAGCTCGCGGTGGGAAAACCAGTAGACGTGGACGTCCCCGAAAAATCCACGTTCCCCTCGATGGAGAAACACAGGAGGAAATGGCCCAGCGTATCGCCCGCGAATCTCACCGAAAGATGCCTATCACAACAGAAGACAGGGACGCGGCTTTTGAGGAATGGGTCCGCAAGGGCGATGAGATTATTGAGCGCGAACGATCCTTATCTATCAAGCGCGCGAGGTCTCAAGGTACTGAGACAGGAGACGAGTCAGCATCGAGAACCAACGTGGAGCGCAAGCGGGCTAGATTGGGTCTTCGTGACTGGAGCGATGTACTCGGTGCAGCCGCCTTAGCAGGGTTCTCAGGCGATGTCATCGCGAGGACGGCACGGAGATGCGCCGATTTGTTTGGAGAGGGCATGGTAGTTCGGACATTGAATGAGATTCCTGCTACAAAGGACAAGGGTACCACTTCTATCGAATACCGTCCGGAGCCTGTCCAGCCATCCTATTCAGATTCTGATGCCGATGATGAAAGCGACGATGGTGCAGACCTTGTACAACGGCGTGTTGTATCCCGTCAAGCCTCTCTTGCTTATTCCAGCCGAAGCCCCGATTCAATCCACAGTGGTAGCCGTCGCTCAACACGGTCCCCAGGACCGCCATCTGCCACTCGATCCCGTTCTGGTTCCGCAGGAGGCCTGGTATTCTGCCCAATCCTTTCATGTGATCGCGCAGCGAACGGCTTCAATCGCAAGCACAACTTGCGACGACACATGGAGCTTGTGCACCAGGGACAAACAGAGGAGCAAGATAGTGATGAAGAGGTTGTGGGCGGCGTACATGTTGATGGCTTTCTAAAGCCTATCATACCGGGAAGGGGATGGAGAGGTGAAGATACTATGAAGAGACAGAGGAAGAGGAAGGAGTTCTGGGGAGACAGATCTGGAACGAGTCGGGAAGCGAGTTACGCGGAAGACGATTTACTTTTTTAGAAAGAAGAAGATCCGTCTCCGTAAAGAAGATGACTCTGAATATACTACTTTTGTAAGGAAAGACATAGTCTGCTTCTTGCTCGAACCAAGCAAGTCGGAATTATATATATCACTTGGAAAAGATGGTATTACATCGAATATCGCCTAAGTTTTCAAGGAAATTGCATCGTTAACACAACGAATGGCTGTTTTGACGACGGCAAATACAGTTCACGAGCAGCAAAAAGATTCAGAACCATGTAAATGTCGTTACTTTGATTGTCTAAAACTCAAAAGGGTATCAACGTACTCAAATAACCCTACAATAAAACCTGACAAAAGAACCGGAAATGAATGTTAACCCATCATGGCCATGCTTCGCACAACACCAAACTCCGATCTAGAAACACGCTTTGCATATAAAACTCAAGAGACAAGTATCGTCGTGACAGACAAGTCTAGTTGATTCTAGGACTCTTCCTCCTAGACAAACTCTCCTCGAGCGCCGTCGGAAGTACGTTCTCGCCGCCCTCTGAGATGATGGGGTCCCTGCTACCAACCTTCTTCGTGCTGCGAGTCACACGCGTAGGGCGCTTAAATAGAGGCATCGTGCGCTCTGGAGGCATGGATATTATGCTGGCGCGAGGGTTGTAGTTGACGGACCCCGTTGTGACGTTACCTGGCACATTGGGATTCACTTCCCGAAGACTAGAGGGCATACCCATGTGCTCAGAGGCGCTAACCATGGACATACGAGTTGCTGGGCGAACTGGAGAAGTCATCATCTTGTGGGGGGAGGAGTCGAGATCGGCAAAGACAATTGTAGCGTCCTTGTCGGTTGACTCGCTGTTCCTCGTTGGTGTGATGACCTCGTCAATGCTTGAAATGATGAGATCGTGGTCTTCTGTGCGAGGAAGATCGGTCGGGTAGTGATATTGGACCTTTGCGGGGGTTTCGCCAGTGGGCTGGTATTCCTGGAGAGCTGCACCGGTGATATCTTCACGTAGGTTGGAAAGAGGCTGGCAGAGCTGACTCTTCATAGGTTCCAGACCTTCCTGAAGATCGCTGAGATCAACCTCCATTTCCTCGCCAAGGTTCTTGACGCGGTCGAACGTGGACTTGAAATGAGCAGAAATATTTCCAAAGGACTCCTCCACGGTGTTGGACAAAGCCTTGACAGATTCGTTATGAACCTCGTGGTGGTGACCGTTTTCAGTTCTAGCACGAGTGACAAAATCATCGAGAGCTTCCATCTGAACGTCAAGATCCTTGATCTGCTCATCGACAGCACGAACGGTCTCAGCATGAACAGACTTGGCAGTAGCTTGAATGGAGCTGCTGTGGTCATCGGCGGCTGTCCAGTCATCCTGGAGCTTCGTCTTGAGCTGGTCCCGAGACTTCTTGACCTCCTCCAACATTTCACCTTCCTTGAGATCCCAAGAAGACATGCCCTCGCCATATGATTCAACGGCCTGCTCGAGGTTGGTGCTGGTGGAAGTGATGGTTTTCTGGATTTCAGAAGCCTTGGCCTGGATACGCGACTCTTGGGTCTCGGCCTGGGCGTTGATGAGAGCCGAGATCTGAGTCATTAGATTCTGACGATCGTCCATAGCTAGGCGGCGCTCTTCAGTCAGGGCATCTTGAATTCGAGAAGAGATAGTGGCGTTCTGCAGGACGATGGTGTTGGTTGCGGATTGGAGTTGTTGCTTCAAGTTGTCGCATTCAGCTCGCTGGGCTGTGATATGCTTCACGAGTTCTTCAAAAACAAACTTGAAATCTTTTCCAAGCTCACTATAGGAGTTGTGGAGCTGTAACGCGTTAGCGATTTCTCTGTAATAGAAAGTGATATACCATACCTGGCCATGGAAAGCAGTCATTTCGTTCATCATATCCGCTGCTATTCTCTCGGCAGAATGAGAGATAGACTGCAAGCTCTCTCCCATTCGCTCTTTAACTGTATCACGAACAACTTTGATCTCCTCCAAAACCCCATCCATGTCATCCTTTGACTTTTGCTTAGATTCGAGCAATTCTTTCTTGGATTCGGCAAAGGTACTCAAGTGCTCATCGAGGAACGCTTGTGTAGTCGAAAGCTTGCGTAGCTCCTCGTCGACAAAGCTGCCCATACGCTGTCCCACAGAGGCGATATGCTCTTGCTGTTCCTCCTGGAACTCCCCGATTCGGCGCTCGACCATGGATGTCACATCAGCGACTTGATTCTGGGATGTGGTCCACGTGTTTCGGTTGATAGACTGTAGATCCGACTTCCGCCTGTTCTTGGCATGAAGACCACCAACATCATTGACTGTCTTGTGTAGTTTCTCAATGAGTTCTCCGCCAACTTCGGTAAGCTTCTGTTCCGTCTTCTGGTGTGCCTTTCTGATCTTGGTCTCCTCAGAGAGTGACTGTCGTGTTGCTGATAGAACAATCTCTGTCTGGTCCAGTACCTCCTTGGTATCGTCCAACTGGGCCCTCGTACCCTCGTGATCCTTCTTGAGACCCAAAAACGTTGATTGGAGGCTGAAGAGCTCTTGGACCTTGTTGCGTAGGTTCTTTTCAAGGGTTTCAAGTTTAGCAGATTGTTCTTCGTTGACAATGCGACGGGACTCGCTCTGTGCCGTCATCTCCTCGTATGACTCATTAGAAAGGTAGACACCGTTACGTTGTCGGGTAGCGATCAGTTCACTCTTGAGCCTTTCAATTTCCATGGTAAAATCCTTCAGTAATGTCTTCTTCTCAATCATGGGGTTCATCTGCGGTTTGTTCTTGATGTTCTTGGCCCTGAACGCATACTCTAGTGTTGAAATTGTCTCTTCCAAGTTGCTCTTTGCTGGTGAAATAGTGGCAATTATGCAAGTCTTGGTTCGGCCTCCGAGAGAGTCTTGTAGCAGACGAGTCAACTTTGATTCTCTGTAGGGGATGTGGGAGCCCTTGTCTACAAGAGCATTGATGACTCGACCAAGAGTCAAGAGAGACTTGTTAATGAGACCAGCTTCAGTAGCGCGTTTGTTCTCAGCTCCGGATCTCTGAATGTTCTCACTTCCGGCCAAATCGACAAGGTTCAGCTTTCCAGCACTAACAAGAGCTTCAACGCCGTGCTCATTAGGCTTTCGGACATATGTTGTGATAGTAAAGACTGTGTGACTTCGAGAACTGAGGTCGTTGCACTTGGTAGCCGCCACCTGACGTTTCAAACTGCCCTCCTGGAGCACCTTGACACCCTCGGCGGCGTCCTTGATGTGTTTCTCCTCCATGCCTTGAACAATTGTGCTGGCGTGGCCTCGTCGTGACGTGTCGTCGTAAATCTTGAGCTTGGCGCCATCGTCGGAGGCGAGCAGGTCGCGGAGCTCTTCGTTGTAAAGTTCGATAAACGAGCACTTGATGGTGCTTTCGACATTTTCGAGCTCGAGTTTGGTGAAAAGGGTCTGGAGCACTCGAGGGATGATACCAGCATCGTCTGAGAGCATGCCCATGGTTTCGGCCATATCACCAGACATGGTATATGTTTTGCCGGTGCCCGTTTGTCCGTATGCGAAGATTGTGCAGTTGTATCCAGAGAGCATCTAGAAGTACGGATCAGTAACCAAGTCGAGTGGCCCTTTATCTGTAAGAACCCACCTCGTCTAGAATAGGCTTCACTGTGTCATCGAAAACCATGTACTGATCGGCCGCTGGGGAGAAGACGCGGTCAAAGTTGTAGGAACGATTGCTCAAAGCGTTTGAACCCATTGACAACTCGACAACCTTTCCCCTGACAGAATCGGCTGTCACAACGACATTGCTGTTCTCTCGAACCTCGCGCTCATTGCGTCCTCGACATCGAACAACGACCTGGATGTTTGTCTCTTCGGTACTAGCTTCGGCCTCAAAATCACGTTCTTTACGTTTGGTACCGATGGTGTTAACAGTGGCGACTGAAGCGACAGATGGAGTTGGTGAGGCCGCGCCATTGCGCGTCGCGATTGAAGAGCCATATCGTGGTGGTGCTCTTGACCCAGCTCTCACGCCTGGACGAGCGTTCGGGGCGCGTGTGCTTGTAGCGACTCCGATGCGGCTTTGCTCCCGCTCGGAGCGTGTCGTACGTTGGAACGCCACGATGGGCAACTGTTTGTGGGTTTCGTTTCCTTTCGTTTAACTATTGGTGTGAGAGAGGCTGCGGGGGATGCCTCGAGAGCGTTTTAGTTGCCGCACATTCGCTTGATCAAGTATGTATCGTTGAAACTTGACAGACTCGAATGCTTGTTTGGGTATCTAGATCATGGAGGGGTTGCCTGCATGTATGCAGTATAGTTAGTTATGGCTGGCAAGGCTATTTGACATAAACGGTAAATAGTACAACCGTAGAAGAACCATGTTTGGGATCCACGAGCTAGAGTCAACACGGACTTGGCGCTTATCACCGCAGCAACGGACCCTTTTAGCCCACCACAATGAGACGTACCTAAACGGTGGTAGAAGTTGCCTACTAAGGTACACATTAATAGGTCACTCATATCCTATCATGATCATCATGAGACATTTTATTTGTCTTCTGTATAATTTAGAGTTAGAATATAAACGGTATCGCATCAAGCCCTGATTCTACTTTGTGAATCCAGGCATTTAATCCTTATACAATTCTGCAGGCACGGACGAACTACTGTTCCGTATCCATCTTGTCAGGATCGTGTTCTTTCTTTGTGTTTTTCGCTGTTTCTTCGTTGTTATCTTCGTTTTTCGCTCCAGTCGTAACATCGACGGCGTCGCCGTTGGTGTTTTCTTCAGCTTCAGCATTTTCCTCCTTCACCTTCTTGTTGGCGTCGGCTTCAAGATCTTGTTCTGCCTCTCGTTTCGTGCCAACGCTCTCTGCGCTGGGGCTCTTGGCATCGCTTTCGCCTGCAGCTTCGCCATCGGCGTCAACATCATCCTTGACCTCTTCATCATCGTCGTGTTTCCTGCCAACTGCTGCTTCCACGTCGATTCCTTGCGTTCCCATGCCGCCTTCGGACATAAAACTTGTCGTCGTAGATTGAGGTCCGGTGTCGCTCATGCCGATCTCTTCAGGCCCTCTAGCATGAGGCATCTCCTCTTCCTCCTCTTGCGGTTCTTCGTCGTCTTCCTCGTCCATTGTCATGCGCTCCCCTTCGTGGGCGACTTCTTGAGCTCGCGATAGCTGGCTCACGGGTACTACACCAGCACGTTGTTCCTGGCGCAGGAGTTCTCCCTGGGTAACTCCTCGCGCATGCCCTGTAGAGTGAATACCATTGACACTGACAGAAACGGTCTCGATGCTACCTACGCCGTTGGGACCCTCGATGGTCTCGGTTCCCTCGCTGTGAATTTGCGCCCCAGGTGTGTCTTGTGAACTCTCGGGACTCCGTCTCGTCAACCACGGGATTGGCGTCAACAATGCGCCTCCAAGCGCTTCATCTGTGCCCAGCGCTGCCGTTGTTGGGTTGCTCCATGCGACTGATACTGCAGGGTCTTTTGGATCTTCACCATTCAGATGCATCGAGGACATGTCAGGAATAGGCGGGGGTAGAGGATATGTGCTTGTGCTTGACGTCACTTGCACAACACGGTCGACAGCGTGTAGATAAGGTGCAACTGCCTTATAATGCGCTTTAGGCCGTAGAATCAGTTCGGCGAGTCGTTGAATAGTGTGGGGAGGATGGGTCTCGAAAGTCTCGAGGTGTTTCGTAATGTCGATGAGCATGTCTGCCAACTGCTTTGGTAATGCACCCTCGATAGGTTGTGTGGCAGGAAGCGACTCGGTCGTCGAAGCGACCTTGTTCGTTTCCTGGGAAGATTCGGCTTGGGGTGATGAGGGCGGCGGAGACTTGCGCGATTCTAAAACAGGCTGGTACGCTGGAGGCGGCGGTGGTAGGTTGGGTATCGGGAAGTCGCTATGTGCGATCTGAAGCGATCGATTAGTTCATGGGTCTACCGAGTCGCAGGTAATGTGGAATACCTTGTCAAGTCTGGTAATTATGTCACTGCGCACCGAAGGCCAGACACCCCTATTATTATGGTCAGATATTCGCTTTCGGATAAATAAAGAAGGATAAAAGGCTTACTTCTCGACAGTCGCACCCGCAGCGAATTGGCTGAGGGGTCCGTTATCACTATCAACCTCCATGATTTTATGATGCGCAAGTAATGATATGCGATGATGTTGAATCCACTAAGTCGCGATTGCTGGTCGCGCAGCTCTATGGTGGGGTTGTAAATATGGGGGTGGCTGTCCCGTTAGATGCATGCGTGCTTAACCTACACCTTGATGGCAGATGTGCTAATTTATTCCAATTCAGTAACTTGGTTAACATATTGTTTCCTATAGGGCTGTGGGGTTGTGAAACCTGTCTCCTTGGTTCTATCAACCAGTTCTGGCTTGTGTCTACGGTGTACACATAATACTTCGTCATTATCAAATAAACATTCATTGACAACCGTTGCAACACAACGCACATGCATCTACATGCATTTCAAACAACACGGAAATTATGGTTTGGCAGACGTTTGTACCTAGAAGCAAATTTTTTACGATATAGCAATAGACGTGTGTCTTGATTTATTATTTCCAAATTACGTAAACCCCAATTATTACTATGACATACGATAAATCGCAAAGTTCCGTCAGTTCAAATCGGCGCAACTAACCCGGCATCAAGCCACTACACCTGATAAGGGTTATACATCCACTTGGATGGCTCGAACATAGCATCAAACTTGACACCGTCATATGTTCCAATAGCACAGCTCAAGTCGTGGAATCCTTCCAGGCCTGTGACAGGCAAATCTTGCTCAGCATCAGTCTCCTCATGAAGCGCCCATCCACCTGTCATGGTACCGTTACGGGTAAAGAAGATATCAACCTGCGGCTTCGGCCCACCGATAGGTCGTAGAGTCATGCCGATACCGTACGTGTCACCACGTTGAAAAGGCTGAGTAAAGTCGCGACCACCCCAACGATCGTTGACGTACTTGTGTCCGTCGTCACCATGCACTGCCAAACTGCCGCGGTGCCAGCCTGGCATGCGGAATGAAGGATACGGCAGAGCGGTGAAACCAAGACCGAGGAATACCTCGGGGCTGTCACGCGCCAGCTTGACTTCGTAGTAGATGGTTCTTGGCTGTCCGAGGCGTATAGGGTCATGCTCAGTGACAGAGTAGAGCGGTGGGTAACCGATGATACAACGATCCGGCGAGTTCTTCTTTGTCCAGCCCTGCCAGTGTCCAGGCTGTAACCAGGTGAGCTGACCATTGAAGCCCACTGGCTCCATGAGGCGAATGTTGCTTGCCTGGAGAGCTGCCTTTCCAGTGTGATCCAGATGGATGGGAGCAGTCATGGGATACGACAGACACCAATCCTCGCCGGCATTAGCCTCATCCTCGGTAGCATTGCTTGTAGGGGATCTGTCGTAGCCGCTAAAGATAGCAGGAGGTGGTGGGAATAGTGATGTATCTGGGACTGCTACCTCCCAGTCATGTTTGGGTGGAGGTCCAGAAGGAGGCGCATATTCTGGTGCCGCACCTTGACCTGGAGGAGGGCCCGGAGGAGCATCGTATTGTTGTGACGATGATCCATGTCCTAGGGGAGATCCTAGGGGAGCATCGTACTGTGCTCCCACCTTACTTGGCGGCGGCCCAGGAGGAGCAGAGTATTGCTGCGATGAAGACTGACCGGGTGGTGGTCCTGGAGGTGGCGCAAAGTCTGAGGCCTGTTTTCTATCAGGAGGCGGTCCTGGAGGCGCTGAATAGCTAGACTCTCCCGCGAATTGGTTGGGATCGTTTTGAGGGTTGTATCTGCTCTTCTTCACATCGCCTTGACTTTGAGATGACGCTGGCCTCTGCACCGGACGGGGCGCTGGCTCATCGTTCTCTTCTTTCTTACTTCCGAAACACATGGCGTTGATTATCTTTTGATTATGAGGGATGGGGATGATGTTGAGAGATTAGGTATCCGCTAAGTATGACGATATTCGAGCAGGGATTCAAAAGTGGGCATATGCAACCACTTATAAGCTTAAATATGTAGCTTCACGACTGTAAACAATAACAGCGAATCAGCTTAGTATGTCTGAATGTGAGAGTGATGGAACAGAGAAGAACGAAGAAAAGTACGTATTAAAACCGGTTGGGTCCTTTGTTCAGATCATGTAATTTCAACTCGTGGCTGTGCCGTTAATTGTCGACAAACACCACGCCGCTTTGGGCCTGCACAGCCCCTTGCGTATCACAAGGATGCAAGAAACCTCGAACCAAGCCTAGAGGGTACCAGGAAAGTTGGCCTCTAAGCTTTAGGTTATGAAAATAAATAGCCTAAGAAGTATAGTCTAAGTAGCATAAGCTAGTCTACTAATTTCGTCTCTTATGCTCCTAGCGACCACAAAGACAGCTAGTATAACGCGATGAGCGAGATATACCATAAACCAAAGTAACACGCAAGTTTCATCGCCTATCACCGGTTCACGAACTATCAACCTTCGTCCTAGAACTGAAATGCTATTCGAACCCATGACCCGCAGTTGGACTCAGCCACAGAATACCACGACTATACATGGTACAAATGAAACTCGTTCATACAACATGGCTCCTACTACTTCTGTTACTACTGCTGCAGAGCGCCTCATGTATGTCCCCGTGTCGATTCATCTCAGCTATTTCCTCAAGCTGTGTTAAAACTATGGTATATTAAAAATCCTCATCCATCATCAGATTGTTCTCCCATGAACTAGAAGCCTGGTTACAGACAGACCATGTTCCATCTGCGTTAGCTCTAGTGTTCTCCTGCTCTGAAGTACAGACAGATATGGTTGAAATAGAGTTATCCATAGGCATTGTAGTAGCTGGATTTTGGTTCTGTGTTGTAGAATCTGCAGCATTTCCTTTCCTTCACAGCTTCTTCATAGATGGCTATTATTGGATGATTTACGCAACTGCAACTGTATTGCTGCAAAATTTATATGATGTGTGAGAAGTCTGGTCTAAATGGCTTAAAGTGACCTACTGCTTTTATCTCTTATGTTCAAAGCGGCCAATGTTCATGCCACATTCCATATGGGTAAAAATAGCCGTCATCTGTTCTCACCAACTAACAGCTATTGACGGATAACAAATTAGGTACCTCCTCCCCAGGCGCTTGCATCCTGTTCATCAGGATAAAAGAAGGCCACAACGGCAATAATGATGTAAACCGCACAGAGCAGAGCACCTTCAAGGTAATTACTTCTGCCGTCCAACACGAGAAAGTTGACAATGAAGGCCGAAACAAAGAGACACACGGTCTCGAAAAGTGTAAAGTACAAGGTCATTTCCTTATCCATGAACCAGCCCAGCAAAACCATAAATGGCGTTAGGAGAAGGGCAATCTGGATAGAGCTTCCTACCGCAACACCGATGGCGAGATCCATGTTGTTCTTGTAGGCGACCTTGATAGCAGTGACGTGCTCAGCTGCGTTACCAACAATAGGCAGAATGATCAGACCGATTCCGACCTGATTAACGTGAGAAGTTTCAACGACCTCTTGGATTGAGTCGACAAGAAACTCGGCACAAACTGCGACTAGAGCCGTGGATACAAGAAGAAGGATGACAGCGGCAAGTTGAGAAAGATGTTCCTCTTCCTCCTCATGCTCGTCAGTGGCCTTAACACCTGGAGCATTCAAGGAGGGTGGAATTTGAGCCGGCAACATTGCACCAGGGGCTCGGAACTGTAGACGATCGGGGAGGGAGTTGGTACGTCGAATGCCGTAACGGACATGGGGAGCTGGGCCGGAAGCCAACGAGGGCTTCTCGGTGAAAACGGGAGCCAGAGCTTTAACAGAAATACCTCTCAGGGGGAATGGTCGTTTGGCAGCATTTGATGAAGGACCAGCTTCAAAGGCATCCTGCACCGCAAAATCCACGCGACGAGGCTCTCCCTCACTCTTATTTTCAGGGATGCTCTCTGTGAGGTTGTTCTGGGCCTGGGCCTTCTTGAGCTCCTTTTTGGCTCTCCGAGCCTCCTTTTTGCTTCTATGATGCCTGTGTCGGCGATAACGTCGGCGTCTGCGAGCGCGCTCTGCCTCTTCCTCATCGTCATCATCATCGACAGCAATCTCGCTTCCCTCATAAGAAGATAAACGCGGAACTCGATGACGTGAGGCTCTTGCCTCTGTTACTTCGTCCTGTGGCGTGGTGTTGTTGGTTGCAAATGAAGCCGACCGGGTTCCCTTGGTATCAGCGGTGTCGACAGAAGCAGCGCTAGATCTTCGGTGTCGTCTGTTACGAAGAACCTTCTTCATTCTCTTTCTCATAGTACCATGAGATGAGTCAGAATCAGATGAGTCCGAACTCGAGGATGAGCTGTCATCAGAGCTTGATGAATCCAGAAAGCCGGCGGCAGGTCCAGGTGCCAACTCAGCATCGATAATGTGCTGGGGGGTAGATTCGTACATGTATGCATGCGATTTGAGCTGGAATGTGAGGTAGATAACATAGACCAGAAGTAGTACCACACTAGTTCCTCGGCTGATTTTCAAGGACTGACGATCAGCAAGATCATTGTCTTTGAAAGATGCATGGAACGCGGTCTGTCATCAATATTAGGGGTGAACTGCTAGCAGAGTGCTCGTTGTACATACCGGTAGGACTAGGCTGATAACACTCAAGCTGAGTAAACAAGCGCTCATCTGCGTAACAGTACTGTTGTAGACCTGTTCACGGAATCGTAAACCGCCCAGCAACATACTCATACCCAGAATTAAAAGAAGGTTCGCTAAAATGCTGCCTAATAGAGCTGATTGTACGACTCTGATTTCATTCTTGACGAGGGCGAGGATGAAGATGATCAACTCCACGGCGTTGCCTGTGAGATTACGTCAGCAGCGACTCAATGACAGAGAAACAGGAAAGAAAAGAAAAGACTTCAAAGTATATAAAATGGATTTGAGTTATAGTTGTCATAAATGCGGTAGGTTATTGTGTTATGGGTTGTGGGTTATGAGTTGACTTACCGAAAGTGACATTCAACAACGCGCCAAGGGCATCTCCCATTTTGAGAGCAACAGATTCGGTAGCGAATGCCAAAAGTCCAGCAAGAGGAATGATTGCGATTGCATTCATACCAAAAACAAGACCTGCAGGGGCGCCATTAATCTGGGAAACGGCAATGCCCACAGGGACAAATACCATGAAAACATTGAGCCAGCTGTAAGTGATAACGATTCTAACACTACGCTTCAGCTGGGCAAAAAAACCAGCATTTTTGCTAGTTGTGCTTGAGGTTTCTCCTTGTGCAGGCTCTTCGGTCTTGCTGGGAGTTTCTAGGACAGACCCCGAACCTGCAGCAGGAGATGAGGCATCGCCAGCAGAGGGGATCTTGCTTCCATTTTGTTTATCGGACTGGGTCTTCTTTTCGTCAAAGTCTCCGAATCGAGGTTGCTCATTCAAGCCCTGAGCAGTGGGCGCTGCGGGTTGTGCACCAGAGCGACTGCCATCTATATTGGGTGGTTCAGAGGAGGCTTCCTTCATCGAACAGGTGTTTTGTTACTCTGTGAGTATGAGTCGTAGGCAAATGTTTAACTGTCGAGTGAAGATAGTCGTTTTTGAGGCTTTGTTGAACTTGGAAGAGTGTGGTCGAAGTGTGTAAGTGAGAAGGGTGCAGAGAAAGCGGGAGCCAAGGCCTTGGCTTTAAGTCGGAAAGGTAGCCAAGTTTCCTAGGCTGGGATGACGCTGTTTGTTCAGTGGATCACAGTGGCGTCGGTGGAGAATAATAACTTATTCACTGTAGTTGGCGAGTGGCTAAAGCTGTCCGGACCAGGAGTCAGATGGATATCATGTCGTCAAACAGCAGAGGCAGCCCGCTAGGGGAACTCATGATTGGCTGTATGAGAGTATGTCAGAGGCAAAGTGAGGCGGTGCAGCCTCAGACTGTGTTTGCATCTAGCGTTTGCCATTAAACTGGTCTCCCTTGTCATACTAAACAGATCTTGACGATTCTATTCACTTCACTCTCCTATTCTTTGGCATTCCAAGAATGATGCGCACCTACACAGACCTCTGACTTTATGACAAAGACCATCAAAGAGACTCAGCGCCTCTCGTCAAAGCTCCATATTCCACGAGGTGGTCCAGCAAACAGACTACTGGGGACACACTTCTAACAACAAGCTTATCAATGTGATCCCCATCTTTCTCGGATTTGAGGTGCCGGCTGAGACTTGGCATGATCACATCGGGAGCTCATTAACCTAATGAAGCAAAGATCGACAGGAACCACAATCAAGTTCCGTCTGTTGTGGCTCAGCTCTTCCATTATCAATCGTCAACAACAGCCATGATTACCCCGTACCATATACTGTGCTTGACGCAGTATCACTCCGGAGGACCTGCTTTGTTCAGTTATGTCCATACAACTGGCGAATCCTGGATTGCCAGTGACGTGATGCAGGCTGCCAGCAAAGCACTTGGTGTCGACACGGAGATAATGTTCGGGTGTAACCCACATCGGAGCCGAATGGGACACCCAAGTTAATGCGTCGACGTATTTGAATACGCGAATACGCAAATGCCAGCTTCTTAGCCAGTTGCATTACCCAGGTGACGTAAGTATCTATAATATCTACAAATCCCAGCTTCACATAAATCTACTCTACAGCAGTTGAGTTCAGAAATAAGAGAGGAGATACAAGGTGACTTGTAAGTTTTAGGTGCAGAAAACAATTCACCTATAAACTAGTCGCGAATGGCATCAACTGACTCTAAAATCTTGTCTCTTATACTCGCAGTAGCCAAGTCTTTATGTTGTACTCTGAAAATAAGCATGTTTACTATCGAGTACTTACCTACTAGGGGCAACCCTTTGACTCGTTGATTTCTCAGCATACTCAGTAAACTTCGTAGTTCATTCATGACTCGTGATCTGCTTGGCAAAAGGAAACGTCTGCAATGTACAGAGTATCGACCTCACAATCTATTTCACCATCATACCTTCAACGAGTCATCTGCCAAGTTGAACTAGCATGACACTATCTCACTTAACTACGGTAGTTTCTTGTATCCCTAATTTCGTAACCTAGGAGAACTCGTGTTTACAATCAGTAACTAGCGACCAGAAAACAGAGGGACAACCCCACGAACAGACCATCAGCTAACTTGGTCGGTCAACAAACATTGGCCCACCTTCTATTTTGTTCATTATCAAGACTAGCGACAACTCACCGTCAAAGCAAAAAACTGACCGCCAGTTGATGTGTCTGTAGTCAAAGCACAGCCAGTCCCTTGCATAGTACGTACTACGTTGGTAGTCAAAATAAGCTGTCCGTTTCAGAGACAGTCACAAACGAAGATAAACGGCTGGAATTTTAAACCGCGGCCATGTTAAGAGTTCTTACGTACCCATGCATGATATGGCAACGCCATTCATACCGTTTTCAAATAGTCATCTACATCTCCAACATTAAACACAGACAGATACTTCAGCATCTTTGAATAACAAATCGTTTCAAGTCACATTCAATTCCTTGGATCAGTTCGTTAGTGTCTCCCTTTGAGACAAATATGGGCTGAGATGCGTTTGTATAGACACAGACAAATAAAATAATAACAACACTCTTTCTTTCCCTTGATTCTTCCGTCTTTCTTTCTCTCTTTCTTTCTCCTCCCTCTTTCGCAGCTCCAGAGTGTACAGAAACATTGGGTCGTCCAGCCCACATCTAGTTCCCATCTTTCCCCTCATAAATGAACAAACTTTGCATAAACCGAGTAACTGTATGTAGTGGAATATAACTATCCAGGACCAACATCAAAGTCTCAATCTCGTATCCCCCTTGCGCCATGATGTGTGTGTGAGAAGTATGTGTAGGTGTGTGTGCGTGCGTGCGGAAAAGGACCAACCCCGGGTGGTCTCCAAGTTGCGAATGGGCATCGTCGAGAGCCCTTGGTGTTCGTCCCTCATTACTGGTAGCTGAATATGTGTGGTGTTGTGTGTCCCGGCAAAAAACAATAGACAATGACAATTATGGCATCCAACTGCGAACATTGGTGCAGAACTTCCCGACAAGAGGATCTTTCAAATTGAGACGGTACGCCCTTAACTCCAGGTGCTTCAAGCATGCTTTATTCACCGGTCCTCGCCACCCCTCGCCTTTCCACGTCTCCTGAAGAAGTCCATGACACGCTTTGCGGCTCCGCTGCTTCCTTCGTGACCACGGTAGTTCTCTCCATCGTAAGCATCCGCGAACTTCTTGTGACTCTTGTGAAGCACACCAGGACGGTCCTCGCGGCTACTTCCAACTGGGCGACCATCGTATCCTTCAGACCCGGAAAAGTCTTCTTGGTACGGGCGAGATCGTGAGTCGTGCGGTCGTCGCATGTCCACTGATGAATCTGAACCAGTATTTAAATGGCTACCTCCCTGCATATAAGTGGGTACGGCATTAGGTCTTCGGCCATCTGGTTGCTGAGATCCATATCGTGTATTGTACACAGGGCTGGATTGTGCTGTATCACGTTGGGGGTATTGTTCGTAGGGTGCATCGAAATAGGGCTCGCTGTGTCGGGGCTCATCGTGAGCGCTGTAGCCGCGGAGTTGCTCAGTTCGGGGATGCTGAATGGGCAGATCCTGCTGTGAATCCGCTTCAGACCCCGTCACGCTTCCCTCGTTTCTACCTAGACCCATAGCCTTGGCCAAAGAAAATCGACGGTTCTGCTTGTCGCCTGAGCCTTGAACACTGCCACTGCGCTTCTTACCAAGACCAATGGAGAAGGATCGTCTAGAAGCCTTCGAATCCATTGAAGGCCTGGGGCCAGCGTCCTCACCTGGCAGCATGGTGTTTGACATGCTGACAGGCGGATACTTCCGCGATGACTTTTCGGGCTGCGGCTGCTGTTGTTGCTGCTCGGGTCGCTTCTTAGATCGGCCACCAAAGATAGATCCACTACGACCCATGATTTTGCTGCCAATATCACCCAGAGTGTTTGATCGCTTATGCCCTCTACTAGACGCCTTTGTCTCGTTCTGGAATGTCGACATCTTTATCACCTTAGGAGGAACACTGCCAATATCCTTGGCGATATTACCTTCGTCCTCAGGGTTTTGAGGCTGTTGAATTCGGCCGTGAGCATTTGTATCGGCAATAGTAGGTGGTGCAGGTTGGCCATAGTTGGCTTGAGACTGGAGACCCATTGAGGTGGAGGATTGCATTGATCCCTGTGTTCGCGGCCTTGTCGTAGTGGTTCCACCGGTCATGAAAGCATTGTCGGAAGTGGCGCGAGTGTCGCGGGATGGCCTATGAGGAGGAGGTGCGTTCTTGTGTGAGCTCTGAGGACGTCTCGACTGCTGAGCACGAGAGGGGTTGTCCTTGGTCAGTGGCGGTTCACGAGGCAGAGGCTTTTCGGTAACAGGCTCTGGCGTATCGGCAGATTGCTGCTGCTGTAGCGAGTGGGAACTAGGTTTCGAAGGCGCGGCATCAGCACCACGTTGGGTCTTGGTTGTAGGAGCCACGTATTCGACCTGAACTGTTCTTCGCTTGGCATCCTTGGGTGTGCTACGATGAGCAGCCTCAGACTCGGGATCGACACTGCCATGCGTCTTAGCCAATCCTCCAACAACAGGGGGATGGGATTGTTTGTGCTTTGAAGCCTCGCGAACCGAGTTGCTTCGGGCGACGGACGGCGCCTCGGCGTAGTCGTCGGGAGAAACACCCGAGTCGGGTACCTCGGAAGGTAGTGTTGTCGTGCTGGTGATGAACTCGACGAGGTTGGCGTATTCGCTCAGCCAGCTGTGTCGAGCAACTTCGAAAAGATCCGCTCTCTTGCGGGGGTTAGGAACGAGAATGCGACGGAGAAGGTCTCGAGCGTGAGGGGTGACATATTCAGGGAAAGTCAAAGGAGTCGTAACGATGTACTTGTATAGGAGGTTGATGTTGTCGCCTTCGGGGTTGGCAGGATCGTCGTCGAAGGGGAGGTAGCCGGCAAGCATGGCGTACTACAACAAACAGGTCAGTTCAACATCCACTTTCTCGCACCAATTACTGAACTTACCAGAATGACACCACAACTCCAGACATCCACCTTACGGCCGGTGTATAGAGAATCGCTGACAACCAGTTCAGGTGCAGCGTAACAAGGACTTCCACAGCTTGTCTGCATGAGATCACCCTTCCTGGACCCGTTCATCTTGACTCGATCCAAGCCCATTCGTTTCACGAACTCCTTGTCGGTAAGGTTTAGTTCCTCTTCCTTAGTCAATTCCTCGTGGGCATCGAAGGTGTTTGCAAAGCCAAAATCGGTGATGATAATGTTGCGATTGCGGTCGAGAAGCAAGTTTTCTAGCTTCAAATCTCGGTGTACTATTCCCTTCTTGTGGAGGTAACCAACGCCCGACACAAGCTGGGCAAACAAGCGACGAGCGGCATTATCTTTAAGATAGCGATGGTTGAGGATATAATCGAAAAGTTCACCACCGGATGCGTATTCAAGGATGATACCAATGTGTCGGTCTGTCTCGACCTTGTCGATCAGACGCACAA